CAAAATTTTTATCATACAGAATAAAATACTAGAATACGGGGTATATTAAAAATATTATTTTAAAGTATATATAAAAGTATATCTGTAAAAATAAGTATCACAATGTCACACAATTGTTCATAAATCCAATTCAAAGACAAAAGTGTTCTCTTTTGTTAATACCAAATGGTATATAAGTGTTCAACTTTTTCTTCCAAAGATTTTCTCTATATTTGCGGTAAATGTCATTCTTATACAGTTTTTCAATGCCTATTATATTATAATCTTCTACTGTATGTACACCTGAATTAAAATGAGTAGCCACAGGATCATTGGTTTCCCTTCTAATTAAAGACAAATTCAAAACATGTCTTTGATATAAACTATCACCAGTTTCTCCCACATACACTATTTTGTCACACTTTTTACAAAAAATTCCATAAACAACATTCCTTGATTTACAATTAATATAATTTTTGACTTGAAAAGTGCATCCGTTATTATCTTCAAACTGGCTGGTTTTCACAACAAATTTACACAAAATACATTTTTTAGCACCACATGGCTCACATAAATTTCCTTTTTTAAAAAATAAATTGTTGTGTTTTTTATACACTAAAATGTCTTTCAAATTTTTGTCTCTTTTATAGGCAACGATTGGGGTCTTTTTGAACGCGAGTTTCAGGCGATCGGAATTTTCAAGAATTTTTTGTCTTTTCTTCAAAATGTTATGAATATTCGGTAATCCTTTTGAATAGGTCAACACAAGACAGAGCTACGACACTACCTTTTACCGACAGAAATTTCTTCCGGTAAACTACAGGCCAATCCAAAAGTACACAAGAAAAATCACCCGCTGAGAACTATAGTAAATGGCCGTCAACATCCCACAGAAAAACTAGCAGAGTATGTTGAATTACAGCTCGGGGATGCAAACAAATCACTTAAAAGTTACATACAGGATACCACGGATTTCCTGAGGAAACTCTCAACATTGAATCAACCGTTGCCAAATTCTTCTTTATTATTTTGCATGGATGTTAAATCACTGTATCCTAGTATACCTAGGAAGGAAGCAAGGGAAGTAATTAAAAGAATTCTAGAAGAACGACAGAAAAAAGAAGTAGATACTGACAGTATTCTAGAGATGATGGATGCTGTCCTGGATAACAATAATTTTAGTTTCAAAAATAAACATTATATCCAAACCGAAGGTACTGCTATAGGATCCAAACTGGGACGAAACTATGCATGTGTATACATGGGGGATAAAATATTCTTTTGGCGATTTGTAAACAACAACCTCTTTTTTATCTAAGATACATTGACGACATTTTTGGGATCTGGACGGGGACAGAAGAAGAACTACATGATTTCCATATGACTGCAAATAATATTCACCCCAACATTCAGCTTGACCTGCGTTTTTCAAAAACAAAAATAGACTTCCTTGATGTTTCTATTTCTCTGGATAACGGATTTCTCACAACAGATCTTTACAGCAAACCAACTGACAAACATATGTACCTTAACAAAACCTCCAGCCATCCCGAATCTACAAAAAGTTCAATTCCGTACGGCCTTGGTCTTAGAGCACGTCGTATTTGCTCCACAGAGGAAAACTATCAAAGCCAACGTGATAAAGTGAAAAAGAACTTGCGAAAACGAGGATATTCTAGCAACGAAGTAGAAAAACAACTTACGAAAGTTGACAAACTCAATCGCTCGGATCTACTAAATTATAGGAAAAATAAAACGCGATGTGACCGTGTTCCCCTTGTGTTGACCTATTCAAAAGGATTACCGAATATTCATTACATTTTGAAGAAAAGACAAAAAATTCTTGAAAATTCCGATTGTAAACTCGCGTTCAAAAAGACCCCAATCGTTGCCTATAAAAGAGACAAAAATTTGAAAGACATTTTAGTGTATAAAAAACACAACAATTTATTTTTTAAAAAAGGAAATTTATGTGAGCCATGTGGTGCTAAAAAATGTATTTTGTGTAAATTTGTTGTGAAAACCAGCCAGTTTGAAGATAATAACGGATGCACTTTTCAAGTCAAAAATTATATTAATTGTAAATCAAGGAATGTTGTTTATGGAATTTTTTGTAAAAAGTGTGACAAAATAGTGTATGTGGGAGAAACTGGTGATAGTTTATATCAAAGACATGTTTTGAATTTGTCTTTAATTAGAAGGGAAACAAATGATCCTGTGGCTACTCATTTTAATTCAGGTGTACATACAGTAGAAGATTATAATATAATAGGCATTGAAAAACTGTATAAGAATGACATTTACCGCAAATATAGAGAAAATCTTTGGAAGAAAAAGTTGAACACTTGTATACCATTTGGTATTAACAAAAGAGAACACTTTTGTCTTTGAATTGGATTTATGAACAATTGTGTGACATTGTGATACTTATTTTTACAGATATACTTTTATATATACTTTAAAATAATATTTTTAATATACCCCGTATTCTAGTATTTTATTCTGTATGATAAAAATTTTGATACACAAGTACAATTTTTGCTCTCACAATATCTTCAGATGTTTTTGGCGCAATTTTATTGCATGACGTTGCCTCTCAATTTCTATGTTCATTGTGACGTCATAATACTGTTGAGTTGCTATGCATTTAAATAAACACGACTATAAGGCCGGTATATATATATATATATATATATATATATATATATATATATATATATATATATATATATATATATATATATATATATATATATATATATATATATATATATATATATATATATATACACAAGAGGTCCACAGGCGTTATAGGTCACCGAGTATTGTGTAACAACTTTCAAACAATTAACTTTGGTTTGTGTTTTATACCAGAGGCCATGAAATTCACAATTCACAATTTTGAAAGAGGCACCATTGCTTATCATAATTATAAACTTAGCATGCTTACTCTGTTTGCTTAAGGATGTTCAACACACCTTCCCCAAAAAATTCCTGTCGTTTAATTTTCGTTATTTTTGTATATTTAGTATATGACTATATTTACTGCATGTATGCACATTTTGGACAAAATCGTTCGAATGGTTTTTGGACAGGAACTTCCAAAAGTTACCCCCCTTTAGTTGTTTACAAGGAGAGAAAATTTTTAATCAATGAAATACTTAAACATTGATTTTCAAAAAAGCCAGGTTAGATATAAATGTTAAATTTCATTGACTTATTCTTTTAACCATTTAACACAAAAACATAGTCATTTTTTTGATATACATATCATCAAAACAATTTTTAAAGACCTTAAACTGAAAAACTATGAATTATCTAAGCCTTGAAAATTGTGTATTTTTCAAATTCAAAATTTTTTTTTGAAAAAACCTGTCATTTAATTTTGGTAAAAAACTTTCTTTAGGTAGCTGGTAGTAAAAATAATCTTCATAATTTTTTGTACAATTTTTGTACGACCAGTTTTGATTTAATAGCGGAAAATTACCCCCTCCCCCTTTCTCAATAAATCACGTTCACGCGCGTCTTTCAGACGGGGTCGATGACTTTGTTATATGAATCTACAAATACACATTAAAAAAATTAAATTGGATAATTGCTTTTGCTTCAAAAATATATTAACTTACAAATTTAAAAGTTCTCATATGTAAAGCGTATTTAAATGTAGATTTTTAGGCAATTTTTAAATACCCCTATCACCCCCACCCCTTCCTTTTTTTCCATCGCAGACCATTAGCGTTTGACCAAATGTCGTTTACAGTGAAAATATACATGTACTGGTATTTCGTCATTTGAATCCCGGAGGTATGCATTAAATTAGTTTTTAAATTCATGAATGCAGAATAAATATTGACTACTCTTTTTATATGGAAATATATATCAGGAAAAAATTACTGAAGGATTAGTGTTTAGTCCATTTATGTATGCGTTATGCATTCCATATCACATGAAACCTGAATACGAATTCAGGTTTTGTTGAACTTGAATATGTTGATTTTTAATTTTATTTCTTTAATCTTATTTATTAAATAAATGTTGTATGTTCAACTCTCCTGTGATATAAATAGAATAATTGTAGTTTCTTTCATGTCATTATTTCAAACGAAACAGTATGTGGCCGTGGGGATACATCGACATTTGCATAATCATGTACACCCCTCATGATACTGTACGCTTTCTTTCAATGTCGTCGCTTCTAAAGTTAAAATGAAAATTCCGTATTCATCCACATTAACTTCAAAATATCAAACATTAAACTCTTCATCTATTTCAATTTATATCAAATCGCACATTGATATTTTTTTAAAAAATCTTATACTTATAGGCTACGTTTTGTTTTGATTCGAGGAAATGCGAACCGACATTGTTGACAGAAAGTCAAACGATTTGCTGCAATAGGATATTCATAAATGCAGATAATTTCAGTACAAGTGAACAATTCTTTTCAATTCTATACTTACATTGTGTATATGAGGTCTATAGTATTCAATTCTCGGATTTATCAGGTCTTGCTGTAAATGTATCTGATTCTGTGGAAAACCGTGAATAAAGGGAGGAAAATAAACATCTCCTACATTTTCAGAGTTGTTCCTCTTTGATCAGTAAGGGTCTGAGATCAACATCGATTTTACATTGTAAAAAGTTTTTTGTTCATTTATTGTTGTTTTATTTAATTAAAGAAGAAAAACAATATTTATATCGTAAATGCACAAATTGTAATGAAGACCATTAATCGGAATGTTATATAGCCAATTGTACATAATGAGAATTTTGGCAATGTAAAATAAAATTTTCAGAATAAAAAAAAATGCTGCCTTGTAATCAAAAATACAATTTATTGTATATGAAATGAAATAAACATTAATTAAGGGATGGTATTTTATGTCTTGCTTTTTACGGAGTTTAATCGGGTTAATTAAAAAAATACTTATTGAGTATGGTACGCACAATCACAGTGCTCCAAGCCTCATATCCCAATTTTCTTTCATGATTGATATACATCGGGATCGTTTTACTCGTCGTTTTGACGCTTTATTTTTGATGTTAAATTTGACGTCACGTCAAACGTTCAATTGAAATCGCAAGAGTTATCTCCCCCAGTGTGTTGTACGTCTTTAATACCCACAGAAGTAGATCAGAATAACAAAGAGAAAATGCACTTCCACATTATAACCAGTTTTGCACCTCACCCCAAAGGAACCACTGACCCTGGGGCCACATGTTTCAAAATTTTGTAAATTTTATCATAAAATGGTTGATTAATACCAAAGAGCAGATTTCAAAGCATTAATTTATTTTCAGACTATGTAACCCCCCCGCCCCTCGACCCAGGGGGCATAAACTAGATGCACCTTTCTTCATCATAAATATATATACCCGGTACTTGGATCATTGGCATAAAACCCAGGAGCAAAGGAAAAGATTTTCAAAGAATTAATGTATTTTCACTATTTATTATACTTTATTATAAATATTCTACACAACATGTTATCTGATTGGTTCTAGGTTATCATGTGATCAGGCCGTAAAACTTCATATTTCACGGCCGTCGGCATGCTTTTCATCATATTCCACCTCTTCGGAACACCTAGTGTATTTTCCTGCAATATAGTTCTCGTTCTGAACGAAAACTCCGGAGAGTAGTTGACGTCACAATATCCTGGTTTACGTCACAAAATTGATGATAATGTGTTGACCAAAGGGTTTTATAGTAACTTTACGTAAAAAATGAAAGTGAATTTGAGAGCGGTGCCAAATCTGAAAACTTATGTTTATTTCAAAGGTTTTGCTTGTTTCGGTACAATAAACAATTCATTGCATGAATGTTCGGGAAACATGAAGACTTATTCATCCAAGAAATATCATATTCCCCGAGGGCTTCAAAATGATTTTTCTTGGCTGAATAAGTCTTCATATATTTCCCTCACTATCATGCAATAGATGTATAATAATCAATAGAGCCCCGCCCTAACACAAGAACCCCTGACCCTGGGGCCATAAAATTCACAATTTTGGAAGAGGCACTCTTGCTCATCATAACTATGTACTTAGTTCGTTTATTTAATACCCAGAAGCAAAGAAGATTTTCAAAGAATTAATGCATTTTCACTATATAATCAATAGAGCCCCACCCTAACACCAGAAACCCTGACCTTGGGGCCATAAAATTCACAGTTTTGGAAGAGGCACTCTTGCTCATCATAACTTTGTACTTAGTTAGTTTATTTAATACCCAGAAGCAGAGAAGATTTTCAAAGAATAAATCCATTTTCACTATATAATCAATAGAGCCACACCAAAACCCCTGACCCTGGGATCATAAAATTCACAAATTTGGAAGAGGCACTCTTGCTCATCATAACTATGTACTTAGTTTATTTAATACCCAGGAGCAGAAATGAAGATTTTTAAAGAAATAATGCATTTTCACTATATAATCTATATAGCCTCGCCCTAGCACTAGAACCCCTGACCCTGGGGCCATGAATTTCATAATTTTGGTAGAGGACTCAATGCTCATTACATTTATGCCAACAGTTTGCTTGCTTGATGTCCAGGAGTAAAGAAAAAGATTTTTAAAGATTGCAATAATTTTAGTGGTTTTGGCCCCACCCCTCAGGTCCCAGGGGGGCGGGAACCATAAAATTCACAATTTATGTTCCCCTTTACCCATAGATGCTGTATACCAAATTTGGTTGAAAATGGTTCAGTGGTTTCATAGAAGAAGCTGAAAATGTTCCAGTGTTAACACACAACTCACGACGGACGCCGATGGACGACAACGGATAGCAATACGTCACCTGAGTTACTCAAGTGACCTAATAAATCTTTATTTAATTAAGTTTAATCCAGGTATTACAAGTCCTTACGATCATCGCTGAAGTCATCTACCAGGATTATCTCCCTTATCAAATGTTCGGGACTTCTAGAGAACACGCTGAAAAAAAATAACATAGAATGTAGAACCATGGGTCAAATCAGCATAGAATACAGAACCATGGGTCAAATCAACAATGATTAACATAGAATGTAGAACCATGGGTCAAATCAACAATGATTAACATAGAATACAGAACCATGGGTCAAATAAGCAATTATTAACATAGAATACAGAACCATGGGTCAAATCAACAATGATTAACATAGAATACAGAACCATGGGTCAAATAAGCAATTATTAACATAGAATATAAAACCATTAATCAAATCAGCAATTAGAAACATAGAATACAGAACCATGGGTCAAATAAACATAGAATACAAAACCATGGATCAAATAAACATAGAATACAGAACCATGGATCAAATAAACATAGAATACAGAACCATGGATCAAATAAACATAGAATACAGAACCATGGATCAAATCAGTAATGATTAACACAGAATATAGAACCATGGGTCAAATCAGCAAATGATTAACATAGAATATAGTACCATGAGTCAAATCAGCAATGATTAACATAGAATATAGTACCACGGGTCAAATCAACATAGAATATAGAACCATTAATCAAATCAGCAATTATTAACATAGAATACAGAACCATGGGTCAAATCAACATAGAATACAGAACCATGGATCAAATAAATATAGAATATGAACCATGGATCAAATCAACATAGAATACAGGACCATGGATCAAATAAACATAGAATACAGAACCATGGGTCAAATAAACACAGAATACAAAACCATGGATCAAATAAACATAGAATACAGAACCATGGATCAAATAAATATAGAATATGAACCATGGATCAAATAAACATAGAATACAGAACCATGGATCAAATAAACATAGAATACAGAACCATGGGTCAAATCAACATAGAATATAGAACCATTAATCAAATCAGCAATTATTAACATAGAATACAGAACCATGGGTCAAATCAACATAGAATACAAAACCATGGATCAAATAAACATAGAATACAAAACCATGGATCAAATAAACATAGAATACAGAACCATGGGTCAAATAAACATAGAATACAGAACCATGGATCAAATCAATATAGAATACAAAACCATGGATCAAATAAACATAGAATACAAAACCATGGATCAAATAAACATAGAATACAGAACAATGGATCAAATCAGTATTGATTAACACAGAATATAGAACCGTGGGTCAAATCAGCAATGATGATTAACATAGAATATAGAACCAGGTGTCAAATCAGCAATGATGATTAACATAGAATATAGAACCAGGGGTCAAATCAGCAATGATTAAAATAGAATTTAGAACCAAGGGTCAAATCAATAATGATTAACATAGAATAAAGTACCATGGGTCAAATCAGCAATGATTAACATAGAATACAGAACCAAGGATCAACAAAGCAATGATTAACACAGAATACAGAATCATGGGTCAAATCAGCAATGATTAACACAGAATACAAAACCCTGGGTCAACAAAGCAATGATTAACATAGAATACAGAATCATGGGTCAACAAGGCAATGATTAGCATAGAATACAGAATCATGGGTCAAAACAGCAATGATTAACATAGAATATAGAACCATGGGTCAAATCAGCAATAATTTACATAGAATACAGAACCATAGATCAAATCAGCAATGATTAACATAGAATATAGAACCATGGGTCAAATCAGCAATAATTAACATAGAATATAGAACCATCTGTCAAATCAGCAATAATTAACATAGAATACAGAACCATGTGTCAAATCAGCAATGATTAGAAACACATACTCAAATAATATATCTAAGTCATGAAGTTGTCTAAAATAATCATGTCATTGTTTAGTATTTTTTTGCAAATTATGTTTTGATAAATTCAGCCTTGTACTTTTATCATAATATGTTACATTAACGAGTTCTTGAAATTAATGAGTTGTGAATGAGTACTGCCGTACCTGACTATGGTGCGTAGTAAAGTTGACCTGGCCTCGTTATGGAAGGTAATGATGACACTGGTGGGGTCAAGGTCAGAGCTGTGCCTCTCGTCTCTACACCTGTCAACAAATACATATGAAAAATAGAATACAGATTAAAACTGGCTTATATATGTAGTAAATATTCGCTTCTCTTAAAACCTTTAAGATGCAACAAGAAATAGAACACACAGCAAAAGAATTGTAAAGTGAACACACTTATAGCAAACACACTTAGAGCAAATATTATATTTTTCATGAAAAGATGGTGTTCCTATAACATAACAAGTAGTACTGAAAAAAAATTGTTTAAAGGGGGAGGAAATAAGCACCTCCCTCAAATTTACCTGGTCTAAGAACCCCTGTCAATCATCTAAAATTATAAAATATAGGCATTATTTTTCTTAACATTTATTTAATTATTTGATGGATTAATTATACTTATGCCATATTCTTATGAATTAAACAAGAACGCTTTGCCTGCTTCTTTATCATGTTGGCATATGCGGTAGGCATCAAAGGCCTGAATGTTAATTCGATGGTCAGTTCGATCTCCAGACAAGGTACACAAGATATACACAACTGCAACAAACTAAAAGTCAATCAAATCAAAGTATCCAATCCTAGGCTTAATTTTAGATGATTGACAGGGGTTCTCGGACCAGGTAAATTTGAGGGAGGTGCTTATTTCCTCCCCCTTTAAATTCTATTTAATGAAATGCTTGATATAGGTATATATATAGGAATATTTATTTTTTTCCTTTGATGAAGAGATATTTAAAAAATACTGTCAACAAAAAGTTCTGACTTTTGCCTTTATTATGATTGATAATGATTGAGCTTTATACTTTTATTTTCCAGTACATAAGCAGGTCCCTCATCAGATCAGGTATTTTATTTACGGTAACAATTTAGGCCTCCATTTAAGCCACATTCATTTACCATAAATAGAAAAAAAGAGAACTTCAGGGAAGTGAATTAATGCAAAATATGGCCTTATTATAATAAATGCACATGACTTAATTAAGTCAAATACTCATTGATATGCACAGGATGTTGTTTGAACTAAATACGTACAAATATTCCTTGCTATGCTTATTCATTTAAATAAATTCTGTAGAAAACAAAAGGAATAAAATATTTTGATATGATAATTCACCTACAGATGAGATAAAGTCAATACTGGGTGGTCAATACATGAAGTGTGGGCGCACAATCTGAATTTTACACATGAATAAATCTATCACCAGAAAGTATATACATTTGTCAATACTGAAATGTGTAGCTAAAACTTTAGCAGCACATGGTAAAAAGTGAATTTTGAAAAAAAAATGTGTTTTATCCAAATCAGTTTTATTCAACCATCTTATTCCTCACATTTTTTTTTTGGGGGGGGGGATAAATGAACATATTTATCTTTACTGATTTTTATTTTCTGTTCTGATAAATCTTTTGAACTCTTAAACTCAGATATTTAAAGGTGCTTACAATATAAAGAAGCCTAATTAGAAGATAAGTGCAGGTATCTGTCACATGTTTATAAATGAATGAGAATCAATCATTGCTATAATCAGCCTCCGTGTAATTATCTCTCGTGTCACAAGATCACACGACACAGACACCTAAATATTTAAACGCAACCTCAAATGATGACAATTAAATAACTTCTCTTTTTAAGAAGACATTAACACATTACAAGTATTTTTAACCACAACACAATAAAACGATACATCATTCATAATGCCTGGGTGTCGCTAAATCAAAACGTGAATGCACCATTTGTGAAACTGTGAATGTCAATTACCTGAGAAGTTAATTATGAATGCTGTATCTTTAAAACAAAATTAAGACTGAATACACAAGTATTATTATAATGTCTGCAACTTTACAACAGAAGAAATTTAAGCTGTGACAATATGAAACATAGTTTAAATTTATTATGATTTATGATGAGTGACCAATAGTTGGGTCATTAATCACCATTAAAATGATTTGATTGTGCAATTAAGATAATTATATGTAGGCTAAGTAAGTTACACAGTCATGCATTACAGAACTATTTGTGTTAGAATGCATCACATCTATGTGTACAAGTTTTCATTATAACTTATTTGTTCTTAATGCATAATCTTACACTTTTGACAACAATAATCACTGGAGGTGATTAAAAAAATACTTCATAATGTATTTTATAGCTTGCCTATAAATCAGAATTAGTGTGTTTGGTACGTGTTACTTACATAGCGTTCCTCGTGTCTGGTACGTGTCGGTTACTCTTGGTGTTGTCGCTGGCCAGCTGGTTGAACTTGTTTCTGTTGTAGCAGTCCTGACCTGCGTGGCACCGTTTTTTGTCGATGTATTTTTTTTCGTCGAATTCCTCCCAGGGAATATCCCCTGCTTCCTCATCCACCTCCATCTCCTTCACTTCCTGTTCTCTCACTTCCTGTTCTCTCACTTCCTGTCGATGCTGAGACTGTTCTGCGACTCGATTCGGGATTTCCTGACCGCCGTCTGGCTGTGGAACTATGACCTGCTGAACTCCATTGTCAAAGTGATTTGCCGACTCACCATCATCCACCTAGAAGTAAAAATCAGAGCGTAAGAGCTGTTTGTGTACTTAAAAAGTGGGCTTCATATTTTAGCAGCTCTAGCGCAATCATTAATGTGCTAATTCATGAATACGGCTAAGAAATCATAAATAAATACACTATACTGCTCGAAATTATATAGTGCTAATTAATAATGCCAACAACTCAATACCCCTAAGTGATTGTGCTAAATTTTGAGCATGCTTATTTATATACCGAGTACATGTACAGCTAAATTTTGAACATGTTAATTTATGAACACATAAAGTATCCACAATGGCTTGTGATCAAAACAAGCTTTGAACAAGAGTTAATCTACTAAAAAGAATAACTGTCCATTAACTGGATATATTCTAATTCAAAAGCAAATATTCTTATAAAATTTAGTTTAATGTCCAGTCCAAAGGATAATGAAATAGTCAAGACACAATCAGCAAAATGATCATAGAATTAGTATAATTAGTTAAGATAGAGTACCAAAGCATTGATTCTTTAAAATAAAAGGCTGCTGGAGGAAATAATTCTCCAAATTATTGGTTATTTGCATTATCCTCAAATTTAGCTATTTCAGGTTCAGGTTCATCATTTGTATGTACTTATTTTTTATGACAAAGTTTGTGATTGACTTATCCCCGTTTAATCATCACTTCTTTCTTAAATGTCTGACCACAATCATCACTAATGATGAAAAAAGTAAATGCACATTAGATCACTTAAAAATTCCCTAAGTATGGTATATATACACATGCAGTACTTGTATTATATGGCAAGGTTCAACAATGACTCGATGATCAGTATAATTATCAAACAGTATAGAAAATCATAATAATTTAATGGATTTTTGTTTTTAGGAAATGAACATAATAAACATACAAATTTAATTAGATTATAGATATATTATGTACACCTTCCTTTTACGTTGTAAGATAAAAGTTCCTGGGACAAAGAGCTATGATAAAAGGAAATCAAACAAATATTAACTTTTATGCCTAGGTCACATTTAAGCCAATGGTCGGGCGACTAAATTTTTCTGGTCTTGTCGGCTGAAAGAACATGATCGGCCGAAACAAGTATCGGGAGACACGGAGCAGTCACATTATTTCCTAGGAACACCGATGACTTGGATAAATAACACAAAAAATCTTTTTTCTTTAGAAATCAGCAATATTTTTTCATTGATCTATATTCAGATAGGTGACGTGAGTAATATTTGCAAGGCAAAGTGGCAGAATCTTTTAAAATTGTGACTCAATGTTGAAAATGTGTGCAAAATTTTGTATAGAATTGCATAAAAAACGACAAATGGTGCATATCAAAGCAGCAAAGAATACTTAATATTTCTTTATATCTTAGGATTAATTATTTATGTTATTTCCGTTCAAAAAATATAAATCATTCCTTGCACCAAAATTTTGTTTGTGTTATGTATCCTTAATAGGTTAAATATTTACAAGTCGGCTATTTGTCGCCCTATCATCGAGCTCTGAGCTACAGTTTGATTTTAACCGTCGGCCGAAATTTTAGACACTCTATTGTCCAACGACGAACGAACGACTTAATAAACTGGCTGCCGATGGTCGGACGATGATCGAAGGTCGGTCGACGGATAACTTCAATTGAAGAAATCGGCCACCGACGCAGAAAAAATTATAACTTGGACCGATGGACACAAAATTGGTCGGTCGACAAAAAAAGAGGTTAAAATCGGCCAAGACAACGGCCGTGAACTGCCGACTGTCACCCGAAGAATCCCGATTTTGTTCAAAACCCGTCGGCCGTTGGTCGTTTTTGGTAATGTGACTGGGGTTTTAACCTTTACTTTTTTTTACTGGCAGTGCATTATGATGTGTAACCCTGTACAAAGGCTTTAGAGAGAAGTGATGCAGGGTAATTAATATATAAACTTCCTTGGTACAAAGTAACTTCATCAGAACAATGCAATTCATTGTCAAATTATAATCTTAGGTTTGAAATATTCCACATAACTCAGAAGTGAACAAATAATTTGTTAACACAACATTATGTTGAATTCCCCACAGAATGAAGAATATAATCAAAAGCATGTTATAAAGGGGTAATGTCCCTTGATTTTGATACCTTCTTTGTTCGATATGGGGCTAAATTTGCTAAATAAAATTTTGTTGTCATAAATTCATATTAATAATTTATGTTAAATGAGAATAGAAGAATATCTCTAGTTGTAACAATTTATTTTCGATTATTATAATACATCGGATTCACTTGTACAATACTGAGCATTCTATCAGTGTTTCCAATGGTTACTTTGATCTCTTAATATTAATGTTTCACTATGACATCCCTGCAAACATTTTATTTTTTTTCCAACGTATAATTAGCTGGGAGTTTATTTTTAGACTTCTGTGGTCTCGTGGAATCCTTAGCACTGTCGATACGAGGTCACATGACTGACATCTCTTGAGTCGATTGGTCGGCTCCAAGGGTTAGCAGAGGCTTCTGACGACTGGACGGAGACCAGCAGACCAGAGAGAAAGAGTGACCGACGGTGACGGACAGGTTTACAGTCAGTTTAAGGCTCTGTCCCACATCATGTAGAAACCTTGTCTCCACCTTTCTTGTTAGATCCAGTAACAACATAACACCTGGTCACTATAAAACACCAGTTAAACATTCCCAACCAGGAATAGCAGTAGAAACAATGAAGAGCCAGATATATGATAGAATTTATAAAGATTGTCAACAGACTAAAAAATGTACAGAGATCCTACAAAAAACAGATCCCATATAGTAATGTATCAGATGACATTCAGATCCTGAGAAGACAAGTTATAGAAGAATCCTTCAAGGACAGATTCCATAAAGATGTAATTATTTTGTATCATAAGACAGATTTATTACGACAGACATCTTATAGAGATCCAAAAAAAGACAACATCCATAAATCCTACCAAAATAATACTGTAAATCACTTTTTATTCTTGAGAATCATATTTTCATGTAATTATAACATAAAGATTGTCTGCATTGTGTCCCATATTAATACTGAATACTTTTTTCAAAAGAACAATTAAGGTACCACAAACTCAATGGTGGTCTAGCTAGATCGATATTGTACAGTGCATCTTTTTACAGAACCTTAAAAAGAGATTTTAATGAAGATCCTAGCTATACTTAAGCCATAGTTGAAGATCCTACAGATATGTTATACAATCACTAGATCAATCTCCAATAAAAAAAATAAGTGTAAATCATTACAAACTTCACTTTCTTTTGTACAATTGACGATATAAATTTACACTTTATCAATGGGGTCTTTCTCTTGTCTGATCTTTGACTAAAAATAGCAAAGAGCATGAAAATACCTTACAAATCATAATACAAAGCCAATATCATCAATCAAAATGTTCTCTAATCAGACGTGTTACTTTTATTGTCTAACGATTATTTTACAGTCGATTATAAAGAGCAACAATCCATCTAATATACACACTGAAGATGATCTGATGTTTAATTTTACTAATTATTTCTTCCTCATTAACTCCTTTCCTCATTACGGTTCCAAGTTAAGCAAGCTTAGTTCAAATTATACAGAAAAAGTACTTTTAATTAAAAATGTCATTTGTAGTTCATTTAAAATTCTGTTACATTCTTCATCTTACAAAAGTAAAACTATTTTGTTTAACATGCAATAAATAAAATGTTTTTGTGAAACGCAAAACCCCAGATTTTGGTTATTTTATTACGAATATGACCATGGTTGACGTTAGTGCATTAATGACTATTTTCTTACTGAGATAATGGGGGGAGGGGTTGCGAGGAGAAACAATTAATTTATGCAATCAAAACATGATGCACATTTCATCAGGGAGGGGGGACTGGGAAGGGGGATTTTAAGGGGTCGCAAGGAGAAACAATATGCAATATCAAATCAGAGAGCACATTTAGTGACGTTTAGGATATCCTATGATTGATTTTTTTTGCCTGACATTAGCATTTGATTCTATTTCTATTTCTGCAGACTGTTATGGTTGGACTGACCTGTAGAACATTATCCGTTTATCTACTGTCCCACTCACCTAGGACACCTGATAAAATATCACCATCGTCAGGCTTAATGTGTGTGTAGGGTTGGAATAAATACTAACCTACACTGGACCTGTGTACAGTCTGTCTTTAATTCATTTTATGATTATTTAATGGCAAATATTGTTGAATTGAACAAAGAACATCCGATTTCACCGAAAACATATTAAAACTTTACACCTTTATTTAATGAAAACCTAGCAGTCATTACAATCACCTATAATATAGAGATTATAAGCATTTTCCCAAAGGCTTAATCCTACAAACATGAGGTGATGATATTATAGCCTATGTACCTGGATCTAAGTGGTCCCCACTAGACCTAAGTGGTCCAATTATATCCCCCTGTAGGTGGTGGTAGATAGGGTGACCAAAGAATTGACCACAAATGGGCAGTAAAAGACTTAATTCCTTGCAACATGTCACTGGTTATGCCTGCTTCCCATAACAGTTGTTTAACGAGCATTGTAAATTACACATTATAAATGTAAGATTCTACTGGTGCTTGTCTCTGGTTTTTGTGGTGTTGAGTGGAAAAAAGCCAAAGTATTAAAAGTTGTCATGGTTTTACAAGTTACATCCTTGCCGCCCCCCTCGCGCCCGCGGACCCCCATTCCACTCCATCCTCTCACTGCCATCCTTTGTATTACCAATCTACAACAAAGTGATTCAGATGCCCAGATAAAATTATTTTTAATTAATCTTGTTTTCCAAACATAGAGTAAGAAACATTACAAAGGAGACACTGGAGATTTGAACCAACAACCTTTTGCTTGACACTTGCTACTTAAGTAATACACTAAATCAGTGAAATATACCTTCATCAAAAAACGGAGTTAAGTGACAGAAGATGGAGAAGAACGGGATTTACCTTTTCTCACCAGGATGTGGAATATTTATGTTTCAGTTTGTAAAAACCATTATTATAAGATAAATCACTTTAGTATCCTTTGGTTCTCACAAGCCTTCGGTGTAGCAATAAATTGTGTGCAGGATTTAAAATACTTGTATGATAAATAATTAGTTAATACATATTGTAATTTAGCTAATATAGTAATATACATACATTTTCAGTATATTCAAATATATGTCACATATAACAACCAATTGAACAAACGAGTTTTGTAGCATTCAAAATAAAAGCAGTGTAATTAATTAATAATTAACATTTTCGACAAAGTGTCTTGTCATTTGTTCATTAGATATGAATATGGTTGAAAATAAATGAAACCTTATTTTTAAAAATCAAATGCATGTTTCATGTACACATATAAAGTTATTAATAGGATAATTATTCCATGCTCTATCTATTTTGTTGTCATTATCTCAGATAAATTATAACAGAAAAAATTCTCTGTTTATGATTGGGTTCAATCTTACTAATTCTTTGATGAGATTTATAAAAATAACAATTGATTTATGCAGAAAAAATTACTGAAAAGAGAAAACACCCACAATTTACAATGGGAGGAGAGAAATTTAAACTTAAAACTAAATCACTAGAACCATTTAGGAATTATGCTGTACAAAATTATCAAATGTTTGTACAATTTTCTACAATCATGATCAATAAAATGTTATTTCAATAATACTCTACAATACATGTACATTTCACAGGACACAAGATTAAAGTAATGGCACCCATTCAATCAAAACCAAATTCAAGACTGGACTAATATGAAGTGAATCATATCATCAGATACATGATGGCCGACACTTATAAAATTTACATACCCTGTACACCATGTACACTGGTGTATAGTAATTAGCAATGAAATGATTTCTTACTGGATAATTGATAAAAAAAATAAACAAAGTTATAATATATGTAAAATTTTATATCAAAATGTTGTAAATTGGTATTAATTTTGAGTGATTTTTCAGACAAGCATTATAAAAAATATGTGATTGAGCTTTCATTTTCTCAACATTTTCCCTTGAGTACCTGTATAGTTTGACTTAAAAACATCAAAACACCATTTCTTGTCAAGCTTAAAATCTATTAAACAAGTAAAGAATATTCTTTTTTTTTGTTTTAAAACCAAAAACTACTTATGAGATTAATGTGATATTAGTGACTCTCAATCACGTTCTTTACTGTCCTGATAAAGTTAACTTTCTTCTTCCCGTCCTCCCAATAGCCTTTTTAATAGAAAATTTCAATTTGCTATTTGTGGGCGAATGTCCCACTCTATGCCAAATAAATCAACTTAAAATGTGTGCATCATAAATCATGATAATCAAAAATTTTTTTTTTTTGGCTTTCTCTTTCTTATATTAATAGGAATTGATTTCCATTTAAGAGTAAATAATAGCACAGTCCGCGTAATTTTTGAACGGCCCTTATGTAATTGCAGTTTTGTACAGTCACGATGTAAATTTCAAATCAATAGGTGCAAACCCTCAACTTAAAATGTGTGCATAATCATGATAATCAAAAATTTTTTTTGGCTTTCTTCCTTCTCTTTTTGATGTTGGTTTTTGATGATGGGGTTTTCTGTTTTCAATTTACATGTACGTGACTGGTTAAACAAATGATAATGAATATGTCTGGGGGTTACATGTACTAGGGATGGAAATCAGTTCTAGAATTGAGATGGATGGGTTCTACATGGCCAGAGTTGCTCATTCACATACATTGTACATGTATATCTATATATATGATTTAAAACAAAAGTCACATCTAGACAGATTTTAAGTTCATTGTCAGATTAAAGTTTCAAAATTGGCTACATTTAATATAAATATGTAATATAGTTCAAATGGAATGACTTCACAAGTATGAAGATTGAAGCACCATAATCTCAAAATCTTTTTATTATGTTCCATGGAAAGTCTCAATTAAATTGACTACCTGCATTAATATTGTAATGGTTGAGCCATGGATCTGCTTGCCTTCAGTCATTAGAGCACCTGACTAGTGATTCAGCGGTCCCGGGTTCGATTCCCGTCCAGCCATACATTTTCTCCTTTCAGCTATTACAGATTTGGTGCCATTGACCACTGCACCCCTTGACTTTCAGAACTGAAAGACATGCCAACTAAGGGCAAAGAATTTGGGTTGTGTCTTTGAGGGTGAAGAAAATTTAGGAGGACTGAAGGGGTGTAATGGTATGGGCCATGTATATCAGACTGAGTAGCTGACAGCTGGTAGAGCACCTGACTACAGGATAAGACGTCCCAGGTTTGATTTCCAGTCCAGCCATACATTTTCTCCTCTCCTTATACAACATAAATACCCAATCACAGACCAAGATTTATTGACTGAATGACCAGTGGTCGGTCACTTTATAGAGTGACCTGCTCCAATATCATCACATGGCAATGAGGGCAGGCATGTCCAGTTGTCAATCCAGTGTATTACTTCAGTAAAATATGAATAAGTTGTGGACTACCACATAACAATATAGGCTAAATGACTAGTGACCCACTTGCTCTAAGACTGTTAAATAAAATGCATGTCCAATTGTTACTTAAAAGATATAATAAGTAAGATGGACTATCCAAAGCAAAGAAGGCTGTTCAACATGATTGATCCATATTTTTTAGGTGATGATTAACATGCTGCACTAATTCACCTTTCACTTGATTCCTTTTCTGATTAAGTAACAATTAATCTAATTATTTATCTGTCTGAGAGGATATTCTTGAAGGCCAGGGAATATTTTTATCCATGTACTCTGTCAATTGTAGGCACAGATGATGAATGAAGATGAAACACCGATTTATCAGGCCATGTTTCCTGGCACTCATAAACTGTGTGTACACTGTACACGGTGGTATATCAAAGTAAACCAACAATGGAAGGAAAAGTTCACTATCAGCAAGACAGTTGGTCAAGTTATCAGATCTTAAATGCCCCCCCCCCCCCCCCGTTTTTTTAATTATAAAAAAAATAGTCATTTTCATGGTCATCATGTGCCCAGGACATATGATACCCATTAGCTGAACATATTTTTGTATCTAATTAACTTAAAGAGATATTAAAAATTAACCACATCATTAAAATTTAATGTCAATTGACTCCATGTCTAATATGATGCTGATCTACATGTTAAGTGTCCTTGAGTTAGTTTTCGAACTCAATCCCAATTTAATCTTGCAGTTGTCTTTTGAAATCATGTAATCCGACTTGATCATGTTGTTACTACCTACGTACGTACAGTCTGCCATGAAAATGACAATAAATAGAAAGTTTTTTTTTTAATTTTCTCTTCTCTTTTATCTCATTTTGAAATAAATTTTGCTATATTCTAATAACAAATTTTATGATACCGGGTACATTTTTTTTATTGAATATTCTTAACTCTAAAAATTCATGTCAGTGATTTATTTTACATTGGTTACAGCTGCATGAGTACACTAATGCCCATTAGACTAGCCTAAACTTTCTGAAACCTCTATTAAATATTCTGATGTTAAAAGCTTTTCCATTATCAATCCTGGCCTTCGTGGGAACCGGCAGGTGTCGGTGGCCCACATGGCCACAGTGACGTGGACACAGGTCACCCTCCCACACAGGGGGGGAATGGGGGGGGGCTTACCTTGTCCCCGGGCGTCCGGTACAGGTACATGATCAGCAGCACGGCCCAGAGCAGCCCCAAAAACAGCACCCACCGACACTTTCTCCGAGGCATGTCACTTAATTCAGTATTTTTGTCACATCGTTTTTCCCACGGTTTTAATCCATCGTGCACACAAAACTGTCAACAGTTTCTATTTCTGACCGATGTCGTAGTTTTCCGGTGTCCCCTGATAACTCTCTGTGTACCCGATCAATACACGTGTTGTATTACAGACGGTGTGTATTACTCCAGCACCCAAGACACGGCTTGTTCTAACGCATAGACTAAACGACTGTCTGTCAATCCCGTCTGTTATCATTAGAGGGAGTGGTTTCCCTTTTGAGGAACTCTTCCACAACGGAGATAATAAAAGTGTCTGTAGAAAACAAAATATTTGCTGTCACAGTCATTGTCAAAAGCACATGATGTTTTGCAAAATTTCTTCTGATTGATATGTCAGATTTGCAAATGAAGAATGTCTTGCTACGGATGTGGAGCTAGTTTCGGTCTTTTCCATAAAGAGGTTATTTTTTATGTAAAAATATACAAGATGTACATGTACAGAGATGAGATGTATGACCAGAGTTTCATTTAGTCAAATTGGAGAATTTTTGTTGCTCATTAAAGAGAAATCTCGAAGAAATATTTTTTTTTTAACATTTTGAGGATTTTTGAACATTTTTTATTGTCTTCTTACTTCAAGGAATATAATTTTTTTTAATTATAAGAAGAAAAATTGGATAGGTCATTTCATTTCTTTCATGGATAGTTTGGCCATAAGGGACTTAAGGTCAAATATTATGTTTATTTTTCTGATTATGTAACACCTTTAGCTAGGATGGAGTCCTAATAAGGAGTTGAAATATATTGAGAGAATATATCAGCATGGGGGGGGATGTATAAAAGATATAAAAGTGTCCTCTAAAGAAATTAAAACAAAGTTAATACAAATATATATTGGTAAAAAAGTGAAGTACATTCCTATCTCCTGTGCAAATTATTTGTTCTAATTAATTGTTCTAATTATGGTCCTTGGGGCAAAGAGACTATTGTAACATTTCAGAATTTAGAAAAACAAAATGTCAAGAATTTGGAAAGTTAAAAAATTATGCCTCAATATTTTGTGTATCCAGATTCTATAAATCATTGAATTTAATTCAGTGATCACTGCAATAATGGGTTTTATTTATCAATATGTAAATACACATTAAAATAATGCTGATATAAGAGAGTGTTGTGGCCAATATTGAATAAGCATCTTGTTTATTTCAGCATGGTTGCAAAAACTGTGGGTTTGCCTTCTGTGGAAAATGCCTAACAAAGAAACATGAAGTTCCAAAACTGAACAACGAGAAACACAAAGTCTGCAACAAATGTTACAATATTCTAACAGGGTAAAAATTGTGTCACTTTATTCATCAACAAATGTTACAATATTCTAACAGGGTAAAAATTGTGTCACTTTATTCATCAACAAATGCTGCACTATTAATAAACATGGTAAAAATGGTGTCATTCTATTTCTGAATCATTAACAAATGTTTCTATTATTTATGGTCAATGTTTTAAAAATATTTCATCAGCAATGTTACAATGTCTTATCCAGGTAAAAATCTTGTAATATAAAATAATAAGATATACATTACAGCATACAGTTTTCAATGCTTTAATTCTATGTTCGTTTTTATAGGAAAATAAAACCTGAGGAGAAGAAGAGAGATGTTTCTCCACCAGAGGCCTATAAAAAGTTTGTTCTGATATCACTATAAATGAACTAATTAATGTGAAAGCATTAAAATTTGGGAGGGGGGGGGGGCAATTTTTGTGGATCGCTCAAATTTTACAAGTTTTTGGGGACATTATTTTGTTTATTCTTTTATACCTTTATTCATAAAATATATTCAAAATAATCATTTAGTAACCTTAATATATCAACTTGTGGAGGATATTTATTTGTTGAGAAGAGGTACCCACACATTCACCAAAAAATGAGCCACAACAAAATTTAATGACATATATCTTCCTGTCCATTTTACCTTTGACAATAATTTTGAAATACATTAAGCAGTATTTTAATATGTCTAATATATATATATCATATGTGATCCTGCTGGTGTATGGATCTCCAGTGATGTTTATCTGTTGTAGGAGGCTAGCCGCATTACAGGAGAGAGAAGAACATGGTAAAGGCTCCCCCTCCAAAAAACAAACAGCCAAAGGGACCCCCAAACACCCCTCCCACTCCCATCCCTCCCACTCCCGGGCAGAGAGGGAGATCGAAGAGAGGCTTCAAAAACTCAAGGAGAAAACCCCAGAACAAGGTAAAGGGTACCGGATAATGGTAAAATTACAACTGACTATTTATAAAACAATAATCTTTTAAATGTATCAATGAATAAGGTGTTCTGTAAAAGATAATGAGTGCATCAGTAAGTTTATTAGTGTATCGATGGAATGATTCTAGTCTTGCTGACACGTTCAGACATGTTTACTTACATCCCTTCCTTTGTTGGTAGTTGCCAAAGAAAACGTGTCGGAAAAGGAGATCAAAGAGAGGCTGGCTAGACTAAAGGGAGAGAACCCAGACAATCAACACTCCGATAAAAAAGTGGGTTTACTGAACAAATACAAAAGCATAATGTTTAAGCAGGAAGTAATTGTTGGGTATGATTAACAGCATTGTCTTTTGAGAAACTTCTTATGGTTCTATGATAATCATTAGTATGATATATGTGGTCTCTTTGTATAGCCTGTATACAAACCACCAGACAAGAGAACCCAGCAGTTACAAGTGGACGATCTTCTGGACGAAATTTCTAAAGAAGTGGAACTAGAGAGTCATTTACCAAACAACATCACAGAGCTAGAAAACAGACTGACTAATCTCAAAGGAGGAAAGGGTAAGTCTAACTACCTCACAGAGCTAGAAAACACACTGAATAATCTCAAAGGAGGAAAGGGTAAGTCTAACAACATTACAGAGCTAGAAAACACACTGAATAATCTCAAAGGAGGAAAGGGTAAGTCTAACAACATCACAGAGCTAGAAAACACACTGAATAATCTCAAAGGAGGAAAGGGTAAGTCTAACTACCTCACAGAGCTCGAGAACAGACTGACTAATCTCAAAGGAGGATAGGGTAAGTCTAACAACATCACACAGCTAGAAAACAGACTTACTCATCTCAAAGGAGGAAAGGGTAAGTCTAACAACATCACAGAGCTAGAAAACAGACTGACTAATCTCAAAGGAGGAAAGGGTAAGTCTAACAACATCACAGAGCTAGAAAACAGACTGACTAATCTCAAAGGAGGAAAGGGTAAGTCTAACAACATCACAGAGCTAGAAAACAGACTGACTAATCTCAAAGGAGGAAAGGGTAAGTCTAACAACCTCACAGAGCTAGAAAACAGACTGACTAATCTCAAAGGAGGAAAGGGTAAGTCTAACAACATCACAGAGCTAGAAAACAGACTGACTAATCTCAAAGGAGGAAAGGGTAAGTCTAACTACCTCACAGAGCTAGAAATCAGACTGACCATTATTTATACACTGAAATGACAACAGATTTTTCTGTTATTTCCCAATCATGACAAGGAGCACACGATGGATGTGACTGGTTGGCAGGGGATGCTCACTCCACCATGGCACCTGATCCCACCTCTGATGTTTTGGAGGTCCATGTTTGCTCTGCTCTTATTTTGTATTGTTTTATGGACTTTTGAACTTAGTTGATGTAACTGCTGTTTGTTATCACCATATGTTTCATTGCAGTAAACTGATTCACATAATAGGGAGACTAGGAAACTTCAAAATTTGATACATGCATAAAAGCTCTTTTCAGAAAGAGATTTCAGTCTTAAAAGGTCTTCAAGAAAATATGGATAATGCATGTGTAGAGGTAGAATGAATATTACTTTGATAAAGTTGCGAAAAAGTATGAAAATCAATTGACTGTATATTAGATATGTAGAGTTTTATATTAGAGAGATTTGATATGACTCAATGACCAGTAGACCTACTTAATAAAATGTAAACTATAACAGGATTAATGTTTCATCATTTCAGGTGAAAATTCAGGGCAGAATCCAGACAAAGATGAAAACGATCTGAATCGTGGGGAAGCCAAAGATACAAAGCCGTACGTGCGAAACATTCCGAGTGAGGAGGGGAAGAAAAGTAACGAGGAGGGGGGAGAGATCAGCGCCGAGGAGATCAATAAAATCCTGGAGGAGACGTCAAAAGAGTGTGAGCTGGAGGCCAGGAAAGCACTGAAAGACCTAGAGAAAGACAAGGACATCATGAAACGACTGCAGGAGATCAAAAGTCGACGTAATGACGACGTCAACAAGCAAGGTAAGGACGTCATTAAACGACTGCAGGAGATCAAAGGTCGACTTAATAACGACGTCAACAAGCAGGGTATGACACATCACATAGTCATCTAGATACTGAATCTTTGTTTATCACAAGTAAAATTGAATGTAAAGTCTTGAAAACCAATAATGGTTTCATTGCAGTCAGATGCAGCATATTACCAGTATAAAGTCATTTTAGTTTGGGATATAAGTCAGCTATTATTGCTTGGTGTAAAAATTTACCATGAAATGAAGTATATCTTTGATGTATCCGTTTCCTGATTGACCTTGACCTTGTCAATTTCAGGAGAAGGCTCAGAGACAGAAGACAAAGATAATCCAGCAGAAAATTCCGACACTGATAACGAAGACAAGCAGGCTAGTGATGTCATCAAACAGGTGAGCAGGCTAGTGATGTCATCAAACAGGTGAGCAGGGTATAGTGATGTCATCAAACAGGTGAGCAGGCTAGTGATGTCATCAAACAGGTGAGCAGGGTATAGTGATGTCATCAAACAGGTGAGCAGGGTATAGTGATGTCATCAAACAGGTGAGCAGGCTAGTGATGTCATCAAACAAGTGATCAAACAACGATATTCATAACTTATTGCTAGCTTAAATCTATTAAGAAGACAGGACTGCTGCATTTTTTTAAAATTTTTACTCTCAACTCACAGTATGCAACACTGCTCATAGAAAGAAGCACACTAGTACTGTAAACCAACTTCTATTTCCATAATCTTTTATTTATGATTTGCCAGTTTGAAATCAATTTGCGACAATCAATTTTTGGGACAAATAAAAAGCAAAATAAATGGTTCACAGCAATTTTTAAGAAATATGGTGTCACTATACTCTCAGATATTTCTCACAGACAAATAAAGGTGGTTTACAGAATTTTGTGGATATACTGTCTTGTGTTTATAGTAGTTTATTTAATGTCAGATAATGGAAGAGGACAAGCTGGATGAAGCAGCAGCTAAAGATGGAATCTCAATCAATCAGAACAGCAAAGGGAAGAAAGCTCTGAAACAAGAAAAGGTAATAATCTAATGGAATAAGTAAGCTATAGAAAGCTCCAAAACAAGAGATGGTAATGTGATGTAATAATCGACTAACGGAATAAGTAAGCTGTAGAAAACTCCAAAACAATGTCAGATCACCTATAAATTTAATAAATATCACAGAATTAAAGAATAAGTATGCCCTCGTAATTGAAGATTTAGGGGTATAAAGTTTATACCCTGTCAGTCCATCTGTTTGTCTGTCTGTCTATCTGTTTGTCTGCAAAACTTCAACCTTGTCCATAACCTTTGAGTAAGTGGGGGCATGCAAATTTCACAGGAGTATTCTTTGTATCAAGACCTGTCTTTGTGTACCACCAAACTTGACCTCTTTATTTAAAATTAGAACTTTGACACACTTTTATAATGACCAGTCAGCAAGGGCCCCGCCATGGGGTAGAATTAATAGGTCGCAGCTTACGGAATGATTAAAAAATTTACGAAGAATAAGCAACAAAAAATGTATTCTTAAAATTTCAAGATAATTCTTGAATATTAAAAAACCTGAAAATAATATCCTTGTATTTACATTAGACAGTAAAGAACAACTTAACATTGAATGTATATTTAAATAATTATGAGGCTTGTGTTATATAAAATGCCAGCCTTCAATGAATGCAGATATCATGAAGGCTTGACCTTAACTTCAAACAAACAGCAGTTGCAGACAAAGGTTTTCATTTATCTAAGACAGATAAAGAAAAGCCTATTAAATTTTCTGCAGCAGGCTAGATAATTAATCCCAAGGGATTAATTGACTACCTCTCTCATCATTTTTCTTCTAAAGGTACAATAAGAATTTAACTTTTTCAGTATTAATGACAGAATGGGTTTTTTATACAACTATCCTAAAAATTAATAATATTCTTAAATTAACATAAAGTGAAAAAAGCAAATTAAAAAAAAATCTTCTTAAATCTATTTCTTGTGAAATCATAAAGTTCTATTAAACAAAAATAAATTATAAAGATTTAAATCCACATTTCAGAGTGTTCATAGCATTCCAAATTGACTAAATTCAAAACAAACTTATTTGTAGACAGAGGTGGTAATTCATCTCAATTTGACAGATAAAGATAATGTTCTGGATTTTCTTCAGGAGGAAAGCTAATTAATCCCAAAGGACTCATAGCAGCTAGTATTCAATTTACAATGGGAACATCTTCAGCAGTTATCTCTCTTTGCCAATGCTTTGGTATATAAAATTAAGGAATCTACCCCACCACCCCAGCTCCAATCCAGGGGACATAGAGAACCAAACTAAGCATCAATATATGTATTTCTGCCTACTGAACTACCATACCAAATTTGTACTTGATTGGACAACAATAAAAAAAGTTGTCCATTCATTCTTATGCATAGTTAAGGAATCTACTCCACCACCCCAGCTCCAAACCAGAGGACATAGAGAACCAAACTAAGCATCAAAATATGTATTTCTGCCTACTGAACCACCATACCAAATTTGAACATGATTGGGCAACCATAAAAAAAGATATTAGAAAAAAACAGAAAATTTGTGGACGGAAGAGTGACAGACGGACAGACAGACAGACAGACAGACGGACGGACGGACGGACAGACAGAGTGATTACTATAGGGCACCCGCAAATTCTTGCGGGGCCCTAATAAAATACCAAACTTTAACCTTTACCATAAGTTTTGAACAGTTGGTGCTAGGGCTTTCATACTTCACAAGTTTATTCATTATGGCAAGACCTTTCAGGTTTAAATATTTTTTTACCTTTTGACCTTCACTTTTGATTTTGACCCACTTTAAAAAAACTTTTAACCTTGGACATAACTTTTGAACAGGTAGTACTAAGGCTTTCATATTTCACATGTGTATTTATTGTGACAGGACTTTCCTATTGATACCAACAATTTTAACCTTGACCATGACTTGCATTTGAGAAACTTCAACCTTTGACATAAGCTGCCATATGGGGGTCGTCAGTGTTTTACAAACACATCTTGTCTTAATTACATGTTGTTATTTAACCTTTATCTTATAGGAAGAGGAGGAGGATGATGAACTTCCATACTGCTGTATTTGTACGGAGGACGCAACGATCCGTTGTCATGGCTGTGACCTTGACCTCTATTGCAATCGCTGCTGGAAGTAAGATTCATCAAAATTCATCATATAATCTACAGAAAGCAAAATCTTATCAAAATTTGTCAACCACATGATGTCTTTTTAGGTCACCTGAGTCACTCAGGTGACCTATTGCTATCTGTTTTCGTCCGTCGTCGTACTCCGTTCGTCGTTCGTCGTCAATCGGTGGTAAACTTTTGAACATTTTCAGCTTCTTCTCTGCAACCACTGAACCAATTTCAAAATCTTCTTCTCTGCTCCTGGGTATTGAATAAATTAACTAAGTGCATAGTTATGATGAACAAGAGTGCCTCTACCAAAATTGTGAATTTTATTGCCCCAGGATCAGGGGTTATGGTGTTGGGGGGGGGGGGGGGCTCTATTGATTATGTAGTGAAAATGCATTATTTCTTTGAAAATCTTCTTCTCTGCTCCTGGGTATTATATAAACTAACTAAGTACATAGATATGATGAGCAAGAGTGCCTCTACTAAAATTGTGAATTTTATGGCCCCAGGGTCAGGGGTTCTGGTGTTAGGGCGGGGCTCTTTTGATTATATGGTGAAAATACACGAATTCTTTGAAAATCTTCTTCTCTGCTCCAAAGTATTAAATAAACTAACTAAGTACATAGTTATGATGAACAAGAAGGCCTCTACCAAAATTGTGAATTTATGGCCCCAAGGTCAGGGGTTCTGGTGTTAGGGCGGGGCTCTATTGATTATATAGTGAAAAAACATTAAATCTTTGAATATTTTCTTTTCTGCTCCTGGGTATAAACATATGAACTACCTATATAGTTATGAGCAAGGGCCCTACTCTTCCAGTATTGTGAATTTCAAGACCCCAGGGTCAGTTGTACCATAGAGGGGGGGGCTGTACTTATATACTGAAAAATAATGAATTGTTTGAAATCTGCTCCTTGGTATTAATCAAATACTTTTGAAAAGCAAGGACGCCTTTTCAAAAATTGTGCGATGTGTGGATCTAGGCCTAAGAGTCAAGGGTTCAAGTGTGGTAGTGGCACTACTGATTATTATACCCCACGCAACTAGTTGCGTGAGGTATAATGTTTTTGACCCGTCCGTCAGAGTGTCAGTCAGTCAGTCAGTCAGTCCTTTTTTTTGTCAGCGCAACTCCTCATAAACCGCTGCACAGAATTTCGTCAAACTTTGCAGGTATTTAGGACACAATGTGTAGATGTGCATATTACCAGGAAATTCCGATTCCTTTATTTTTTCCGGGAAATTCTGCACTTTTTAACTTAGGCATTTGGCCATACCTTGAATATAGAGATGAACAGTTTGTCAGCGCAACTCCTCATAAACCGCTGCACAGAATTTCGTCAAACTTTGCAGATATTTAGGACACAATATGTAGATGTGCATATTACCAGGAAATTCCGATTCCTTATTTTTTCCGGGAATTTCCGCACTAAAAACTTAGGTTTTTGGCCATACCTTTTATATAGAGATGAACAGTTTGTCAGCACAACTCCTCATAAACCGCTGCACAGAATTTCGTCAAACTTTGTAGGTATTTAGGACACAATGTGTAGATGTGCATATTACCAGGAAATTCCGAATCTTTTATTTTTTCCGGGAATTTCTGCAGTAAAAACTTAGGTTTTTGGCCATACCTTTTATATAGAGATGAACAGTTTGTCAGCGCAACTTCTCATAAACCGCTGCACAGAATTTTGTCAAACTTTGCAGATATTTAGGACACAGTGTGTAGATGTGCATATTACCAAGAAATTCCGATTCCTTTATTTTTCTGGGAATTTTGGCACTTTTCAAATTAGATTTTTGGCCATACCTTGAATATACAGATGAACATTTTGTCAGTGCGAACCCTCATAAACCGCTGCACAGAATTTCGTCAGACTTGGCAGATATTTAGGACACAATTTATAGATGTGCATTTTACCAGGAAATTCCGAATCCTTTATTTTTCTGGGAATTTCGGCACTTTACAACTTAGATTTTTGGGGATATCTTGAATATAGTGATGAACAGTTTGTCAGCGCAACTCCTCATAAACCGCTGCACAGAATTTCATCAAACTTTGCAGGTATTTAGGACACAATGTGTAGATGTGCATATTACCGGAAAATTCTGATCCTCCATTTTTTCCAGGATTTTCAGCACTTTGAGTTTTGGGGGAGCGTGGGGTATGTGAGCTTGCTCACTTTTTAGCTCACCTCAACGAAGTTGGGGGGAGCTTATGTGATACCCTCGGCGTCGGTGTCGGCGTCGGCGTCCCAGGTTAAGGTTAAGTTTTTTGCAGCAGTTTTCTTTTTAATTACTTCTGTGTCCTATACTGATGAGACATGCATGGAAGATGCTTCAAATGTGTTTTATTGTACCAGTCAAAGTTTCAGATGCTGCAATTTCAGCAAAGGAATTACCAGGTTAATGTTTTTGGAGCAGGTTAACATTTTGGTGCAGTTTTTGGTGTGGGTTTCATTTCCAAGTAACTATAAGCCCTATGTTGACCAAACTTGCATGGATGATACATCTAAGGATGCATACTACCGGGCTTGCTTCGGATGCTGAATCTGACCTACATTTTCCGGTTGAGTGAACAGGTTAAAGTTTTTGGTGTGGGTTTCATTTCCAAGTAACTATAAGCCCTATGTTGACCAAACTTGCATGGATGATACATCTAAGGATGCATACTACCGGGCTTGCTTCGGATGCTGAATCTGACCTACATTTTCCGGTTGAGTGAACAGGTTAAAGTTTTTGGTGTGGGTTTCATTTCCAAGTAACTATAAGCCCTATGTTGACCAAACTTGCATGGATGATACATCTAAGGATGCATACTACCGGGCTTGCTTCGGATGCTGAATCTGACCTACATTTTCCGGTTGAGTGAACAGGTTAAAGTTTTTGGTGTAGGTTTCATTTCCAAGTAACTATAAGCCCTATGTTGACCAAACTTGCATGGATGATACATCTAAGGATGCATACTACCGGGCTTGCTTCGGATGCTGAATCTGACCTACATTTTCCGGTTGAGTGAACAGGTTAAAGTTTTTGGTGCAGGTTTCATTTCCAAGTAACTATAAGCCCTATGTTGACCAAACTTGCATGGATGATACATCTAAGGATGCATACTACCGGGCTTGTTTCGGATGCTGAATCTGACCTACATTTTCCGGTTGAGTGAACAGGTTAAAGTTTTTGGTGCAGGTTTCGTTTCCAAGTAACTATAAGCCCTATGTTGACCAAACTTGCATGGATGATACATCTAAGGATGCATACTACCGGGCTTGCTTCGGATGCTGAATCTGACCTACATTTTCCAGTTGAGTGAACAGGTTAATGGTTTTGGTGCAGGTTTCATTTCCAAGTAACTATAAGCCCTATGTTGACCAAACTTGCATGGATGATACATCTAAGGATGCATACTACCGGGCTTGCTTCGGATGCTGAATCTGACCTACATTATCCAGTTGAGCGAACAGGATAATGTTTTTGGTGCAGGTTTCATTTGCAAGTAACTTTAAGCCCTATGTTGACCAAACTTGCATGGATGATACATCTAAGGATGCACACTACCAGGCTTGCTTCGGATGCTGAATCTTACCTACATTTTCCAGTTGAGTGAATAGTTAAAAGTTTTTGGTGCAGGTTTCATTTCCAAGGAACTATGAGTTCTTTAATGACCAATCTTGCATAGATGATACATCTAAGGATGCATACTTCCAGGCTTGCTTCGTATGCTGAATCTGACCTACTTTTTGTGGATGAGTGAAAATGTTAGTTTTGATGCATGTTTCATTTCCAATAAACTTTGAGCCCTATAATGAGCAAACTTGCATGGATGATACATCTAAGGATGCACACTAATGGACTTGCTTCGGATGCTGAATTGGACATACATTTTTCAGATAATAGACAAGGTAAAAGTTATGGTTGCAGGTCTATTACCAAAAACTATAAGGCTTATATAACATTGTATAAACCAAACTTGCATAAATGCTGCATCAAGAGATGAAAACTCTCAAATTTGCTTCAGATGCTGGATTTTCATTACATTTTCATGAAGAAGAAGTAGTTTAAATTTTTTATGTAGGTCTATTTCAAAGTATCAGATCAAAATTGCTTTTAAAAATATTTTCATTTTTGGAATGTATACTTCTTGTTGGTTAATTGTGTGACTTTGCCTTACTTAAAGACAACATTCGTTGAGGTGAGCTCTGTAATCTCTGATTACCTATGTTTCTATCATTGCTGAATATTACTGATTTGTTGAAATGCAATTTTTGTTCCCCTACCCTTCCTATGGGTATTAAGTAGTGTTGGCAACGAGTACCCGGTTAACCGGTTAACCGTCGAACGTTGCGAGTATCGGTTAGTAAAACTGCTATTCGGTTACTCGGATAAAATAAATTCTACATAGTAAAGGCATAGAAAATGAATGTTTTATAATTTATAAATGTATACGAACTTCCACATTTCCCTAATTTTAGGACCTGATCTAGTGCATGGTTGTAGTGAATCAAATTGTTTTGATTAGTTTTTACAGTTTATATAATTAATAGCTTTGATTGCATGGGGTACACATATTTTGAAGGCCTGAGTTATAATTACCTCATTTGATAATTTAACGAGATGTCGCCGCAGACATAATAAGCTTGGAATTGTAACAAAAGAACAGCTGATTCAAAATCTGATAAATCACCTAAGCTTAAATTATTCGGAAACCAGCGATTTACTGGACACTCCACATATTGACTATTAATTATGGAGTATGTAAATAATTATTCTCCTTGATTGCGACATATTTTGAGGGCTGAAAAAGAATGTGTAAAATGGTGATTGACGATGACGTATTTATTTGTCTTTGTGTGTCGAATTCCTATTAATTCCCTTTATTTTAAAATCGTAAATCTTTGACGATATCGTATGTGTGTATTGTAAATATAATGTCCCTATACAGTATATTTGTGCATTACTACTACCGATAAGTATAGAATAAGATAAATAATAGATATTGGTACTTTTACCAAAAAATCATCCGAGTAACCGGGTACTCGATCGGAAGATGAAGCGAGTAACCGGTTACTAAAAATCGTCCGATTTGCCAACACTAGTATTAAGTAACCAAACTAAGCAACTGCTAAGTGTATAGTTATGATGATCAAAATTGTAAATGCTATAGCATCTGGCTTGAAACATGGAACAAATTCAATCACTGGAAAGTTGTTGCATAATGCTCAGGTGACCTATAAGGCCCATGGGCCTCTTGTTTAAAGAAATTAACAAGCTATTCGATTAAGACATGATAAAGTGTTAAATGAAGAAATTATTTAAATTAACAAGCTGTGAAATTAAGAAAATAATAAACTCAACTTTTTCTTTGTTTAGGGAGAGCCATATAGATTTTCAGATGGAAGATCATATCACGTCTAAATATATAAAACCCAAGGGATGGACATAATTGGGTGATATCTGACTAATTATATCCTATTGGACTGGACTTCATTGAGTGATATCTGACTAATTATATCCTATTGTGCTGGACTTCGTTGTGTGATATCTGACTATACAGTAATGATATCCTACTGGACCTCATGTGATGTCAGAATTTACTGTAACTAAATTGTTTATGTGTTTCGTATTGAAAACTGTGAACATGACAGATTATGCTAATTAAGCTATTTATATACATGTATCCAAGTGCTAAATGATACTCAGTTAATTTATGTGGTTTTAAAAAATGAGTACCCGGTAATGCTAAAGACTTGTTCAGTAATTTTAAATCTCTGCATTGTAGTATTTATCTATAGGTATAATAGCTAATATGTCTCTTTGTAAATGGGATATGATTTTTTTAATAAAATTATAATTTTAAAATTTATATATTTTTTGAGCCAGAGTTATCAAAACTTGCAAGACATCTTAAATTTACTTGACTGTAATGAATTCTGGTTTGTTTTCTAGTCTTGATATGAGGCCATATTGAACCACACATTTGTCATTTCAAAATTCTTTGAAAGATAGCAAAGAGTACAAAACTTGCAAATCAAAATTCAATTGCCTTCTTTACATCTTTTTGTGATTAATTAGGTCAGTGATAATATGTCTAAAGGCTAAAACAGTTCACAGTTTCAGTTAAAGCATATCTAGTTTAAAAATCTTACAAGCCTCAAGGTTTCTTGTTTGATTTTATTAATTATCACACTTATTACAAAGCCTGTAGGATATGTAATCTACATCCAAGTTCAATTTTCAAACCTTAGGGACACAAGTAGCTGAATAAGTTGAGCAACAGTGTAGCAAACATTTAAAGTTTTTAAAATATAAAATGTGAAAAGTGAACACATAGGGATCTTTTCTTCAAATTTGCTATCATGTGTTGAGGCAGATATTATTTGAAAGAATAAAAAATGAATAAAATTTCAAATATTGAGAATTTTCAGAACAAAAATTTCATCAGAGTTAGCATTTGAATATGAAAGACAAAAATAAATGTCAAATAAATGAACATTTGTATTTGTTTTGAATATGACAATGTTCAGAATATAGGTTAAATTGGTCATCCTGCTATAATTTAAGAAGAAGGAGAATGTGTTTGGATACATGGAATCATTATGTTTTTTGTTAAAAATTTATGTATTTGATTAATAAATTTATTATTACATGGAATTGTGGATACAGTTATATTTTACATTTGGTGAAATTTACATACCATTTGAATTGTCAAGAAAACAACTCACTTAACTTTTAAAGTGTAAGCTAGCACATAAAAAAAAGTAGAAATGAAAAATTTTATTATGTAAGATGTATATGAGGTATATGACGTATGAATTTACCAGAGAGGAAATTGTATAAAAATGAAATAGTTATTATTAGAGTATCTTTGACCACTAAATATTTATAATGCTTGTCGAGAGGTAGGGTACTATATACGAACGTTAAAGTAATAATTAAAGTTTGTTTAAATTGTAAATATGTGTGTATATTTAGCGAGTTAAGTAGAATTAGCAAACAAGAATTCGAAGCATGCAGTATATCTAAAAGGTACAAAAATAATGAATTAAATTCCCGAAATATTTACAGGTAAAGTTATGAATTCATTATACAGTACGTACTATGTAATCATAATACATGTGTATATACTTAATTTCTTTGTCTAGTCTTTTGAGTGTCATGTCTATCATACATACTGTTTATGGCCTTTATTGCTTAATTATTCTGCGAATATCCAAAGTCCAGATCTACCAAGGGTATATTATTGATTTTTTTTTTTTGGGGGGGGGGGGGGGGCTTGGAAGGTCAGTTATTTGAAAAATGAACCAAAATTTTTTATGCTTTTTGACATTGTTTTTGGGCATGCATAAAAGATTTCAAAGAGCTACAGATATTGCACAATTTTCAGTTAAAAATAAATATATTCCTCTTTCCTATTCCATGGGTGCTTGAGCCACATGGAGAGAGAGTAACTGCATGTTTATCATCACAAATTTTCTCACGTTTAATTTTGAGGGGGGTCTTTGTTTTTATCCTACTTTTTTAGTGTTTTTATCTTTTTTGTTTTTTGTTTTATTTCTTTGTTCTTTTTCTACTTTTTTGTTATTTAATACATGGAAATTTCAAAATGTTGCATCCAAAAAATCTAAAATACACTATATTTCATTCATCATGACCGAAGTGAACTTGAAAACTGACTATATGTTGACCCGATAGCTCAACCAATGAAAATACGGAAAACAAAGAGCGTAACAAATCAACCAATCACATCACAGCCCGCCAAGGGTAGTATAGCGTCCTTTCGTTCTAACACAGGAAGAAAGAGAGATTTTGGAGTAAGTGTATATTTTACGTTTATTTACAAAATTTTAAATGAAATTGTCTTAAATGACACACGATATTAATTTATAAACATTCATTTCAGAAAATCATGTATGCACAAATGGTTATCATTTATTCGTTTTGCTTATAATTCGAAAGTGAAACGTGGGGATTCAACTTTCTCTTTTGTCTGTTTACATATGACGCCATCGGCGTGTTTACAAACTGGCAGTAGTTAATCTTCTTTTCAAGTAAGAATTCGGAAGTTTAAATGTGAATACACACATATAATTATCATTGCACATATTACTTGCACAATTTGATTTGCATTGACTTGTTAAATGGCAGAATGAGAACGGTGCCTAGGTCTGCTGTGTAAAGCCTCTATTTAATTTTGCTAATACTCATTATTCAAATGTAAGGCGGACACGCATAGGCGTTTTATTTTTTGTATTAGTAGTTTTTGTAAATTTAACTGTATCTTATGAGTTGACCTATTCAAAACAGCCCTGAATTTTCGACTTATTTAAAATGTATCAAATTTTAATTATTCCGTACGTTAGTATAATATCAGTACAGTACTATAAATGTTGATTGTTTGCAGGGCTTTAAATGCCAAGTATCAGTATGTGGCATAATTCTATAGGCTTAACTAAGCAAAGAAAAGCCTTTGAAGATTTGATAAGGGATGGTCCTTAGTATTAGTATATGGTTAATGTGATTGTTAGCGTGTTTTAATGGATCTGTCAATTATAAATAACCTATAGACATATTTATCTTGTTTTATAGTATAGTCCGTGTCCCAGCCCAACACAAGGATGGCATCGCCAAGAAGAGTAAGTATATTAGTGTTATTGATTCTATTTATAGAAAGGGGGTTCCCTTTCAATATCTTGGTCACATGGGTGTTATGTATGTGTTTAAAGTTCTCTTGCATAAAATAGGATGTGCACATGCATGTGCATTGAATCCAGGTTATTATTAAGAATTATAATGCATGAGAAAGTGTACTGAATTTCTTACTTAAGGTAAATATGTCTTATTAAACTTCAAGTTTATAGGCAAAGAGCATTAATATCTCTCAAAGTGTATTTATAATTGCAAGCAATCTGAAATGATGCAATTGAAAGATGATACATTCAGCAGTTCTCTTATGACTTGATCAGAGAAGAGAGTTGTTCATGAAAGACAAATAGATCAAACCCCAGTTTCATATGTGTTGGCCATTCAATATTAAAAAAATGTATTGCATGATGTAAGTGTGTGTTAATCATGGAAGTTTAATCTCTTCATTTTGTAGTGACTGATCTCTATAGAGTGAAATGATTATCAAGGCACAAGTGATTGTCATAACATTTTATTGTGTTTTCACAGGGTAAGAGAACTTCATCTAAATCTACATCAAGGAGTCGATCAAGAAGTCGGTCTCGTAGTCGGGGAAGGAAAGTCCCGAAGTCCCCACCCTCCACCAGAAAGACCCGGTCCCCAGCGCGCTCTAAGGCTGATTCCCCAGGAAGATCCAAGGTAGCCACCCCCACCAGAGGAAAAGTGGAGTCCCCCGCCAGAGGCAGGAGGCGGTCAGTAGAGCGAGCAGTGACCCCTACCAGGAGGTCAGCCCGTCTGGAAAACAAGGTCTGTCTCCAGGGTGTACAAATGTACAGTTACTTAGACCATTTAAAGTTCTGCTAATATTGATTTCAGGGATTAATCTAGGACATTTTTACTACCGATATTGGGTATTTTTCCCCAAGAGAATTTTTCCCCTGGAGATTTTTAGGAGGTGTTTACTTTTACTTTTAGACTTATGTCTAAACATGTTTTTAATTTTTAAAATTGAATATTCCCAACTTTTAGACAAAGGATCCAGAGAAGAGAGTGCCAGTTGAGATGCCCTCTATGGATGTACCCAGGAGGGTACCTAAGACGACTCACCACGAGTTTGGAGGGGCCATCGGAGCATTCTTTATGCTGATTCTGCTTCCTGCCACAGTATATGGACTCAATCTCATGTGTGACAAGGTAACCAGAATTTACTCTGTTAAAATTCTGAGAGAAAACAATCTCTTTTAAAAAATAACACTATCAAGAAGTAACAGTTGGTAAAGAAAAGTGTAAGATTATTTTGAACAAAAAAATTTCATTTCCAGAAAAGTTGTAAGCCCCGTATGATCAAGTTTCCCACTGATCTGAAGTTATACTTTGACTGGGAAGCTGCAGCCATTTACTTGGGGTGGTTTGTCTTCCAATCTGTTATCTACCTGCTGCCTATTGGACGAATGGTCAAAGGTCAACCACTGAGGTCAGGGGGTCAACTAACCTACAGGTGTAATGGTAAGTTCTGACACATTATCCTTCTCTGTTGATTCTAAATATGAATAATAAAGAGAGCTGTGTTTCCCATGGAAACTAAGTCACAAAAAATTTAAACAATATACAGGTGAAGTTTTTAGAAAAAGGGGGTATAGAAGAAGATCCTAACATTTGGCCTCTGCATTACATTAGTTGTGTTTATTTTACAGGTTTCTTTGCCCTCCTGGTCAGTTTAGCAGCCTTTGGTGCCGCTGTTTACTTAGGGTATCCAGTACAGAAGGTCCATGACAAGTTTCTGGCTCTGATCACCACGGGGACGATTTTCTCCTTCGTGATGAGTGTTCTGTTGTACATCAAAGCCAGGCGTGGTCCCAACAGCAAGCTGGCCCCCGGGGGAAACACTGGTAAAAAAAATCACTATTGTTGATTTAATATAGACGGGATGATCAATTAGAATTCCACATTGAAAAATCTTACAATCCAGTGTAGTTGTGGTTTAACATAAACCAGTTTTATAAAATCTTTTTATTATATAAATCTTTTATTCATGAATTTCTCTTGAGTTTTGCTCATGCAACTTATTTTATTCAGATTTAAAATAGACATCTAAAACAATTCTAAATGCCGAGAAACTCTGATTTTAAATAAGTTAGCTGTAACATAGATTTTAACAGAATTTTCAATATTTAAAAGTAATGTTATTCTAAATCTTTCAGGAAATGTTCTATACGACTTCTTCATTGGACACGAGTTGAACCCGAGGATTGGTAACTTTGACCTGAAGTTTTTCTGTGAGCTTCGCCCTGGTTTGATTGGATGGTTGATGATTAACCTGGTTTTCCTGACCGAGGCGTACCAAAAGTCCGGTTCCCTACCCCCCGCCCTCACCATGGTGGTGGTGTTCCAGGGTCTCTATGTGGCAGACGCTCTGTGGTTTGAGGTAAGGTTGTATAGGTGAACAGATGATGAAAATTATTAGCATCACAGCATCAGTTAATGTACTTTAAAGGCAGAGATTTTTTACCGGATGGTAAATTCCAGGTGAGGGAGGGGCTTATTTTGTACAGGTGTGAATGCCTTGGGGGCTAGTAGTCTACCTGTGGTCATCTGTCTCCTAATCCCTATACACAGGAAGTGATTTAATACACAGTGAAATACCCCAGGTGTCAAACTTTACCTGTGTTGATGATTTTGAGAGAATTATAAAATTAGCAGTGAAAGGTTGTTTTCATTCAATTAGATATTGATTTATTTTTTACTGTTTGAAAACACCCCTACCAATTAAAAAAAATTATGATATCATACAATAAATTCAAATATTAAAACAAAGATTGTTTTAGACTTAATGCAGTGCTCTAAATTGCAACTAAAACGGTCGCATTTGCGACCAAAAAAATGATTTTGCGACTAGAAATGAAAACACACTCGCATTTTCGCGACTGAGAAAATTTGGGCCGGAAACGTCCAATTTTTAAGATCGGGATCGAGATTTCATTTGTAAAGATTCTCTATCAAGAAAATGTTTGAAGACATATACTTAAATACACTTTACAAAGCGTTGCATGGACTTAGACAGGGACCAACCTAGACCCAAAAATTAGGGAGACTTCACTTCTCCCTCAGAGAAATTTAGGGAGAAGTTTTGAAATTTAGGGAGACTTCTTAGCGCACGTGATGCTCACTGATCATTATAAAACTTTTTAAAAATGAAACTATTTCATTGTTTATAACTTGAAATACTTTTCAATAATTTTTTTCTGTATTGAAATCCTAGTAAAAATAATTTAAAGGAGAAAAAGAATCTGATTTTTTTTTCCAATTACAAGGTATATCTAGCAAAAAAAAAAAAAACAACAACGAACAAAACAAATCAAAAAAAATAAACAATGACAATGTAAAAGATTTTTTTTCATTTCTAGCATAATAATTAATATGCACAATTAAATTTTAAATTCTATCTTTTCATTTTAAATTTGAAGCCTCATTGCATAGTCATAATTTTGTTATTATCTCTTTAAAATTTGTTTTCAATCTTAATTTTTTTTTTTTTCTGAAAAAGTTTTGATGTACTACGTACTGCATGCTGATTGAACTCTGTATATCAGACATGTAATTTCTTAGACAGTCAATAACTACACAATTTAACAGTAAAATAGGTCTGTATTCACAGCATGAATTAATTATTTGGCAATAAAAAGATCTAAAATCATCTTCAACATCTTTGGCATGACATCGATATAGCTGACCAGCTGTTTTGTGTCTGGTTGTGCATAACTTCCTTGTAACGATGGACTTTATCATACCTGGAAGTGTAAAATCTAGAGGAGTTCCGACAGAGTATTCGATGCATTGGTCATACTTAGTGAAACAGGTGCAAGTGTCCTGCTGTTTTGTTTATTTCGGCAGTAATAAAACAGGATTTATAAACTACTGACGATTCTACCATGTTTTTTAATAGATTTTTTTTTTATAATTTTCAATAATGGGGTTGCAAATGTTAGGGCGACTTTATCTTCGCTTTCATGATAAATTACGGCGAAGTTTGGAGCCCAAAAGCGACTATTTCGCCTCAGTCGCCCCCTAAGTTGGTCCCTGCTTAGATCACGTAATGTTATGACAGCATGGCATGCTGTACAAACCTGAACCAGAGACGTGGACAAATAATGTTCCTGATAGAATGGCATTCAAACTTTGTACACTTTTTAAGATCCGACCTTGTTATTTGATCAACTGCTTGCATATCACAATGAATCATCGTTGTATTATCATGCTAATAAAGAGTGTTTTGGTGGCATTTATAATGACTGTGTTATGGGTTAGGTAGGTAGAAGTAAGTAAACATAACAAACAGCAGGCAAAGTCCTATCTCAACAGCTGTCAAGCTTGTATTTTCAATTGATAAAATTTTATTTCTGTAATGAGATTACTTGTGTTCTTCTGTACAACCATAAGGGTACATGTATTCAATAAAAATATTTCATTCTTCTAGCAAATTTTTATAGTCACAGTAATAAGTAATCTATGATATAGTAAAGACATAATACATATCCTTATTTAAATTATCAAGTTTTATTCACAAAATGCATTTTTTTTTTAATGGCGAGTGATATTTTTGATTATGGCGACCAGAAATTCTGAAATGGCGACCAAAAAAATTTTTAGGTCGCCATTTTGCAACCTGAGAGCAAGTGTGACTTGGAGCACTGTAATGCATGTATTAATAAAAAAAATCCTGTTACAACCAACTTAGAGTAATTGAAAATAATTCATTCCTTGGACCCCATCTATGAATTAAATGAAAAGAGAGCTGTGTTAACTACATCTCGCAAAAAAAAAATATTCAGATTCATCCTAACATTAATAAAGCGTTCTCACCATGAAACATCCTAAAAGATTGCTTGTAAATTCTTTTTTTGTTTAAAAAAGGAAAATATATTAAGTGACCTATGGTAAGAAAAATTATTTTTAAATTTAATTATTTTACACAGTGCTTTTTCTGAACTTAATTAATAACATTTCCACTTTAGGTTTTCCGTCATTGAAAATAAAAAAAAATGTCCAAATTAGAATTTGTAACCTCCATGTTTTCTTTCCAAGTTTCGCTATGTGTAAGACGTCAAAATGTTTAAAAATAATCCTGTGATAGGTTTGTCTACCATTTTTCCTGTGGCCGTTGCATAACATTAAAATTGATATCGAAATTTCATTTGGAAAAAAAAATATGTACCAAAGTTTCTTTTTATAAATGCATATTATATCATTATCCTTTCAAATACTAAAGGTATATTTATTTCATATGTCATTAATCTAAAGATGTTCATGGTAATACAGTTTCTGTATACTATGTTCAGTAAACATCAAAGGATCAAAAGTTAATTAGAAAGTCACCACAAGTCCCAAACAAGGTGTACAGGGTATACACAGAGACCAGTAGGTAAATGTCAATCAAGTTCCAGCATCCAATGATGGACTTTCATTCACTTGATTGACAGGGCTGCCCAGACCAGGTGTTTTTAAGGCGGTGCATAAAATCTCTGCCTTCAAGAGCAATGTAGAGTAGTAAATGTTAACTATTAATGAGTTAATTTTATAGGTAAAAATATCATTATTAAAAAGTAGAACAAGAATTTATCTTTTCTGATATACTTGGAAAGAGAGGAGGTTTTGCTCTTTCATATGAACTTATTTAACAGAAGTCTAATTTTCCAATATACCTAAAAAGAGACACAACACTGCTGTTTGATATGAATGTATAAACTGAAGTCTTCTATTTTAGGATGCGATCCTGACGACTATGGACATTATCACTGACGGCTTCGGTTTTATGCTGGTGTTTGGAGACCTGGTCTGGGTACCGTTCCTCTACTGTCTACAGACCCGCTTCCTGGCAGAGCACGGAGAATCCCTGCCCTGGTATTGCCTGGCCGGCATCACAGTCCTAAACTGTAAGTGTGTCGGCATTCTTTGATCCCGTCAATTCAGGTATAGGGGATATATTATGAAGGAAATGTGTGGGGGGAAGAAGCAATCCAGTGGCAGTTGGAACCCTGCCAAATTGATAGATGTTACTTTTTTCCCCCAATATTTGATAAATTTCCAAATTTGGTGAGAATTGATGCTATAGTACTCAAAAGAAGAAAAAATGAAAGTCTGTTGGTAACTTTTCATTCTTTGGAGCATGACCCTAACAGCTCACTTGCAGCCCTTGGGTTTGGGAATAATGATGCATATTTGATGCAACAATATTTGAAATATTTTATGAATTTTCTCCCCAAAACTTATTGGAGAAAATCAAGTTAATGTCGTTTGTTGTTCATTTCTTGCACTAAACCTTGAGCTTCTACTACAATGGTTGATACAATTTGTATTTTAGTTGTTGGATACACAATATTCAGAGGCAGCAACTCTCAGAAAAATGAATTCAGAAAGAATCCCTACAACCCTGCATTAGCTCGTAAGTATTCACATTTCTGCCATTTCAAGTTGAAAGGTGTTCCAAAATATTAAGATGATTCATTAATTGGTGAACAAATTTCTTTTTACAGATTTGGAGACAATTCCTACATCAACAGGAAAGAAACTCTTGGTGTCTGGCTGGTGGGGACTGTGTCGAAAGCCAAATTATTTAGGAGACATCCTTATGGCCCTGTCTTGGTCATTGGCTTGTGGTAAGTATTGTCAGAGCACTTAACAGATTACATTCTGGCAATTTTTCTCTTCATTCTAAGATTTTTGTGAGAAAGGATTACAACATCTGTGATTACTATTGCAGGTTCCAGCACACCCTTGCCATATTTCTACCCCGTGTATTTCACCATCTTGTTGGTTCACAGAGAAATGCGTGACTCGGAGAGCTGTGCCAAGAAGTACAAGGCTAGCTGGGACCGCTACTGCGAGCGGGTCAAATACAGGATCTGTCCTCTTGTCTATTGAAAGGATATAATTCTCGGTGTTAAAAATTCAAGTTTAAATGCATCCAAAGACTTGTTTTATTTTATTTCATTTTAGGGACAATAAAGTTTTAAAGAGATAATATTTTTATTTAAAGATACTTGTGTATGATTTTAATGAAGAGTTTTATAATAGAAGAATTATTATCTAAGATTTTTAAAGTTAGTTTTTAAGATTTTTTTTTAAGTTAAAGAGAGGAAATGTAATATTTAAAAATTTGTTTTTTTATTTCAACTTTATATAAGTGGCAATATGACATTTTTTCTCAGGGCTGTATAAGTATTAGGTTATCTGTACCTATTTAACTTGCCATGGGTGTACATGTATAATGAGTGTCATATATAAAACATTTTAATTTATTCATCCCATTTCTGTACCACAAATGATATAGTTAACATTTAGATTTCAAAATTATGTGCAATTCAAATCATTTTCCATGTCCCATATATTCTGTAAATATTGTAAATATTTGTACATAAATGTGTGTGCTAAAAGTAATTGTGTTAAAATGTTGATAAATATGATATGTGGCCTGTATTTCTATTTTTATCATGAAATGCAGAGAAAATTGAGTTAAAATTCTATGTTTTATTTGCTAAATTTTGCTATTTAAGAATTGCTAAGAATCTAGTAAAAAAAATATATCAATCATTCAATGTTGTAAAGATATTCTGAATGAAACAAAAAATGTAAATCCTTCCAAAACTTTAAAGCATAACTATTGTAAAGTGTCTCGGATTAAAAAATCAATACTTGATACTTTTATGTTTTAATGTTGAAATGAAGGGGATCTAGTTTGCATTCTTCGAGTTGGTTGGGTTGTTGTGTCCAAAGCCAGCACTACTTATATTCTTCATTGATTCTTTTGAAATACGTTTGAGAATAGAACATTATTTACAAGGGTCATTCAAAAAGTTTAACATCATTATATTCGTATTTGGTATACATATTTTAATAACAAAGAGCAAGAGCCAGCTTATGCATAAAATGGCCCTCTTCTTATATCAAATAACTATCACCTCTTTCCCATTATATATGTCAAAATAAAGTAGACACTTGGTGCTTTCATTTTCTATAAAAAAAAATTTCGTTTTGAGAATCCAGATATTGGATTGATTGATTGAATATTGTTTAACGTCCCTCTCCAGAATATTTCACTGATATGGAGACGTCACCATTGCCGGTGAAGGGCTGCAAATTTGGGCCTATGCTCGGCACTTTAAGTGCTATTGAGCAGGGAGGGATCTTTTTAAAATTTTAAATGCCACACCTGCTGTGACACGGGGCCTTATTTAAACGGTGCTCATCCGAAGGAAAAACCCATTTAGTCGCCTTTTACGACAAGCAAGGGGGTAACTATGGACCTGATTTAGAGGATCCCCACGGGATTGGAAAACAGGTTTGAGAAATTGCAATGTTCTTGAAATTTGCAGAAAACATGCATATTTGACTACCTTTAGCAAAGAATTAAATTATGAGCACAGCCCACGATCTAAAAAATAAAACATGTTTTGTGATCTTCAGAAACAGAGCTTTCGTTACGTATTTGCATATTTTGGATCAGAGGTTGTGCTCTATATGAAATATTAAAAAATGCTTCAATTTTAGTCCATTTTCAAAGGAATTTACACGAGGAAAATGACGCGTTTTATGACGTCACAATGCATTGACTAGATGGAAAATTATATCACAACAGATATGTGGTCACCAACACTCCAAGTGATAAAAACTGTATTTGCAACCTAAACTGAGCGGTTTTTTTATTTTTCGGAAATTTTCAGGGCCAAATAAGGCCCAACCTGGCTCTTGCTCTTTGAATAATTATACCCCCGCAAACGAAGTTTAGGGGGACATGTATAGATTTGGAATCACCATGTCCGTCACGTCTGTAGACAAGATTTTGTCCGTACCGTTTCTCAGAAACTGTTGGATGGATTTGTCTGAAAATTTATACACTTATTATTCACCATATGAAGGTGTGCACCTGGGATTTTCATCATGATTGGATGATTTTACAGGCGTTTTTTCTTTTTTATTTTGTGATTTTGTTTGGCTCATAACTAGAAAACTATTAGACTTACAATCATCAAACTTGGACAATTTATGCATCTTGGGTAGACGGTGTGTCATGACCTATTTCAAGGTCACTGTGACCTTTAATTTAAGTGATTTTTTTAAAAAAAACTTAGTCTTTAAAATTTTAAATTTCATAATTCTAAAAAATGTAAAAATATAGTTGTATCCTTATTAAAAAATGCTAAATTAAGTAGAAACTTATTTTTCATCATATACTTTACAGCAAATTCTATAACAAATGTTAATGATTTGGGAGGAATTCAGTTTGTCCCATGGGCATAATTATCAAGCACTGGTCAAGGAGAATTTTTGATAGCAGAAATGTGCATGTCAAATTAGAGAGAAATTAATGAGTTCATTGTCGGGAGTTAACTGGCAAGAGCATCTCTAGATCTTATCTTAATTTATCTCTTGGGAGTTGGGCGAAAAGAAATTTCCTTATAGTTGCTTGTGTTAATTAAGAGTTCTTGATGGCTGTAGTTCAGATAAAGATCTTTCAATTGGTGTAATGTAATTAAAACAAATTGATGTTTTAGTGTATGATTAAAACTGAATTAGTATTGTATAATATAATTAAAATTAATCATGCATGTGTTCATTGAAAAAAAATTACATTTCAATTTTTATATATTTGCAACAAATTGCAGCCATGTCTCACTTAGAATTTTATAGTCTAAAGAATAATTTAATTTTTGATTTTTTTTATTAGACTGTAGCATTTCCATTATTTCATAAAATATGCAATAAACAATTTAAAGCTGCAGATGGATATTTGTTAAGCTCTAACACAGCCAGTTTAGAATTATATGATGTATTATTTGTTTTTAATTAATCCCTACACTGTAAGTCTCTTAGAGATGTATGTACAATATTTTAAACATGATAAGAAATGGAAATTAGATCATTGAAATCTGTGTCAATCTGTTAATCAAGGTTACTTAATTTTCTTGCACCCTAACCAATTTATGATTATCGAACAATATTTGATGGGCGTATCATGCTGTGGTGAGGCACTTTGTTAGACAATAGTTAATACCTCTTACTAGATCCATAAAATATTTCTGAATTGGCACCTACTCTGAAAAACCCAGCGGGGGTATTTGTCCCTATTGAACAGTTCTAGTTTGAGTTTAAATATTTGAATATATCTTCATATTTATAAAAATTATCAAAGATTTAGAACAGCAAAAATGGGGTCACGGAGCAATGTCCAAATTGAGTATTTTATTATTAACTTTCACTTTATAATACTGAATATCTTGAGCCATACCTCTAATACTAGTAAATGGGGCTGAACAAATTAAAAGGAGATGGGTGAACAAGGCGGGCAGAAAGCCTACAAAATAGGATATCATATACGATATGTGAATTGAGTATTTTAAAAAATTAACTTCTAATTACACATGTACATGTATCAAAGTTATGAAATTATGAGAAAAAAATTTCTGAGAAAAAAAATCTCGTAAAAAAAATTTCTTTGATAAAACAACATGTAAAAATACAATGTATAAGATGCTATGATTCGAACCCCTAGCATTAAAAATCTGACGTATTATACTGCTTTGAGACTAGCGCGTTAACCACTATGCTACATGTCCTATGTTGAATTAAGGCATTTAAATCAAGTCTCTGATCAATCTAATTAAAATTAGACCTTTCATCTCGTTCTTCGTTTTTGATATGTCGCTGTTCACAGAAGAGACATATCAAAAACAAAGAACGAGATGAAAGGTCTAATTTTAATTAGATTGGTCTCTGATATGACCTTTGGCAACTGTTTTGTCATAAAAGTGTGCTTTTAAGGTATAGTGGGTCTTCGCTCCATGTTTTTGTAACAAAAATGTATAAATTATTTTATATTGCAAACTTTTAGGATTATCTTTCAATAAAATGGAGGGAAGAGTTAAATAGGACATAATGGGAAAGAAGTTAAAAATCTTGTCAAATGAGTTAGGAACGTCATAATATCACGTACGCTTAACTGTTGCAGAACACAGAGTTACATGTACACGGTAAAAAAAAAAATGAAAATCTAGTTCAAGCTATTAGCAAACTAGGTGTTAAGTGTTATGAATACGTTTTTAAGAATAGGGAAGACGCTTCAAACTGCGTATGAAATTGAAAAGCAGAGAAACTAATTTCTCGTCGTTGTTTTTGACGTTACAATTTTAGTTAATAACCGTGCTTCGTGATAACAAAACATATTAGCTGAAAGATTGGCTAATATGAGTTAGGGTGAGTTCACCATGCATCGGATACATGCCTTGCTTCGGACAACTTTAGGCAATAAACTCTCTTTCAACTATAAATTTCACCGGGTATAACCATTAATTCGGGTGTATACAAATCGTGAACAGAGTATCCTCTAGTCGATGGAAGATAATACATATGCCTTATCTGATCAAATTTGCATTTTTGGGGGGATATATTTTGCTGGAAAGCATATAAGCTTATTGAAGAAAAAAGACATTTCTGAGTGTATGGCGTTTTGGCACGTAATGATGAATTAGCATTTGGACAAGCCATGTTTTATATCATTTTTTTCTCACCTAAAAATCTTATTCTAATAAGTTTGCAAATGTATTATTTTATAATTAGATAAGTATAGAAATTGAATAAATTGACAAACAATATATTCTTTTTTAACATTCCATCCACAATATCGCATGTTGTGTTTTACTCAGTGATTTATCGGTGAGCAAAATTTTGACGCTGTTTACGGAGATAAATGAAAACAAAGACATGCATGCCATAAATGGTTATGTAGATAAATTATCGTAGAAGACAATGGTAATAAACAGTTTGTTAGTGCATTTCCACTGAAAGTGTACACTAAAATCACAGGCACCTGACGTTACTTATTTTTCTTTTAATAAGAAAAAAAACACACATACCTAATAATAAACGTTTATTACCAGGTATGTGTATATATTTTTTTTATTAAAAGAAAAATAAGAAACGTCAGGTGCCTGTGACTAAAATGAGTGCTTTTCTGAGGAGGGGTATCGAGTGTAATTCGGAGTTAGGTAACCTGTTTTATAATTATACACATTTAATACATGTATTTAATATTTATAAATCATATATGATACAAGGGTTAAAATTTATTTCAAAACAAGTACATGTGAGTGGCAGGCTACTCAAGCTTGTGTTCTAAAAACAATTATTAATATTTAAGTTTAATATGAATTACTTTGATTATTGGTTTAAATAATGAGGAATCTGCTTTCAAATTTCTCTTTTTGCTAGAGGAATTTAAAAAAATATACCATCCAATTGGTACTTACATATTTATGACACTATACACAGAAAATATTTTTATTTTTATTAACTTCATTGTAAAAACGTTTGTATATATAAAGGCCTGCGTGAGAATCCCTTTTTTCTATTTCATTAAAGAATACGAGTGAAAATGTAGGCTTGTCAAAACTAGACGGTATCATGCACTCTTCATATTAAAACACATCTTTCTCTTTAAGGGGGCTCTCTACAACGTCACAACATGGCGTACTTAACGTAGGTCGTGGGTTTGCTGACGTCATTAAAACTGGGTACGCAATTTATATGATTTGGGCGACTTTCTTGTGCACATCTGATTATGACGTCACGGTGAGAAAGGGAAAAATTCAGTGCATTATCTAGCTATAACTTTTGTAAAAATGGGTAGTTTAGTGTAACAATATTCATCGAACATGCTGAAGTTATAAAAAATAATGAAGGCTTATTTTGATTCCAATGACCAACACTGAAAGTGTTAGAAAGCGTTTGATTATGTGTTATTACTCGCATCTTCTCGGGTCTATTCTGAGAGCACAATTCGCTAGTGATTCGTGAAATGCATTTGTTTTTAGATTTCGCGCTACATTTAAACCAGGAAGTATAAAAACATCTCAGTTTGTAAAAACAGGTGACGTGTCTGGATGATAAGGGTGTGTTAGACTGAATGTCCGAAATTACTGTCTGATAGATCAGGTAGGATTTTATAGTTTTTTCTATCACAATTCAAATCATTTTCTCTATATTATTTGTATATATGTACATGAGTTTTTCTCATGTCCTTGAGGATCAAGTTTCTCTTTCCAGGCACATTGTCATTATCTCTGCCAGATAGAGAAGAGAATATATAAAAAGCAAAATGTTTAGCACTTGCATGGCTTTAATTTAAGTATTATTTGACTTATTAAATATCTTAGAGTTACGACTTGGCAAGTAAATAACGCAGATGTTTATTGTATGTTATAGATATCCATCATGGACCCCCGTACCAGTGCCCAGGACATTATGCGATGTGACCTGTGTGAGACCGCTGTGGTACAGATGCACTGTGATACATGTCTTGTCAACCTGTGTACAGCTTGTGTAGGAAAACATATGATATCTGATGAATCCAAGGACCACAAAGTCGTCAAATTTCAGTCCAGGAAATCTACTCCCATCTACCCTGGGTGTAAATATCATGACAAAGAACGAAGTGAAATGTACTGTAATCAATGTGACATTCCTGCTTGTGTTTACTGCATTACATCTGATCAACATCAAGGTCATAAAATTTTACCATTAATGCAGGTTTGCAAGGAAAAGAAAGAAAAAGTAATTGAAGAGAGAAATGAACTAAATGAGACAATTTATCCCACCTTCCAGGACATTGCCTTTGATTTACAAAACAGAATGAGTCAGTTAGAAACGGAATATGGAGATCTCTCAACAGCCATAACAAAACATGGAGAGGACTGGCACAGAGAAATTGACAAACTTGTCAAGAAACTTAAAGCTGAAGTTGATGAGATGAAAAACACACAGTTACAAACTTTACAGAAACATCTGGACGAAATAAACAAGACAATGTCTAACATCAAGGATGAAATTGAATCACTTGAAATCGTTACAGTCACTAATGACATGTCAAAACTATTAAGTGTTGAATCCAATCTATATACATACCGAGATCTTCCAAAGAAAAATATGCCATCAGTACCTAAATTCATTTCTGAAAAAATTGAAGTAGATGACTTTAGTAAACTGTTTGGATCCTTATCATCAGATAAACATGGCTACAGCATGAAGACAACACAGAAATCACCAGAAGCTGGATCCCCTCCTCCAGTCAAACAGCTGCTTGATGAACCAGAGACTGTCACCACCATAGACACTGGGTTTGGAGTACTTAACAATGTGGCCTGTCTGAGTGACGAAGAAATATGGACAAGTGGACATGACAGCACCATGAAACTCTACAGCATCAATCAGGGATCACTACACAAGTCAATCACAACCAAGTCAGGGAACTGGCCAGATGACATAGCAGTGACAAAAAGTGGAGATCTAGTTTATACTGACACCAGTGATAGAACTGTGAACATTGTAAAGAATGAGAAGATAAAGGAGGTAATCAGACTACAGAAATGGAAACCTCGCGGTGTCTGTAGTACCTCCTCTGGTGACCTCCTGGTTATCATGGACAGTGATGGTTACAAACAAACAAAAGTTGTCCGTTACTCTGGCTCCACAGAGAAACAAACCATTCAGTTTGATGAGAAAGGTCAACCTCTCTATTCATCTGGTCAATATAACAGATACATTACAGAGAATGGGAACCTGGATATCTGTTTGTCTGACGGTAAAGCTAATACAGTAGTGGTGGTCAATCAGGCCGGGAAACTGAGATTCAGGTACACTGGACATACTCCTGCTCCAAAGAACCAACCATTCAATCCACGAGGAATCACCACAGACAGTCAGAGTCACATCCTTACAGTTGATTATATCAATGACTGTGTCCACATCATAGACAAGGATGGACAGTTCGTTCGCTACATCGACCATGGACTGTATTATCCCTGGGGACTGTGTATAGATACAAATGACAATCTGTTTGTTGCTCACACCAAAAATGACACAGAAGTAATTATCAAGATTGAGTATATGCACATTAAGTAAACTATGATTTACAATGAAGATGCATAAAATAAATTACTAGTATTACGTGTAGTAAGTCACATTTAGGCAGGTAATAAACTGTACAGAAACCCCGTATATGGATACAATGAAGAACAATTTATTGCAGGTAGTTAAGGTCAGATGAGACGTTCCTCAAAATTTGTTGTGTATATCTTCGTAATGTATGAAAAATATTCAGAATTTTAATAACATTCTGATTTCTAAACAGTTTCTAAACGTTTTTAAAAATCCAAATGTAAACATCTGAAATTGGAAAATAATTTTCAGAGGATCAGTAAATCATTTAGTCTTATCCTTGCTACAAAGATGACAGGTGACTCTATAGATCACTAAATTTTTGCGACACCTTATTTTCGCGAGAGAGTCCTTGACTTTTAATTAGAGAGACAAAATTTTCACAAATTGTGGTTATTGCTCTATATAATCCTAAGGAATACTAGTATTAATTTCTTAGAAATAAATTTTGCGAGCAAACTGTCAAGCGTAATTACGCGAAAATAAAGTTCTCGTAAATAAAAAGTGATTTACAGTATTACTGGCTATTTGAAGGTCAAATGTCATAATTATTCCAGTGTTGTAGTTACACCATATAGAACTCAAAAATATGTAGAAAACAAAGGAAACTTAAATTTATGTTTCAGAATGCCAAACATGACGTTCACTGATGATTTTAGGCACAAACTGGGGTAAAAGCCAAATAAACTTGTAGCTTCTTTAAAAATCAGAATGGTCACTATTTTTTGGAATGGATCTGTTCCTAAAACTTTATATCTAATCTACGAGTGTAAAACCTGAGTTACATCATTCCTGCAAATTAAGGAATTGTCTTTTATAATTTCTTTTTAATTTAATAGATACATGAGAATGCAATTGCTGTCAAACATTAACCCCCCCCCTTTTCTGAAGTTAATTCAAGCATCTCTCTACAGGAAATGGAATTAGTGTATTTTATACTTTCCATCTGAGCATCTCTCTTTACAAATTTCACATTCTGTTCTTCAAAGAGATGTAAATATCACAAATAAAAAAGCTATATGTGTCTGAAAAATCTTCTATCTTATAAAGATAAGCTTTGGAAGCACATTCGTTGAATACATATTACATATTTTACTCAAGTACACATTATAAAAATTTCATATCATTGTTACATGTACTCTACAAAATATTATGCTACTTTTATACTTCTATCCATAATATATAAATGTTTCTCCTTTATAAAGGTTTATCTGCGACAGCTTTATAATCTTCTGTGAAGTGATTTACGGCAGTTTAATCTGCGTTAGCTGAACAATCTCCAGTTTCCTGTGTCAATGTTTATCACGACCAGTTACTGTCCAAACTCCTTCACTTTTGTCCAGTCTAATGTATATTTCCACAGTTCATCCCGTAATTCCTCATTTTTCACAATGTCTGTAAACTCAACCTCTGCACATTCCCTGTCATAAAAAATAATTTTGGTTAAATTTACAATAACATTAAGTTGAATTTAAATATAAAATACTGGAGAAGAAGAAAGTGTTTATGAAACAATGATGCCGACAGACAACAGACAAATTTTGATCAAAAAATCTTACATTTGGCTCTAAGCTGAAATAAAAAAAACAACAACAATCAATTCATTTTTTTAAATGCTCATATCATCATAAATATTATACCTACTTCTTTTTTCTAATTTATCAAAGAATAATTCATTTTGTTTGTAACGAGTCATTTGACTGGACGAAAAATTAATTTATATGGTATAAATGGGTTGCCTACGTCAGAATGACTTATGTCAAAAACGTATCAATCCGCTGGAAGTTACATTAAAAATATCCAGAGTTTTAAGATACTTTTGAAAGAGAAATTGCCTTTTTTTCTAATTTGAATTATGGAGAAATTTATAAGGAATGAATTTAATAGCCTTCCAAGTTATGCTGGTACAACCTGGGTTGGAACTATTAAAGTTTTTACATGAAAACTTTTACTCTTAAGTGTTCAAAGTTCTTTTAATTTTATAAATGCAGGCTGATAATATATAAATTTTTATTTATAAGGAAACTAGTTTGCCTCATTCGTAGAGTAGGTGCTTGAGAATAGAAAGTGAACATTCTTAATTGATATAACGTCTTGAGATGTCTTTTGCCCATGCACTTTTGATATTGGCATGCTATTTCACAGACAAATATACATGTACTGAAAGGAAAATGAAACGCAGGGTAAACTTCTAAGGTTGTTTAATATAGGTTTGACGAATTTTTTTCTAATATTCTTTATCAATCATATTTACACTCCTATGCTCAATAAATTTACAGATATTCAATATTTTTTCCTGATCAATCATTAGTTATCGTAGCCCATTTAACGGTACCCCCATTAAGTGAAAATGAAAAACTCAAAACCTTGTATGCTCCCCTCGCGCACCTGTCACAGCCCTGATTCTCCTGTGCATGGAGTTCATAAGTCCATTTATCCTTCTTATGGGGATATTATCCCACTCTTCACCTAAGGCAATCTTTAACTGGTCGAGAGTAACAGAATTGGGGCGTCCCTTACCCTCCTGTCCAGTTCGTCCCACAGATGTTCGATTGGGGACAAATCTGGACTGCATGGGGGCCAGCCAAGTGTTTGAATGCTCATGAGGTCGGGCGTTATCGTGCTGGAAAATTAAGTTGTGCAGTTGCACAAATGGAACAGCAACTGGGCTGAGGATTTCATTCCTGTATCTAACGCCAGTTAAATTTTCAGCAACCACATTCAAGGGTTACTTTCCCCCATGGGAAATCCCACCCCAAACCATTACTAAGCCACACCCAAACCTGTCCCTCCCAAGAACGCAAGCATCGGAAAGCCTTCCCCACGGCGTCGGTATACACAACGTCGACCGTCCCCTCGAAAAAGAGTAAACAGGGACTCATCTATGAAAAAGACCCGTCTCCTTTGCCTCAAAGAAAATAGCCAAGTACCATGGGCGACCACCTACGCCAAATGACGCGCTCGACGTACGGGAGTAAGGGGAAAACCAACATAAGGTCGACGAGCTCGCAAACCAAACTCGCAAAGTCGGTTACTCACAGTTTTAGTGGCGGTAACGTAACGATTTTGCAAATCAGTTGGACGAATTATTCTGTCCTGACGTCGCAACGTTACGCGCGGACGTCCTCGTCGCGGTCGATCGGAAACCTCACAGTTTCTCTAAAACGACGGACAAGACGTTCTGTCGTAGAAAGATTAACGCCAAATTGCAAAGCAACCTGTTGTTCAGTTCCACATATTATTGAATCAGTAGATCAAGATTTTCGAGGGATTTTTGATATTTAAATCAATAATTCATATAGTTCATGTTTTCCTGAAACATAATTATTGGATTGATCATTCGTGAAATACATGTACAAGTGTTCTTGCGGTAAATCCAAACAGGAAGTATAAAACACGTCACAGTTTGTGAACACAAATGTACATGTCTTGTGATAAAGGGGCGTTAGACTAGACTGAATGCCCGCCATTTGTTAAATGATATACCAGGTAATATTTATAGTTTCTCGTTTCATGAAAAATACCACTTTCTTTTTTATTTAAGGAATGTTTTTAAGTTTTGTGTGAGTTTCTCCGTGTATATCTCTGCGCGTGAAAATGGTATTCAAATCCATTTCAATGTTGGCTTACTAGAAAAACACTGCAAATGTAAATATTGATATATACATGAGCTTTAGTCTTGTCCTAGAGGATTTCTCTTTTCACTTGGTATCGTTATAAATGTGGTGGTGGTTTAAATTAAGGTGGTGGATGAGGGCGGACAGTCACAAAATATTTAATATCTTACCTGAAATCTTTGACTAGCAAAATAATGAGAAATATAGCTTTTTCATGTAATTAATGACTGCAATATTAAATGGGAGGGGAACGTTATACCAACCTCTTAAGGAGATTTGCAACAACAAAAAAATAATTAAAATGGGAGGGATAGTTCATCAACCCACCCCATTGATACCACGTACGTGCTTTTTTTCTTGGCGCTTTTTACTCAACATTTTAGAAGGCGAGATGGCTATTATACCTTTACCCTCTCATTGTGAAGTATTGAAGATGGATAGAAATACATGAAAAAGCAATTAATTAAATATAAAATCTATAAGTCTGTAAATAATGTAGACCTTTCTTGTGTGTGACAGATACAAATCATGGACACCCGTACCAGCGCCCAGGATGTGATGCGATGTGACCTGTGTGAGACCGCTGTTGTACAGATGCACTGCGATACATGTCTTGTCAACCTGTGTAAGGCCTGTGTGGGAGAACACATCTCAACAGGTGAATCCAAGGACCACAAAGTCGTCACATTTCAGTCCAGGAAATCGACTTCTCTCTACCCTGGATGTACAATTCATAGCAAAGAACGAAGTGAAATGTACTGTAATCAATGTGACATTCCTATCTGTGTTTACTGCATTACATCTGATGAACATCAAGGTCATAACATTTTACCATTAATGCAGGTCGCCGAGGAAAAGAAAGAAAAGATAATCAATGAAAGAAATGAATTAAATGAAAAAATTTACCCCACCTATCAGGGAATTGCCTCTGATGTACAAAACAGAATGAGTCAGTTAAAAAGGGAATATGGAGATCTCTCAACAGCCATAACAAAACATGGAGAGGACTGGCACAGAGAAATTGACAAACTTGTCCAGAAACTTAAAGCTGAAGTTGATGAGATGAAAAACACACAGTTACAAACTCTACAGAAACATCTGGATGAAATATACAAGAGCATTTTGAACATCAAGGAGGAAATCAATGTAGTGGAAATTGTTTTGGACACAAACGACTTGTCAAAACTATTTAAATTTGAATCCAATTCATATATTTACAGAAATCTTCCTCATAGAATTGTGTCATCTTTGCCTGAATTCATTCCTGGAAAAATCCAAGAAAAACTTAATGAACGGTTTGGGACCTTATCATTACTTTCTTTAACTTCAGATGCACATGGCTACAGCATGAAGACAACACTGAAATTATCAGATGTTGGATCTTCTCCTCCAACTAGACAACTACTTGATGAACCAGAGACTGTCACCACCATAGACACTGGGTATGGAAGACTTGACAATATAGCCTGTCTGAGTGATGAAGAAATTTGGACGAGAGGAACAAGCAGCAACATGAAACTCTTCAGCATCAATCAGGGATCACTACTCAAGTCAATCACAACCAAGTCAGGGAAATGGCCATCTGACATAGCAGTGACAAAAAGTGGTGATCTAGTTTATGCTGATGCCATTAATGGAACTGTCAACATTGTGAAGAATGAGAAGATAGAGGAGGTGATCAGACTACGTACCTGGAGACCTCAAGGTGTTTGTAGCACTTCCTCTGGTGACCTCCTGGTTATCATGTACAATTATGTTTACGAACCAACAAAAGTTATCCATTACTCTGGCTCCACAGAAAAACAAACCATTCAGTTTGATGATAAAGGTAAGCCCCTTTATTCATCTGGACTTTATAACATTTACATTACTGAGAACAGGAACTTGGATATCTGTGTGTCTGATGGTGGAGCTAAAGCAGTAGTGGTGGTCAATCAGGCCGGGAAACTGAGATTCAGGTACACTGGACATACTCCTGCTCCAACGATTAAACCATTTAATCCACTGGGAATCACTACAGACGGTCAGAGTCACATCCTAACAGCGGATTATAACAATGACTGTGTCCACATTATAGACCATGATGGACAGTTCCTCTGCTACATAGAATGTGGACTGAGTAATCCCTGGGGACTGTGTACAGATACAAATGACAATCTGTTTGTTGCACATACCAAAAATGAGACAGGAGAGATAATTAAGTTTAAGTACATGGACACATGAAGTAGATTTTCATTTAAAGTCAAGATACATACTGTCTAGTATATGGTAACAATAATGACAATTTGTTATTGTCATTACTAAATTAGATAGAGGGATAGGTTTACTTTATGCATTGTTTCAATGTCAAGATTGGCCACGAATCATGACATTGCTTGTTATTGTTTACGTGGTTATACCATTATGTTGATCCCACATGTTTTTCTCTGTTATATGTTTTTGTCTTTGAGAACTAATTATTTTAGAAGATTATGTTATTGAATTATGTTATGCTTTAAGAAGAAATTGGCAATTAAAAAAGGAATTTACTTGCAAGGGTTTCAGTAATGTAATCAGACGAGTTAATTCATACCAATAACTACATTGAAATGACATATACAACATGACATATGCAATACGTACATGTAAGCCGCTATTGTATGACATCATCAAAAGGTTCACATGGAACAATAATTTGAATCTGAATTAATGTAAAGCAAGTACAAGTAGTTACTGGTTGAATTATACTTTTCAAAACTTAAACCATTCATATAATGCCTGTAGATTTGAAACCTATTTTTATGGTTGTTGTCATTTATTTTGCTGAAGAATATTACCCTGTTTCTGATGTCTACAATCCTACTTCAACCACATTAGATAGTGTATTGTTCCTAATTTTTTCAAATTCTTTATTTATTACGTAGTTAGTAGTTAATGCATTCATTGTACATAGAAAGTATATGTTTATATTGAATAGGATAATTTGGAAGTATATAATTGTTTCTAATTGTTCAAATTATTTAAAAAAATTATGCCTGTTACTAATCTTTAGGAAAATAAAGGATTTTGATTGGTTAATTTCTAGATACTAAAGCTATATATAATGGAAAGAGATTCTCAGTTTTGTCAGATAGCTTCACTTTTCACTTGTCTGTTTAAAAACCTATTAGTTATGATGAATTCTGCAAATAAAGACAACAATTTCTATAAAGACAAATTCTAATTATTCGTCAATATAAGGATTGTTTTGACAACCTAGATTCCTAACATTTTATGAACTCCTAACAACTAAATTCCTGATAACAGAATCAGTCCTGACACCCAGAAATCCTGACTTTTTATCTGACAAGTGAATTACTGACAATTTTTTAATATTAATGTAAACCATTGTTAATCTCCATATTTTTACTTTTGATACAGCACTTTTTTCTCTTTAAATCCCATTTTGAATATAGATATCTTGAACCTTATACTAAGCTATCTCCAACCACTCATGAGACACAAACAAAATATTTTATGCATATTGATAAGGGACCAGCACAGTTTTGTGCATCAACTGTTGACTTGTTAATAAGTTTGTGACGAGACTTAATAAATAGTGACATATGGAGTTCCTGTTTAAAACATCTACAGTGGAAATAAGATATACCGAGGCCAGCCTATTATGTACAGTATGCTTGTATTCTTATATCACTTTTTATTAAATTTAGTTAGTCAAATTTGGAAAGTGCTAGAAATAAACAACAAGTAACCCTGTAAATGGATAAAATGAATGACAATTTATTATTCAAAAGATTACACTCGACTGGTGTTTTCTCTTTATCCTGATAATGACAGGAAGCGCACAGCGATTGTGACCGGTCGGCACGGGATGCTCACTACTTCATGGTACCTGACCAGATTACCGGGGGTAATTTTAAAATCATTTTTTTTTTCTTCATGGTAAAAGTAAAGTAAGACTCTCAACTTTTCCATTCAAAATTTGATTTTTCAGGGGAAAAAATGAAAGTTATACCACTCTTATTTAAAAAATCCAATTATTATACAATAATAAAATTCTAAAATAAAATATACAGAACATGTATAACTTTCATTTATTCATTCCTTCGGGTGTTACAGAAACTCAGCTTTATATGTGGAGATTCATCGCTGTTGCTGACAAATCATGTATAGCACCATTTTACTATTAAGTCTTAACCTTGCTACAGAGGTGGTAGATGACACTAAGAAAAGTTCTTTCTAGTTAAAGGTCAAGTGTCAAAACTGATATCCTCAGTGGTGTTGTGGCTGCCACATTCAGAGTACTCAAACGAAAGGAAACGAGGCCAAATATCCATGACAAACAAAGAGGGTCACTCATTTTCATTGTCATGTTGATAAAATCAAGTACATTTTTATAGCATGAGCATGGACCTCTTATAAAAATAATACTTGATTACCCTCTATCTATAATAGTAGTAATAATTTGTATTTTAGTTGTTGGATACACAATATTCAGAGGCAGCAACTCTCAGAAAAATGAATTCAGAAAGAATCCCTACAACCCTGCATAAGCTTGTATTCCTCGTAAGTAGTAATGTTTCAGCAATTTCAAAATAAAGGTATTCCAAAATGCGTAAAATGTTGTACATATGATACACAATATTGGTTAACAAATTTCTTTGTATCATATAATTATTAGTTAACAAATTTCTACATTACATTAACAGGAAAGAAGCTCTTGGTGTGGTGGCAGTGATCTATATTTTATTCCTTTCTGCTGATGTGTAGGCTAGATTTGATCTGAGGTGCAGTGTGGGTAGGCAAAATCATGATAGGAAAACCACTTAACAACATTGAGAACTGTTGGCTATTTTTACTCTGCTTATATAATATAAAAACTTCCTCTCTAAATAATCGAAATAGGGCCAATACTATACTTGAACCTACTTGATATTGCTTGAACCTGCTTAATATTGCTTGAACCTGCAATATTACATGTGTCGTCCTAATTTCTTATAATAAAAAACTCCAAGAATAGGGAAAAACATATAATCTCTCCAGTGCCTTGACAGTACTAACCACAAACTTATGACCAAGACAGGCCAATAAGAGAAAGATATGGAGATAACGAACAGTATTCAATCTCAAAGTCTACAAACAAATACAAAATAAGAGCAGAGCAAACACGGACCCCGAAACATCAGAGGTGGGATCAGGTGCCATGGAGGAGTGAGCATCCCCTGCCGACCGGTCACACCCGCCGTGTGCTCCTTGTCATGATCAGGAAATAACGGAAAAAATCCGTCGTCAATTCAGTGTATCACTAATGGACTAACGATTGGTATGAAAAACGTCAGTCAGCATTTGACCCAAGGATAAACTGTATTTGCTGACAAGGTCATTGTATCGACCATAGAACTTACGAAATGATGACTTTAAACGGGACTGTTGATATTCTTGTTTCATCAACTTGCTTGTCAATAATTTACCTCGTTTTAGAAATTGTTCCTTCATAGAGCATGCTCTTGCGTATCGAATCAACTGAGATATATATACGCCGTATGAAAGTGATGAGGGTATATTGCTGCATAAGTAAGGAAAGTTGACGTTAAAGTTAAAGTCATCACGTTTATCATATAGCTTGGTTGTTAGAAATTGATAACGGGAAATATTTTTGGTTTTTTGTCCACTAAAAGGAAAAAAATTTTCGGCGTTGAAAATTCAATTTTAAATGCATTCAAAGATTTGTTTATTTTATTTTAGGGAAAATATACAGTTTACAGAGATAATATCTTTATTTAAAGATACTTGTGTATGATTTTAATTAAATGTTTTACAATAAAAGAATTATTATCTAATAAAATCTTATAAAATTAGTTTTTTTTAAGATTTTTTCTTAAGTTGAAGGAGATGATATGTACATGTAGATGTAGTATTAAAAAAATTTGTTTTCTTATTAAACCACTTGCCACTTTATATGACAAGTGTCAATATTACATTTTTTTCTCAGGGCTGTATAAGTATTAGGTTATCTGTACTTATTCAACTTTCCATGGGTGTACATGTATAATGAGTGTCATATATAAAACATTTTAATTTATTCATCCCATTTCTGTACCAGAAATGATATAGTAAACATTTAGTTTTCAAAATTATGTGCAATTCAAATCATTTTCCATGTCCCATGTATTCTATAAATATTGTAAATATTTGTACATAAATGTGTGTGCTAAAAGTAATTGTGTTCAAATGTTGATAAATATGATATGTGACCTGTATTTCTATTTTCATCACGGAACACAGAGAAATTTGAGCTAATATTATATGTTTGATTTGCTAAAAATCTATTTAAAAATATTGACAATACATGTATGTTGTAAAGATATTCTATTTTGATCAGTTGTACATTTGAATGAAACAAAACATGTAAATCCTTCCAAAACTTTAAAGTATAACTATTGTAAAGTGTCTCAGATTAAAAAATCAATACTTATTACTTTTGTGTTTTAATAACTGTTGGAATGAAATTGACAAGGATCCAGTTTGCGTCCCTCTTGGATGAGGTCAAGTCTCAGCAGTGCTACTCAATTCTTTATTGATACATTGTTTGAAATAATTATGAAAATTAAGCATTATTCATTTGTGTAACTTTTAAAAATATATTAACAGAAATCAAAATCTTCATTTTGGCTAAAGAGTTCTCTCAGTGTATGGTCTTTTGGTCAGATTTTGCAACAACAGAAAGGCCTTGTTCTTATTTCATGTAGACTGTAAGCAAAAAGATGCAAATACAGTGTATAAATAAACTTCTCTACTAGACAACAAGATAAAAAAGTGTATGGTTATTATCAACAATAAGAATTATACTATGTCTGAACCTTCATGCAGAATCCTGGCTCTGTGGACTGGCTTATACCATCACAATTACATTTAATACATTTGTCCTAGGAAATCTGGATTGATATCTTCACTAAATACGGAGTCAAAAAGAGTGTGTACCTAAAGAATCACTTATAAGTCAAATTGACTTATTCAATTTGTAAAAATGCTGCATAGAAAAAAAAATTATAATTGTTGTTGTAAGCTCCAAAGAGATTTTGTTTATAATCCTCCCCCCTAGTCTGTTACATCAATCTTGATCTTTAACCCTCTCCTCTGAAATAAGGGGAAACTACTGTGAACTACATTTCAAGGTCCCATAAAAAGTTATACATGTATTAAAATTACCTGATTATGAAACACACGAAACAATGAAACAAGAATATCAGCAGTCTCGTTTAAAGTCATCATTTCGTAAGTTCTATGGAAGATACAATGACCTTGTCAACGAATACAATTTATAATTTAGTCAAATGCTGACTGACGTTTTTCATGCGAATTGTTAAGTAATTATTTGCATAAGTCATTATTTGCACACTGAATTGAGGAATTTTCCGTAATTTCCTGATCATAAAAAGGAGCACATAGCGGTGTGACTGGTCAGCAGGGGATGCTCACCCCTCCATGGCTCCTGATTCCACCTCTGATATTTTGGAGGTACATGTATATCTTTGCTTTGCTCCTATTAGTATTGTGTTATATCTACATTTGCAGTGTATTTCTAGTAAGCTTACTGTGAAATTGATTTGAAAAACATTTTCGTGTATACTCACGCGTAGAAATATACACGGAGAAACGTGCGTTAACGTGACGTCACAATGAGACTGCAGCGACGTTAGTAAAATGCAATAATATAGGACAGCGAGAAATTCAAAGATTGTGTTTGTTTTAGTTGCCTCCAAACAGGTAAAATGTAAATATAAGGAATGTTTTTCAGTTTAGTGTGAATTATTGGTGAGTGAATCACACAGACTTGCACATAGGCATATTTTTCATGAAGCGCGCTCATGAAGCGCTAGCGCGCTTCATGAAATATGCCTACGTGACAAGTCTGAGTGATTCACACACCAATAACTCACACAAAACTTAAAAACATTCCTTAAATGAACTTTTGAGCTTGAATATTGTTTGTTACCATCATATATTTCATGAATAGAAAAGAAAAATTATTTTTAAATGAAGATTGCCTAGAGTCTGGTACAGATTTACTATAGAAGTCTGACACGTCTGACGTCTGAGGTCTGCTTACGGTCACTGATAGAAAAATAAAGGAACATAAAAAGTTGGTCGGAATTCTTAACTGATGGAAACAGAAAAAATAATTGATTGTGTTTGTCATACATAAAATTCTGAATAATAATCTAGCATTTACGAGTATGTATGAAATCTTGTTTGAAAAAAAAAATGTCCGAGATCATGAATCTGGTCTAAATATGTGGAAATTCTATTGGTAGGAATAGTTTCCTATGACCTTTAAAAATAATTGTTGTAATGTCCACAAATAATTTGTTCATACATATCATCCCCTAGTCTGTTCAGAGATGTATAATAGATACGTCTCTGGTCTGTTGCATTAGCCTTGATCTTGAACCCTCTACTCTGAAATAAAGGGAAGATACTGGGAACAAGATTATCAGTTAAGAAATAAAGAGAAAGCGCCCCCTCCACACACACACACATCAAATAGCTTGTTAACATTTTAAAAGGTGTTTACTTAGTTCCTTTGAAAGAAATTTCTAAGATTTATTTTTTTTTTACTGGGATGGATCCCAACCTCCTACCAAAAAAGTCCCTGGCTGTTTTTTTATGGTGTAAACAAAATAATTCCTAAGGGTTTCAACCCTAGCAAAAATAAATGTTAGTATCTATTACTTTAATTTAAAATACGTTGGGCCAAAGACGACATAATTTTGACAAGCCTCCTCTCCCACATTCACACTCGTATTCTTTAATAAAATTGAAAAAAAAGATTGTCACTCAGGCTTTTATATGCAAAAGTAATACAATTAAAGAAATTATAAATAAAAATAACAGAAATCTTTGTACATATATATGCAACAGTTGGGGAGAGTGGGGCGTAATTTATTTTTTCCTCATGCAGTATCATACAAATAGTTCATATGAAACTGAAATATCACTTAATGCTTTTAGAACACAAGGTAAAGTAGCCCATTGATTCGTAAAATGCATTTGTTTTTAAATTTCGCGGTAATTTTAAACCAGGAAGTAAAATACACCTTACAACTTGTAAACACAAGTGAGGTGATAAGGGGGTGTTAGACTGAATGGCCGCCATTGCTGTCTGATATATATTAGGTAGGATTTCTATTTCATTTATCATAAAGTACATAATAGTATATATCCTTTGGGGGAGGGGTATTATTACATACCAGAGGCATAGTCACAAACTTAAAAGTGTATGTGTGTGTGTTGGTGGGGAGGGGGGGGGGGGGGCTCAAATCCCAGAAATACCATCAAATTCTTTGATAAGCAAAACAAAAAAGGCATCAGACAGTTTTATTGAGGGGGCACCAGCATATAGTACCTAAGTTTTCTGAAGTTTTCTTTATACTGCCAACACCCTCCAACCCTCCAATTCCAAAGGCCATGTTCGTTATACATAAAGAAATATTAATATGTACAACATGTAATATCCATGGGCGAATACAGGATATGTAATTCAGGGGTGGGGGGTTGATAACTTCGTTCAAGCAGGGGGTCAGGGGGCCGCCTTTAGGCCCTAAGTGGGTATAACAAAGTATGGCATGAAATAATATTAGTTAATATTATCACACTTTGAATGGTGGGGGCCTAGGAGGCGAAGCCCCTGGAAGCTCCTGAGTTTTCATGTAATTTAATAGTAAAACTAGAAACAAATAAAATGGCATTGGTTAGATATGTATCAAAGTATGGTATTAATAATATTAATCATATCATACTTTAAAAATTTTACATGCCCCCTAAAGTCCGCTAGCCTAAGTTTTATCAAGCCCCTGTCTAAGCTGAATGAGAGGATTTCAAATAGTGTGTTTCAAGTTGATTGACATTCATCACAGGTATACCGAAATCAGAATCTCCGATACTGCAGCTATCTTGTAGAAATTACTTATTTTGATGAGATTTGGATTGGCTAGAATATATTCTATAGTGCATTTATGTAAATATTAGCTACTGCTAATGAATCAGTAAAATTAAATAATTAAAAATCCGAAGGTTTGACAAAACTTACTTTGTGACTATGTGTTAAACAAGAAATGGGATACAGCAAATAAATAATGACTTTCAGATGTCAACACAAGGGGCAGCTTGTGATTTTCTTTTAATTTTGTTAGATAATAGTTTCTTAGAGAAACAGAAACGTCTAAACTTAAATTTATGACCCGCACTCCCTATTCCAAACTGGCGAACACATGAGGTCTTGACAGATTTAATTACTATATTGAATTACTGTATTAAACATTTATTACTTCAAGAGAAACAATGAGAAATGCTTCCTCAGTTGTTGTTTAAAATAAAATTCATTTGCCATAAAATGGGGTTTTATATTATTTCAACCAAACCTTGACCATAACTTTTGAAGGGTAAGGGCTAGTGCTTTCATACTATACATATTAATTCTTGTGACAAGACCTTTCATTTGATATCAAGTCCTTTGAAGTTGTTTTTAAATATTTGACCTTGGCCACAACTTTTGAAGAGTTAGTGCTAGGGCTTCCATATTTCACAGATATGTATTTTTGTGACATTGCCCTTTCACTGGAAATCAATACCTTGATCTTTTTACTTTGACCTTGGATATTCTGTGGAAAAACTCGAATCTACATCTTTTATATTTCCAGAATTGTATTTCCAGTGAATTTGCGTATAAGAAAAGTTTAATCTTCGCTATGTTGCCATATGGGGGCATCAGTGTTTCACAAACACATCTTGTTTTTCAAATTCTTTTAAAGTGTAAACAGGTAACCTGGGTAGTATCAATTAATGTGTACATGTACTCTAAAAACACTAATTTATTGATATTATAAAATTCATTTAGGAATAACCAGTAGTACTGCCTATTTTAGAAACATAATTTTAGTTTTTCAGAAGCTATAAAGCCGTTACCTTCTTCTCAGACTCTGTGTCAGATAGAGAAGAGCATGCGTGTACATGGAAGGCAAAATATTTGAAATTCTAACTAGATAAAAGTGTGGCCTTGTATTGAATTAATAGTTTTTTGACCTATACGTATACAGGTATATCAAGACACAGTCAGCAAATAATGTAGATATTTATTGTGTTACAGATATCAGCCATGGACCCCCGTACCAGTGCCCAGGACGTGATGCGATGTGACCTGTGTGAGACCGCTGTGGTACAGATGCACTGTGATACATGTCTTGTCAACCTGTGTAAGTCCTGTGTGGGAGAACACATCTCAAAAGATGAATCCAAGGACCACAAGGTCGTCAAATTTCAGTTCAGGAAATCTACCCCCCTCTACCCTGGGTGTAATCATCATGTCAAAGAACGATGTGAAATGTACTGTAATCAATGTGACATTCCTGTGTGTGTTTACTGCATTACATCTGATCAACATCAAGGTCATAAAATATTACCAGTAATGCAGGTTTGTGAAGAAATGAAAGACAAGACAATCAAAGAGAGAAATGAACTAAATGAAACAATTTATCCCACCTATCAGGACATTGCCTCTGATGTACAAAACAGAATGAGTCAGTTAGAAAAGGAATATGGAGATCTCTCAACAGCCATAACAAAACATGGAGAGGACTGGCACAGAGAAATTGACAAACTTGTCGAGAAACTTAAAGCTGAAGTTGATGAGATGAAAAACACACAGTTACAAACTCTACAGAAACATCTGGATGAAATAAACAAGACAATGTCTGACATCAAGGATGAAATTGATTCGGTTGAAATGGTTATAGACACTAATGACTTGTCAAAACTATTTAGTGTTGAATCCAGTATACATGCATACAGACGGCTTCCACACAAAATTATGCCATCCCTACCTAAATTCATTCCAGGAAAATTCGAAGTAGATGAAGTCAGTAAATTGTTTGCATCCTTATCATCAAGTTCTTTAACATCAGATAAACATGGCTACAGCATGAAGACAACACAGAAATCACCAGAAGCTGGATCCTCTCCTCCAGTCAAACAGCTGCTTGATGAACCAGAGACTGTCACCACCATACACACTGGGTATGGACACCTTTACAATGTTTCGTGTCTGAGTGATGAAGAAATCTGGACAAGGGGAAATGACAAAACCATGAAACTCTACAGCATCAATCAGGGATCACTACTTAAGTCAATCACAACCAAGTCAGGGAACAAACCATATGACATAGCAGTGACACAAAGTGGAGATCTAGTTTATACTGATAAAAGTGATAGAACTGTGAACATTGTGAAGAATGAGAAGATAGAGGAGGTGATCAGACTACAGAACTGGATACCTCGCGGTGTCTGTAGTACCTCCTCTGGTGACCTTCTGGTTATCATGGACAGTGATGATTTCAAACAAACAAAAGTTGTCCGTTACTCTGGCTCCACAGAGAAACAAACCATTCAGTTTGACGATCAAGATAAACCTCTATATTTGTCTGGTCTTTATAACAGATACATAACTGAGAACAGGAACCTTGATATCTGTGTGTCTGACAGTCAAGCTGAAGCAGTAGTGGTGGTCAATCAGGCCGGGAAACTGAGATTCAGGTACACTGGACATACTCCTGCTCCAAAGAACGAACCATTCAATCTACGAGGAATCACCACAGACAGTCAGAGTCACATCCTTACAGCTGATCATTTGAATGACTGTGTCCACATCATAGACCAGAATGGACAGTTCCTCCGTTACATAGACTCTGGACTGAGTGAACCCTGGGGACTGTGTACAGATACAAATGACAATCTGTTTGTTGCTCACACCAAAAATAAGACAGAAGTAATTATCAAGATTAAGTACATGCACATTAAGTAAACTATGATTTACAATGAAGATGCATATATATTATAACATGTAGTACGTCACATTTGGACAGGTAATAAACTGTATTATTAAATGATAAGGAATTTTGGTGCTCTCTGATTGGTCTAGACGCCATTTACTGGTGTGTACCTCAGAGTGAGTTCACCTCAAATGACGTTCTGGGAGGTTTCTTCGGGTTTTCCCTCTCGAGCAACCATAGATTTGCTTACAGCTTTTTCGACCAATCAGATTGCGTGTTTCAAAGCATGTGTCGGTGTGAATGTAAACATGTCAGACGCCATTACCAAGGAGATTACGAACTTTTGAAAGTAAATGGTTGAGAATTTATTGTTTATTAATATTGTTTTTAACTTTTTAAGTAATATTTGTTTAGCTGTTGAAGTATATCAACATGTTAAAAGTTTAATTACACTTTAAATTATGGATGTTTATATTTGGTGGAGACAAGAATGAAAGAGTCAGCAGTGTTGTAAAATTCCTCATCATTTAATAAAACGGTTATTGACTTTTATATACCTGGTAAACAAATGACTATATAGACCTTGTAACATTTCTTAACCTCGGCCTTCGGCCTCGGTCAACCAATACCTGACCAGGTCTGTATAGTCACGAGTAGACCTCATCAAAAGTCAATAATTGTTTACAGTAACACAGTATACATGTATTGATCATGTTGATACAATGAAGAACAATGTATTAGTTAAATGATGATATCCCTGATTTTTGCCTGTTTTAATTTGGGTGTAAAAGAATTTTAAGAGCATAAAGTAGAGCTTGTACTATTATTTTTTAATTGTAACTTAATGTAAGTTCAGTGTTTGAATTATTGAACAGTGAATCTACATGTATTTTACATGTATATTTAAGTTCCATTACATGTACAATTTTAAAGGTGTGTGCATTGCAAATTTTTTTGTTGTTTTACTTATTGTCATCAATGTCGTTAGTAAAATTATCACTGGATCAACTTTGAAAAATAGAGAATAACTTACATTGCAGTACAAGGGAAAAATTGAAGTTTATTTTACACTCATTAAATCAAAATGTTTATCATACAATTTTGAAATTTTAAGTTGGTTTTCACAGATATAGGTTTTTTTTTTTACTGGGAATACATCAGAATCAACTAATGCCATTCAAAAATAAAATATTACAGTACATGTATACTGACTGTTCATTTGTTCTTTCATTCAGGAGTAATATTAACTCAGCTTTATGTGTGAGCCTTTAACATTGTTGTTGATACAATATGTAGAGGGTTAGTAGAACATTTAGTCTTAACCTTGTTACAGAGATTAAAGGTGACTCTAGGAATATTCCTGTCTCTTTGAAGGTCAAATGTCAAAATTTTTCCAGTATTGTGGGTACAACATATAGAACTCAAAATATGTAGAAAACAAAGGAAACTTCAATTTATGTTCAGAATGCCAAACATGAAACTCACTGATGACTTTAGGCACAAACTGGGAGTAAAAGCCAAATAAAACTTATAACGTCTTTAGAAATCAGAATTTTCACTGTTTCTTGGAATGGATCTGTTCGTAAAACTTTATATCAAATCTGTAAGTGTAAAACCTGAGTTACATCATTCCTGCAAGTTTAGGAGTTTTCTTTTAAAATTTCTTTTTTAATTTAATAGATACTTGAGAATGGAATTGCTGTCAGACATTAACCCCCCCCCTTTTTTTCTGAAATTAATTTAAGCATCTCTCTGCAGGAAAAGGAATTATTGTATTGAATACTTTCCATCTGAGCATCTCTCTTTACAAATTTCACATTCTGTTCTTCAAAGAGATATACTAAGTAAATATCACAAATAAAAAAGCTATCTGTGTTTGAAATCTATTTTATAAAAATAAGCTTTGGAAGCACAACTGTTGAATACATATAAGTAAATTACATATTTTACTCAAGTACACAGTATAAAAATTACATATCATTGTTACATGTACTCTATGAAATATTATGCTACTTTTTTACTTCTATCCATTATATATAAATGTTTCTCCTTTATAAAGGTTTATATGTGTCAGCTGTATAATATGTGAAGTGATTTATGGCAGTTTAATTTGCATTAGCTGAACAATCTCCAGTTTTCTGTTTCGATGTTTATCATGACCAGTTACTGTCCAAACTCCTTCACTTTTGTCCATTCTAACGTATATTTCCACAGTACATCCCGTAATTCCTCATTTTTCACAATGTCTGTAAACTCAACCTCTGCACATTCCCTTTCATAAAAAATAATTTTGATTAAAATTGACAATAATAGTAGGTTGAAATTTAATAAAAAATTCCTGGAGAAGAAGAAGAACATTTTTATGAAAAAAATAATGCCGACAGACAACAGATTTTGATTAGTAAAGCTTACTTAAGCTTTTGACTCTAAGCTAAAAAAAATCATCAATCAATTTATCTTTAATTCTAAAAATGCTAATATCATTAAAGATAGTTGTACTTCATTTTTCTAATTCATCAAAGAATTATTAATTTCATTTGTAACATGTCATTTGATTGGATAAAAAATTAATTTATATCATATAACTTGGGTTGCCTACGTCACAATGACTTACATTTATGTCAAAAATGTATTAATCCGCTTGATGCTACATTAAAAATATCCAGAGTTGTAAGATATTTTTGAAGGAAAAATTGTCTTATTTTCTAAATTTTTTGATAGAAAATTTTATAAGGAATGAATCTTATAGTTACCCAAGTTATGCTGGTACAACCTGGGTTGGAACAATCTACGTATTTATAAATCGCTTTGTGGTTTATGAAACATAAACTGCCCCAAACCAAAGTTATACAGTATAACTTCAGTAGCTATTTAACTCATTCCTTAACAAACAAAATCTTACTTGTAGATTTTTCCGGAAGTCTTCCCCGCAGACTCCGAGAGGAGGGCATACAGAGTTGTCTGTGCTCCGTCTTCTGGGGTCTTCATCAGGAACCAAATAAACGGAGCAAACGATAGACTAACGAATGCACTCTTTCTGAATGGAAGATGGCGATAAATCTTTGTATTGACCACCCCGGGTAGAACACAGTGTACATGAATGTTGTCATCTATAAGCAAGAAGAAAACAAATTTTAACTGTAATTGTATGTTTAATTTTATAAGGTTTTTGGCTCACCAGAGCTGAAAGCTCAGTCTGTAAACTTTTCAACTTCTTCATAAGAACCACCTGGCCAATTTTAACCAACCTTAATACAAAGCATCCTTGGGTGAAGGGGTGTTCGAATTTTAAAAATGAAGAGACAAATTCTCTTATAATTATGGGGAGATAATCAAGAAAAGACAAAAATAGTGGGTCATTAAAAACCCTTTCAAGAACCACTGAGCCAGAAAAGCTGAAACTAAATATGTGGAAGCATCCTCACCGTATACAACGGGTAACGCGGGGGAGTCGCTAAAAAGTATGGGGGAGTCGTTTTCAACGTATGGGGGAGTCGATTTTCACCGCTTCGGAGTCAGAAGTGATGTGGGTCACGTCTTTTTTCGGTATATGTAAGATGTATTTACAAAAAACAACTAGCCCACGGAAGGTAGCAATAGTTAAGCTTTCTGTTGGTCATTTGTCCGGGTAGCATATACGTCTAGTTTTCTCAAACACTTCGAAACTATTCGACAGACCTCATATTTACGTCGATCGAGTGGTTAAAACATGCATAGTTTGCACAATCTACGACTTGTTTAGGGATTATAACAGATAAAACAGCAAAAGCAAACGTTAATCTTTCAAATGCAACAATTGAAATTTGGCTAGACTTTATAAAAATTAATAATTAAGACATTTTCTCTTTAGACAGTAATGGTTACGTAGGGGGGAGTCGTTTCTGGAAAAACACAACGCATAGGGGAGTCGCAAAATTGAATTGTACTATTATTAAAATTTGTTTTCTTTTGCTAAATGCTTCCATACATAACTATTTTGATAACTTTATAATTTTAGTAAAATGCAATATGAATAAAGATCAATATAAGCGATATGTACATGTAAAAATAAAAACATGTAATTATCGTTTCTTATTGTTAAGTGTATGAGTATATACCAGTACTTCATATACATTACTACATGTACATTTGATATGGTTTCTGCACGGATGAGCATGAATTAAGTGGCATATTCCAAAATTTTCAGCATTTTAAATTAAATACCGTTAGGCAGTTAATGTCTGTACGTCCGTCCGTCTGTCTGTTACGCTAAGGGGTACCCATCTCTTATCCGCAACTCCCCCTACGACTGAGTGAAATTTTATGAAACTTTCACAGAAACTTTACTACATATTGCCATTGTGCATTGTGGCGGATTTAAGGGGGCGCACCCGGCGTGTCAAAATAAAATTGTCAAAGTTACCGTAAATCAGAGTTTAGTCTAGTAAATGTAACCAGAAGTCTCTGTGGAGACTGAAGCTCTACTGGTTTGTACTTATAGCAAAGGAAGAGAGAAGTTCTTAAGCAGTTGGGAATTGAAACTTTACCACAGCAATAAAAAGAATATTAATGATCCTTGATTAAGTCTCTTTATGTTCTTAGTGTAGTCTACTTGCATGCCACATTATATTATAATCAGACTTAAACTGTATTTGGAGTAGAATTTTGAGAGTTTTTAACAGAAATTTAAGAAAACCAAAACAGAAAACCAAAACTGTTGGAGGAGTTGCATTTTGAAAGAATTTCACAGAATTTTCTATTTTTAGTAACAACGGCAACACTGTTCATCGAAATCAAAAACTGATACATAGAATTATGTATCTTAGTGTAGTCTACTTGTGTGCCAAGTTATATTGAAATCAGACCAAAACTGTAGGAGGAGTAGCATTTTGAAAGAATTTCACAGAAATTTCTATTTTTAGTAACAATGGCAACACCGTTCATCGAAATCAAAAACCGATACACAGAATTATGTATCTTAGTGTAGTCTACTTGTGTGCCAAGTTATATTGAAATCAGACCAAAACTGTAGGAGGAGCAGCATTTTGAAAGAATTTCACAGAAATTTCTATTTTTAGTAACAACGCTAACACCGTTCATTGAAATCAAAAACCGATACACTGAATTATGTATCTTAGTGTAGTCTACTTGTGTGCCAAGTTATACTGAAATCAGACCATAAATGTAGAAGGAGTAGCATTTTGAAAGAATTTCACAGAAATTTCTATTTTAAGTAACAACGGCAACACTGTTCATCGAAATCAAAAACCGGTATATAGAATTATGTATCTTAGTGTAGTCTACTTGTGTGCCAAGTTATATCGAAATCAGACCAAAACTGTAGGAGGAGTAGCATTTTGAAAACATTTCACAGAAATTTCTATTTTTAGTAACAATGGCAACACCGTTCATCGAAATCAAAAACCGATACACAGAATTATGTATCTTAGTGTAGTGTACTTGTGGGCCAAGTTATATTGAAATCAGACTAAAACTGTAGGAGGAGTAGCATTTTGAAAAATTGTTTACAGACAGACAGACAGACGGACAGACAGACGGACGGACGGACGACGAGAGCTTCCGGGGGCTTCGCCCCCTGGGTCCCCAGCCCCCCCCCCCCCCCCCCCCCCCGCCTACTTTATTTGCCCCCCCCCTAACTTCAATTCCTGTATCAGCCCCTGGTGACCTCCTATTTTACTTTTTGATCCGACACATATTTTGGGTTTCCCGGCCACAGCAAAACATGGAACTTTGCCATTATGGCATGGGAGCCGGGGGTATCATTTAGTGAGCTCATTCCTCACAGTACCTCTAGTTTTCTTGGTGAATTTTTATAGCTCTTACTAAAATTAGAACTTCAGACCCTGCACTTACCCATAATAACAATTCTGAAATACATTGCATGAAAAGGCACGTATGAAAGGTCTTCCAACGTTTTCATGCAGAATAGTAAAATCATAGTTATATTTACAAATGTGTTAATAAATTTTGGTTGAGAAACTCTGTTGTTACATGAATCTTCTTCCAACCCTTTTTTTTTGCTTGTCAAAATTTTTCAGATAAGTTGTTTATAATTCTTTTTTTTTTCATACTTATGAAAAGTTGTTATTGTAAGAAAAACTATAACTAGAAAAAGGCTTTCTACTGTTTTCCTGAGCAGTCAAATAAATCGCTGCTTGACAGTGGAGTGAGATGTTGGACCTGTCGATGAGCTATGGCACCGCTTACTTCACTGTGTGGGCGAGGTCACTGTCAGAACTTGATGGAATTGACAAAGTTTAAACTGCAGTGCTCGTGAAAAAAAATTCATCATGATAATATCATAATAAACAATATAACGATTCATTAATTGATTGTTCTCTATGGAACGCCGTAACTGCCTTATGTGGAGAACTTTCATTATATGATGGTATTTTGTCATCATATGATGGTATTTTGTCATTATATGATGGTATTTTATCATTATATGCTGGTATTTTATCATTATATGATGGTATTTTGTCATTATATGATGGTATTTTGTCATTATATGATGGTATTTTATCATTATATGCTGGTACTTTGTCATTATATGATACTACTTTTCTTCATTATACTACTTTTCTTCTTTATACTACTTTTCTTCTTTATACTACTTTTCATTATATGCTACTACTTTTTCGTCATTATTTGTAGTCTCGATCATCCAGACGCTTGTCTCTATAGCACTAATTCCCAATCGCATCATCTCGTGTCTTTCCGTTAGAGGTCGGAAAACAACCTCGAATGTATTGTCATCCCCTGATATTAGCCAAAGCAAAATACTATTTTTTCTATAAAATTATGTTAGGCGGCGATTTGACCAAAATCATGGGGCGCTTTGGCTAATATCAGGGGACGCTTTGACTAGAATTAGGGAACGCTTTGACTGGGATGTTTTATTAGGGGGGGCTTTGACTGGCTCCTCTAGACGCTTACACTGAGAATCGCGGAACAGCGAATTAGTGCAATCGCAACTTCTCGGGCCTTTCCGGCTAGCGGAAAAACAACCTCGAATGTATATGGTAGACGCCATGACAACCCTCCTTTTTTACGATCTTTGAAATAAATGCATGGAGACCTTTTATCTGTGGAATATGGAGTTTAAAACTTTATTCAATGTAATGATATTACTTAGAATATACTATAGAAGGGGCTTCTAAATTAGTCTATCCTATATTTGAATAAACAGGAAGATGTATAAAAATTTAACAACCGGTGATGTTAATACATTCGAGGTTGTTTTTCCGACCTCTATCGTAAAGACCCGAGATGATGTGATTGCGAATTAGTGCTATAGAGACAAGCGTCTGGATGATTGAGACTACAAATAATGACGAAAAAGTAGTAGCATATAATGAAAAGTAGTATAAAGAAGAAAAGTAGTATAAAGAAGAAAAGTAGTAGCATATAATGATAAAATACCATCACATAATGATAAAATACCATCATATAATGATAAAATACCATCATATAATGACAAAATACCATCATATAATGACAAAATACCATCATATAATGATAAAATACTATCATATAATGACAAAATACCATCATATGATGATAAAATACCATCATATAAAGTCAAAATACCAGCATATAATGACAAAATACCATCATATAATGATAAAATACCATCACATAATGACAAAATACCATCATATAATGATAAAATACCATCATATAATGATAAAATACCATCATATAATGATAAAATACCATCATATAATGATAAAATACCATCATATAATGATAAAATACCATCATATAATGACAAAATACCATCATATAATGATAAAATACTATCATATAATGACAAAATACCATCATATGATGATAAAATACCATCATATAAAGTCAAAATACCAGCATATAATGACAAAATACCATCATATAATGAAAGTTCTCCACATAAGGCAGTTACGGCGTTCCATAGTTCTCGGACAGAAATGCTTTTTGTCGACCCCTCAAGCAAAACTTTTTGCCTTCGGACTAACAACCTCGAGCAAACAGTTTGGTTCTTCGGTCCGAAAAAAAAACGCATGTTGTCCTCGAACCCTGTCTATGAATATATACATGTAGTACTCAGTGTAAACCCCAGATAATCCCAAATATTCTCATTTAAGATACATTTTTTGTGCCTGAAGATGTGTTTATAGGTATGATAAATGAAAAATAAAAATAAATTATTTATATGTCGACCAAATTGAAAGCATATACCAGTTTAAAAATTTCTACCCCACCCGAAGAAAAAAAGAAGTCAATGGGCGGGAATGACGCACCAGAGATTTCCACTTTTCTAATTAAAAAAATGGTTGATATTATTATGAAGAAATTTTCCATATTATAAATCTGGTTGTTCTTTTTTTATGGAGAGACTGTCTTTGTTGAAAGTGAGGGTTCATGATCTTTTTGAATTTTTGTAATGTGTAAGAAAATTACATACTCAGCTAGGGAAGGATCTTGTCCCCATGCACTTGTGCTCCGAAGATATATAATCCAATTGTACATGTATTCTTAAACTAAAAACAACACCAGATTAGGTCATGCATTTCACTTTATTTTGCGACTCCCCTATGCGTTGTGTTTTTCCAGAAACGACTCCCCCCTACGTAACCATTACTTTCTGAAGAGAAAATGTTTTAATTATTAATTTTTATAAAGTCTAGCCAAATTTCAATTGTTGCATTTGAAAGATTAACGTTTGCTTTTGCTGTTTTATCTGTTATAATCCCTAAACAAGTCGTAGATTGTGCAAACTATGCATGTTTTAACCACTCGATCGACGTAAATATGAACTCTGTCGAATAGTTTCGAAGTGTTTGAGAAAACTAGACGTATATGCTACCCGGACAAATGACCAACAGAAAGCATAACTATTGCTACCTTCCGTGGACAAGTTGTTTTTTGTAAATACATCTTACATATACCGAAAAAAGACGTGACCCACATCACTTCTGACTCCGAAGCGGTGAAAATCGACTCCCCCATACGTTGAAAACGACTCCCCCATACTTTTTAGCGACTCCCCCGCGTTACCCGTTGTATACGGTGATCCTGGGATAGTGAAGTTTCTAAATTGTTAACTAGAACTGTCCAAACTGACAAATACCCCCTGTTGGGTTTTTTGAGAGGTAAGTTTTTCCATAATAAAGATATGCATCAAACATGAATCATACAATTCTTCTTTCAGTGACCTTGAACTTGCACAGATAACCTTGGGTCAAGGTCATGACACACCCTTGGGTCATGGCCAATCTTTGTGTGAAATGAGAACCTACCAAGTTTATCCATAAGAAAGATATGGACCGGACACAAATTATGAAATTTTTCTTCCAGTGACTTTGAACTTCCCCAAATGACCTTGGGTCAAGGTCATGACACACCCTTGGGTCATAGGCAGTCTTTGTGTGGAGTAGTAGATTCTAATGTTCCTCCGTAAGAAAGATATGGACCGGACATGTTTGCACAGACAGACGGACAGCTAGACAGACGGACAAGGTGATTCAAATATACCCCCCCCCCAAAACTTTGTTTGCGGGGGGTATAAAAAACCAAGAGATATTACATGTGGGAAATCTGGTGAAGAAATGCATGACAAAAGTTACTCAGGTGAGTGATGTGGCACATGGGCTTCTTGTTAAAATTTCCAATAGTGATGTGACAGTTTGACAAGTTAAATTGTCAGGGGGGCAGATAGCTCTGTTCATTTCAAATAAAAACAGTTTTTGTCATACCTTTGAGTTTCTCTGCTAGTGTGACACCAAACAACACAAGGGCCAGCTTGCTTTGGGCGTACGCATCCCCAGGGTTGTACTTGTCCTGAGGGGGACAGTCGGTAAAAGGGGGTGAGCCCAGGTTATAGGCAGGGGCCACTGTCAGGAGAACACGGCTCGGTGTAGAATCCTTAAGGTAGTCTAGAAGCAGGCTGGTCATCAGGAAGGGAGCTAACCCAAACATAAGAAGTTACTTTTATTTTCTCCCTCATTTCACTCCTCCACAAATAAATATTTTCTTGACAAATTTATTGAAAAACAAAGAAAAAGAATATACTGTAGTATTTATAGTGAGCGCTAAATTGCTCTTGCATAAAAAAAACCAGTTTCTTTAGATACGAAGTTTCACGGAGAATACCGAAGTAAAACCGTAAAGAAATATATTGATATTCTTTTATTATTATTGTGCAATTTTAAAGTTAACAATTTACATTTGGTTTAACACATTTTGATAAAATAAAAAAATATATATGTTTTTGGCAAACATGCATTTAATACTTATAGTTTTTTGGCTTTTTACATAACATTTTTTAAGGTAAATTATTTTTATTTTTTTCAGCAAACATGCATTACATTGTTTTTTGCATAACATTTTTTGAAGGTAAATTATTTTTTTTCAGCAAATAGGCATTACATTGTTTTTTGGGTTTTTTTGCATAACATTTTTTTAAGGTTTCTTATCAAACAAGCTTCAGAAGAGGGTAGTTTTAGTCTGTCTTGTGATTTGTCAATACTATGAATTCTATGATTCTGATAAGGACTTACAGAGATAATTGACCTGGAACTGTTCCTCAAATCCGTCCTCCGTTTTGTTGTACTCACACATCATAACCCCGGCATTGTGGATCAGATAATTTAAATGGTCCTCCTCTAAAAACAGAACAAACACATCATAACTCCAGCATTGTGGATCAGATAATTCAAATGGTCCTCCTCTAAAAACAGAACAAACACATCATAACTCCAGCATTGTGGATCAGATAATTCAAATGGTCCTCCTCTAAAAACAGAACAAACACATCATAACCCGGGCATTGTGAATCAGATAATTCAAATGGTCCTCCTCTAAAAACAGAACAAACACATCATAACTCCAGCATTGTGGATCAGGATCCGGTTGCACGAACGCTTGTTAAATTTAACTAGCTGTTAAATTTGCGTAAACGCGACATTGAAATTAACAGCGATTTAAATCGGTTGCTCGAAAGTTAACTACCAGTTAAACTTTAGTTAATTTTTTGATTTAACTAACAGATTTAACTGAGGTTACATAGGTACATCAAATATTTAATTAAATATTAAAATCAAGATTATGGAATTGTTATCATTTCAAAACTTGTTTGCGGTGAAAGAAGAACTTATACAGAGATAATGTAAATATCTGCATGATCTGACATGAGCAAAACACACATTTGATCCCGATTTCAATATATGTATGTACGATTGCATTATTAGGGCTGTGTCAATATATTGATACGTATACGTACATGTTATTGTAAGTAGATAAAAACGTTTATTCCTTGAACATGAAGAGGGGTGAGGGTGTTCCTCTCCCCCATTTTAGAGAGATTTTATTATTATTATTATTTTTAATTCAAATTCAACGCCTTGTGTTCGAATTAAATACAGAAAAAAGTACATGTGCAGGTATTTGTTCTAACTGTATTGATTATATTGCGTGTAAATTAATCTTTCAATGTTAAACTCATGTTAGAAGAAACTACACTGTACTTTTTTTAATAATATATTAAGCAATATCTGATAAGGATTAACATATCCTTAATAAATTCACATTTACAAACTGACGTCACTTTAATTATGACGTCAGTAATCTTAAACTATAGGTAAGGGAAGTGCACGCGTCGAACGATTTTAACAGCGAGTTAACTATAAGACATCAATTAAATCTGAGTTAACTAATTAAACTTTAATTGACTTTCGAACAACAACAATTTAACTGACAGTTATGTAACTTATCGTTAAAAATTTAACAGCTAGTTACGGCATTAACTTGAAGTTAATTTAACTATCGTTCGTGCAACCAAATCCAGATAATTTAAATGGTCCTCCTCTAAAAACAGAACAAACACATCATAACCCCGGCATTGTGGATCAGATAATTTAAATGGTCCTCCTCTAAAAACAGAACAAACACATCATAACCCCGGCATTGTGGATCAGATAATTTAAATGGTCCTCCTCTAAAAACAGAACAAACACATCATAACCCCGGCATTGTGGATCAGATAATTTAAATGGTCCTCCTCTAAAAACAGAACAAACACATCATAACCCCGGCATTGTGGATCAGATAATTCAAATGGTCCTCCTCTAAAAACAGAACAAACACATCATAACCCCGGCATTGTGGATCAGATAATTCAAATGGTCCTCATCTAAAAACAGAACAAACACATCATAACCCCAGCATTGTGGATCAGATAATTCAAATGGTCCTCCTCTAAAAACAGAACAAACACATCATAACCCCAGCATTGTGGATCAGATAATTTAAATGGTCCTCCTCTAAAAACAGAACAAACACATCATAACTCCAGCATTGTGGATCACATAATTTAAATGGTCCTCCTCTAAAAACAGAACAAACACATCATAACCCCGGCATTGTGGATCAGATAATTTAAATGGTCCTCCTCTAAAAACAGAACAAACACATCATAACTCCAGCATTGTGGATCACATAATTTAAATGGTCCTCCTCTAAAAACAGAACAAACACATCATAACCCCGGCATTGTGGATCAGATAATTTAAATGGTCCTCCTCTAAAAACAGAACAAACACATCATAACCCCGGCATTGTGGATCAGATAATTTAAATGGTCCTCCTCTAAAAACAGAACAAACACATCATAACTCCAGCATTGTGAATCAGATAATTTAAATGGTCCTCCTCTAAAAACAGAACAAACACATCATAACCCCGGCATTGTGGATCAGATAATTTAAATGGTCCTCCTCTAAAAACAGAACAAACACATCATAACCCCGGCATTGTGGATCAGATAATTTAAATGGTCCTCCTCTAAAAACAGAACAAACACATCATAACCCCGGCATTGTGGATCAGATAATTCAAGTGGTCCTCCTCTAAAAACAGAACAAACACATCATAACCCCGGCATTGTGGATCAGATAATTCAAATGGTCCTCCTCTAAAAACAGAACAAACACATCATAACCCCGGCATTGTGGATCAGATAATTTAAATGGTCCTCCTCTAAAAACAGAACAAACACATCATAACTCCGGCATTGTGGATCAGATAATTTAAATGGTCCTCCTCTAAAAACAGAACAAACACATCATAACCCCGGCATTGTGGATCAGATAATTTAAATGGTCCTCCTCTAAAAACAGAAGAAACACATCATAACCCCGGCATTGTGAATCAGATAATTTAAATGGTCCTCCTCTAAAAACAGAACAAACACATCATAACCCCAGCATTGTGGATCAGATAATTCAAATGGTCCTCCTCTAAAAACAGAACAAACACATCATAACTCCAGCATTGTGGATCAGATAATTCAAATGGTCCTCCTCTAAAAACAGAACAAACACATCATAACTCCAGCATTGTGGATCAGATAATTCAAATGGTCCTCCTCTAAAAACAGAACAAACACATCATAACTCCAGCATTGTGGATCAGATAATTCAAATGGTCCTCCTCTAAACAGAAACATACAAGAAAAATATAAAGCTGTCTACTTCTTTATTGTTATATTTTATGACACTGCACTATATAGGATGTTGTTTTTTTTGTAGGTCACCTGATGAAAGTTTTCTTTACCATAGTTCATTGGTTGTATCAAAAACATTTCAAAAATCTCTTTTCTCTTTATACTACTAACTAGGAATATGAATATGGTGACAGTGTTGAAGTATAACTTACTTTTTTTGAATGCTGAGACAAAACTTTTGACTGAGGAGAATTTGTCTAGTTCACATACAAGACAGTGGACCAGTTCACTCTTGCTGGTCTCTCGTATTTCTTTCTCTGTGGCCTGTGCCTGCTCCTGTGTACGTGCTGTCGTATAAACCTTACACCCTGAAAAAAGCCAACAAGTGAAAACAATAAAGAAATTCAGCGGGCTGGAAATCAAAATCTACAATCAAACCTCATTATCTCTAATCTGTGTGATGGAGGAAAAACTTCAGGATATCCAAGGCTTTGAGAAATTGAAGGTAAAATAAAACTAGAGGAAAGTGATTGGGATTTTTTTTTTATTAAAGACCTCGAAATATCCATGATATTCAAAATATCAGTGTTTGAGATACCAGAATTCAAAAATATCTGATAATAGTAAAATGTTAAACATCATCACTTTTATGTCAATATTTCTGAAAATTATCTAATATGTTGATGGTGTGACCATTTTGGTGAGCGCAGATATTTATTCTGTTACAATTTAGATTGGGCTTGCAGATCGTCAAACTGCACCTGACATTTGGTGCATCTAGACTCTGACGTCACATGACGTTGTATGTAAGTTACATTTCCAGAAAGAAGCCTAAACAGTGCTAAAAGTAAATGAATCTAACGTTTTGTTTACTAATTTATCTTCAATATTTATCCATTAAATCAGGGCATGATTACTTTTAGTTGAACTTTTCTCGCGAGAATGTAGCTTTAACAAGTGATGCATTGTGGGTCCAAATTACTGCGTCAAAAAATTCTATCGAATGAATGTGCAGTAGTCCGAATTTTCTCTTTGCATAGGCGATGCTTTAAGAGCTATAATGAATAGAAAAAGATTGAATTCTTACAGCTAACAATCTTATACAGGTAATGAATTCATGCTTACAAGAAAGTCATTTTCATTTTCTTTAAACATAATTATAATTTATATGAAATCAACAAATATAAAAACTGAATGTTTATAACTAATAAAATAAATAAAACTCTCCTATTAGTATGTTTACATTCCTGAAAAAATCAAGACATTTGAATATGAAGCCAATTTTTTTTGGGGGGGGGTAAAATTCACTTACCTCTTTTAGCTAAGTCGATGGCCAGGTATTTACCCATTCCTGACCCTCCTCCTGTTACTATGGCAACTTTATCATCAAGTTTTAATTCGCTGATACACCGAGCGCCTCTCATGTACTGTCTAAATACAAATAGGTATAATGTTACAGTATATAGCTTTCTTCTCAAACAACTATAAATGTACAACTATCAGCAAGCTATATATGACATTCCTTTACTAAAACAAATATTTAGTTAGGTATTTTCTTTTCCAAACAATTCATTAGGCCCTACAGCACAACAAAACAAAACATAACTTAAATTCAATGTTTCAAAGTTCAAGTTCAAACCAGGGACCTATATACTATATATAGTATTTAGGTATCTTGTTCAAACTACTGTAGATCACTAAATTTTCGCGACACCTTATTTTCACGAAATAGCCATTGACTCTTTATTAGCGAGACATATTTTTCGCGAATTGTTGTTTTCCTCCATATAATCGTAAGGAATACTTTTATATGCGAGAATGAAATTTTCGAAAGCTCATTGTCTTGCATTATTATGCGAAAATAAAGTTCTCGCGAATAAAGCGTGATTTACAGTAATTATCCCAACATCTCCTCAGTTTTAACTTTTATTCCACATATCACATATAGGACTATTCCCTTATTAGCGAGCGCAGCGAGTCGGCGCGAAGCGCCGCTCGCATAGCGAGCTCAATAGACTAACGTGTACGAACGGAGGTAATTCGGGTTGAAATCTGCACATTGTTCCAAGAAATTTTTATCTCACCGCGTGAAAACTCCCAATAATCCTTTGCAGTACATAGCAACATGGTGGCTAAAACATGGCAACAACTTACTTGAAAAAAAAAATACAAACAATGATTTAATGCATTCTCCATGCCACAAAACTATCGTTTGCATTCTAAGTCAACAGGACTTTTTATTTGACGTCATACTTTCGTCATTTAACGACTCGGGTATTTCCGATTTTGTCGGAAACTTCCGAAAAGTTTGGAATCTGGATCCCGATGCCTGGAAAGTGATTTCTCTTTATTCTTTTCTTCTTTTTAATGAACTGAGAAAAGGCAGTGCAAGTACAAACTGTGTAAATGTAATTTTTTTTTAATAGCGAGCGCAGCGAGGCGGCGCGAAGCGCCGCTCGCATAGCGAGCTCAATAGACTAACGTGTACGAACGGAGGAAATTCGGGTTGAAATCTGCACATTGTTCCAAGAAATTTTTATCTCACCGCGTGAAAAAATTCCAAACTCCCAGAAATCCTTTGTGGTGCATAGCAACATGATGGCTAGCCTGGTTCCCTGTCCCTATTTTGCTCAATACACTCCGCGTCACTAGGTGCCTTGGTAAGGATGAGCCAGGGGACCAGGCTACTAATCCGAGATTCCTCTGACTCTAACCCCCGCTTTTATATTATGACTTGTGCGGGGGAGAGTCAGAGCGGACTCCATATTGAAAACTGGGAATTTGGCGAAACTAACTGGTATCGCGACTCTGCCTACCTTTTACAACTTTATTCCGCGGAGCTAACTCCCGAGACGCGAGAAATCAGTAAAATAATTATTATTCTACTTGTTAATCGTCATTAAAAGGATGCTACCGCCGTTTAAACGGTCCTATCAACGACAAATGAAGCATCACTTGAATTAGGTCGCCTCCTCGCCATTCGACTTCTTTGCGCATGACGTCACACACAAATACACAAACAAAACTATCACGAGCAAATATCATGTTTGGTGTTCATGCTGTTTTTAACCTACTTTTAGCATAGAAGTCGTTTTTGACAGTTGCTTTCCTTATAAATAAATAAATGAAACATTATCATATTGTTTTTATGTATTTTTTCACAACACTTTCATATTTTTCCGAAAGGTCCACACGTGTTTTGAGCACGTGTTACTTTGGAATTTTGTGTATTTGTGTGCTGACGTCATGCGCAAAGAAGTCGAATGGCGAGGAGGCGACCTAATTCAAGTGATGCTTCATTTGTCGGGGATAGGACCGTTTAAACGGCGGTAGCATCCTTTTAATGACGATTAACAAGTAGAATAATAACTATTTTACTGATTTCTCGCGTCTCGGGAGTTAGCTCCGCGAAATAAAGTTGTAAAAGGTAGGCAGAGTCGCGATACCAGTTAGTTTCGCCAAATTCCCAGTTTTCAATATGGAGTCCGCTCTGACTCTCCCCCGCACAAGTCATAATATAAAAGCGGGGGTTAGAGTCAGAGGAATCTCGGATTACCAGGCTACATGATGGCTAAAACATCTTTTAATAGCAACAACTTACTTGAAAAAAAAATACAAACAATGATTTATTGCTATTTCCATGCCATAGAACTATCGTTTGCGTCCTAAGTCAACAAGATTTTTTATCTGACGTCATACTTTCGTCACTTTAACGGTTCGGGTATTTCCGATTTTGTCGAGAATTTCGGAACCTCGATCCCGATGCCTTGGAAGTGATTTCTTTTTATTGTTTTGCTTTTTTCTTTCCTTTTCTTGAATGAAAGGCAGTACATGTGTAGTTTATGAAAGTACATAACTGCGCTCGCATCAACGGTCACACCGTAAATCATATTAGTAATTAACTGCACTCGCCCCAACGGTCGCACCGTAGAACATATTATTCAAAATTCATGTCAAAACTTGATATCATTTTTTTAAAAACAATATTCCTCTGCTACTTGATGTTATGATTCAGCTTATAACACAGTGTACATTACAGTTCCGGAAAGCGTTATTACCTGAGAGCATAGGCTACCCCTCCAACTATACCAATAATGATAGGCCACCAAGACTCAAAGATAGCCTCAGGATTTGGCAAATTTGGCATAGATGGGGGTTGGCTAGACATCTTTTGGATATTTGAAGTGGAATAATTATCTTTTGGTTACCGAGGTGGCATAGAATTTTCATAAACGTGAAAGAAAACCAGAAAGCGTGAAGCTCAATAAACAGGATGTGGCAAGACGTTCCCTAAAATTAAAAAAAAACTATTCGGAATCAACATATCTTTTGGTTGATTTCAAGAAATCGTGGTGTCTTTCTATTCTTTTGAATATAATCAACCATTATCATGATTTAAAAAATATTTTTTTTTTTACAAAGCATGCTTTTTAACTATGAATATTATTTATTTCCTTATTTATTTCCAAGATATTTTCAAATTCGGAAATATTTTATCCTCCCCCATCCACACCTTTAATTTTAATTGTATTTATATCACTTCCGAGTAAACTTTCGTAACGCGACACTGTGACTTTCACCTGAAATTTTTTAAATTTTAAAACTTTGGACAGCAAAATGTAATGTTCCAGGCTGAAAACCTCTTTGTGAAACAATTAACTAATGATTGTTACCAGTGAGTCTTGTGATTGTCTTTGAACATGTTTAAAGTTAGCTAGTCCTATGAGTATACCAAAGAGCATCAAGCCCATGCACCCTCTTTTGGTGTTTTTTTTAATACAGGCTTTCCAGCTTCTTTAGTGGATTTATACTCTTGATAAGCAAGGATGAATTTCGCCTTTATGTATTCGACCTCATTCATGCTCATTCTGGGCCTGTTTGTGTTTCATGTAAAGAGGATGTAATCTACTTTTGAATTTAGGATAAATTAATGTTTTTTGAGATAATGAATTTCAAGTAAAGTGTCATATAGATAACAATGCACACTGTCCAAAGGCAGATCAAGGGCCAGCACCCTGGGGGTGGCTTCCTATCCTAAAATCAAGGAAAAAACATCTCTTATTTGTAAAAGTTTGTCAGCGGCCTGGACCTTCACCAGGGCTTTGTCCTAGAACCACTGTGGGCTTAGTGCAGTCCCCAGACCACCTGCCTTCTACTACCCCCCCCCCCCACCCCCCATTATGAAATTCCTGGATCTGCCACTGCGCAGTACAGTTAAGGTGCGCATTGGAAATATCTGCTAAATTTTGTCTTTAAAAATGTATTCGTATTCGGGATGGCGATAATTTTTAGTACATTATTTATCTCGGATAATTGTAATTATGATTAATAACTACATATCGAGGACGATTATATTTTATATTTAGACTTGTCACGTGATGCGGCAGTCACACGATTTTAGCACATTGACTTGAAGTATTGATGTTACATATAAATATCACTAGTGCAAGGGCATAACCAAGTTAAATTTCCAAGTTTAGCATATAAATATTTTCAACACATATTGTAGTTTCTAAAAAGTGCTGCGACCCTGTCTAAATTCTGCAATTTCATTGTTAAAATTATACTTGTATGACCGGATGCTATATTTTTTGCTGGTCAGCGGCATGAAATATAGATATGATTAAATTGTTTTTAAGATTTTATCAGGATTGCAGCACTTTTCAGATACCTTAATAGTTCTATAGTTGAAATGTAAAAGCTTACTTTGATCCATAGAGTATATGCCCTTGCACTAGATCGATTTATTAAGACCCCCCACATTACCCTCCGATGTACTTGCATACAAATATATGGCAGTGTCGATTTAATACGTAATGTACCGAAAATATATTAACAAAATAGCGAAGAAGACATTAAATTCAAGTTATTGGCCCATAGAATATCTGTAAATAATATTTTATTTAATAAGAGAATAGTTACATAATTTGTTGAGAAAATATTACTTGATCTTTCTCTCACTGCATACAAACTACGTCACATTGTAAGAAATGACGTCATATTGACAAGTGTATTGCGATCAGTGACTTGTTTATAACTTGTTATGTGGGATTTAACTAACGACATAACAACATGCTGTAGTAAGTTTTTACATAGTTTGATGATTTCTTACTGCTTAAATTAGCAGATAAACTCATTTTGTGGTATTTTAAAGAAATGTTGTATGACGTATATTGTGTATGATGTCATAGTCAAGTTTTCCAGTACAAATTAGGCTCCGCCTCTTTTTTGTAACCTTAACTGTGCTGCGTGCTGTCACACTTTTATATTTCATGGGCATGGGATGGTTTGCTCCTATGGTTCAGGCTGGAATGCATGTTTAGGTCTGTTCTATTCCTTGTTAATATGGTCAGAGATGGTTTGGGCCACATTGTTATGCTCAAAATAAACCTTTTATAGCACATAGCACAATAATGAGTGTTTTAAGTTGTGTTTAAATATCATTTTAAGATATATGCATAATGCATATAAATAATTTTAACCATTATATTTTGGTTTATTTTTTAAAAAGTTCAAAATTTATTTAAAGTAGACCTTTTTCTTTAAAAATTGATGTATAATTTTCATTTTGCAGCGTGTTACTTATGATGAGACATATCAGAAGGGGGTGTGTTACGTAACAGAAACATGTCCTTCCCTAACTGGGTTATCCATGCCAGTGCTCTTGGAACCGTGGCCCTAGGTTCTCTTCTCTTAAGGTAATTGTAACGCTAGCGGTTCTGCTAACTGTATATGGTATAAATAATTTAACTCAACTTCCTTCATAAATTTACCATTCGCAAAGAAGACATAAGATTATAAACATTAAACAATTGAATTTATTAAATGCATTATCAGCAAACAATTTATTTCAAACGACGACATTCACACCACATTCATACCAAATTAACAACAATAAATTAAATTAAGTTTTAATAAATTAAATAAGAAAAATCATAGCGTAAAACAGACTGAAAAACCACCCAAAAATCTATCGTCTATTTCCCAATATCTAATAATGAAATCAAGTCGTAGTTATTTATAACTTTGACTTGTAAAACTTAACACAAGCTTTACTGTATGTAACAGGTTAGCTTGTTAATCTCCTAAACTCTTTATTAAAACGGGACACAAGCCGTGGTTATTTATAACGCTGACTCGTTAAACCTAAAGCAAGCTTTACTATATTAACAGTTTCAGCTTGTAAATACTACGGGCCATAAATATTAAATCCAATAATCTTTATTAAGTTTCAAGTAAAATAAAAATTTAAATTCTGAAATTCTCTAATGAAAAATTCTAAAGAAAAATTTACGTATCTAGACAAATTAATTTACTGAATGTAAACAAAATAAAAATTGACTTTCGTTGAATTAATCAACTTTAGTCATCATAAAAGAGAAAGATAGCAAACGTATAACTTTTGTTACATAGTTTGCCGTAAAATAAAAATTAAATTAAATAAATGTAGAGTAAAATTGTAAAATAAAATAATCCTAGAAAAATTAATTACTGAACAGAACTACTCAGTCATAGACTGTTGAGTTCTAAAACTACCGATCACGGACAATAGTATTTTACTATTTAATGTCCTTCACGGTTAAATCCTATAAATTTAATTGATAAAAAAGTAAACTTTCTACCAGTAGACAAGAAAATTAAGAGTGTTTGCATAAGCAATGTCCCATTTGATAGCAATTTACCATGTGTATTGAGACGGACAGACGTTACGTTCAAAATATGAGGAGAAATAAAATTCATTTTTTCTTTTATTTGAGTCATAATGTGCATTAAAATACTTTTGTATGTAAATTCTATCCTTCCTAAACAGTAGTAAATAAAAATATTCTGTGTACAAGGTATCACTGCCGTATATTAGTCTTTTATTTTGACATGGCTGAAAATGTCCCCCTACACATGCGTGATTCTAGTGGAATTTTCAAATTCATTTCAAGAAAAATAAGTAAGTTGATGAAAAAATCTGCTCATATTATCCTTTCTATATATTTGCAATATAGTTTTCAATATAAAATAATTTTTATTTCAGTTTTTTCAATAATTTTTTAAATATTTCTCTTGTAAAAGTCACAGGTCAAGATGTACACAAGAGGAATTTAGAGCCTACTACAATTTACTCTTGATTCCAACTATTTAGAAATACAATTACATAACTTAACTACAACTTTGCGAACAGCACATTCATAGTAAAACAAAATAAAACTTCTTTAAATATACAAACTTCATCAACCTGTTCTAAATCACTATAAAGCATGAAGACATATTACAGTCATTGACTCTATTTGATAGAAAAATCAACCCGCTCCAAGCTCACACAATTACAGTAAAATATTACAGACATTGAATCAGCATGAATAAACACTATATTGTGGATTAAATAATGAATGTCATATACCCTAACTACATTACATAAAAATTAAAAAAAGGGGGGGGGGGGGGGTCACATACACTAAAGTAATCGTCCAAGTCATGTCAACAAAAAATTGAATATCATTTGTAATTATATGCTTTTTGACATTCACAAACTTTTATATCAAAAGTGCATTTGAAAAATTTATTTTAATTATGAAGAATGAAAATATACTGATTGTATATCCTCTGTCGCTTTCTTGGGTAGCCATTACATTAAAGAAAACATTTTCATACAGGTTCCCCTGCAGCTATTGTTTTTCACTTCAATTCTTTTTTTTCATTATGCCATATGGCTCACCAGGCAGTATGACAAAATGAACAGTAATGCATGCTAATTTTAGTTCACTTGCTACATTGTTTAATATACATGTATACATATATATATATATATATATATTGTAACAGTCATATTTTTATACATTTATAGTCATACATATAGATGAGATTTCATTTTTCTTCCCTTAGAACTAAATACATTCAGTCCTCTTGATTTCTCTGTATTTTAGAGATTACCTTTCTGGTAAGGTGTATAAAGGAGAGGAAATGTTACTGGGAAAAACTGCTGTAGTGACTGGGGCTAACTCAGGGATAGGAAAGGAGACAGCAAAGGACTTCGCTAGAAGAGGTATACAGGTTCCACCAAATGATGTCATAAAAATTGTCCACAATATACAATTCTATTGGCATGGTCAGATTAATTTTTTTTATGCAGATAGATTTTAAAGTTAATGATAACAAAACATTTTGAACAATTCTGTACAATTTAGAAATGTCATCTTTTAATTTTATTTATATTCTTGCAGATATTTTGTTTAAGATATAGTAATCCTGGCTTTGTGAAATTTGGTACAATACAACTTGATTTGTGCTAAAGAATTTTTTTTCTCATTTTAATGAAAAAATTTAATCACAGGTTAGGTTAAAATTCAGCTGGCTGAAATTTAATGAAAATGGCTAGTTTCAACATAGTAGAACAATTTTTCAATGTAAATTTAGCATTCGATGTTTGGACTTGGACAGATAACCTGGCTAAGCGGCCAGTCGTTGACAACAAGGCGTTAATAATGTCAAATAACCTTCCTACTTTTATATACATTGTGTATAGATAAGCGACAGTGCATGGGCCACAGGTGTTGACAGCTGTTATCTTTTGTTTTGTTGATTGTCTCAAAGTGAAAAAGGTGTGAAAAAAATATTACGGACGAAAATTTTCTATTATAACTAGAGGTACTGTGAGCGATGAGCTCACTAAATGATACCCCCCACCTCCCATATGGTTATAACTGGTGAAAAAGTCTATGTTTTCCTGTGGCCGGGAAACCCAAAATATGTGTCGGATCAAAAAGTAAAATAGAAGGTGCACAATGGCAATATGTAATAAAGATTCTGTGAAAGTTTCATTAAATTTCATTCAGCGGTATGAGAGGAGTTGCGGATAAGAGATGGGTACCCCAAAGCGCAACAGACGGACAGACAGACGAACGGACGGACAGCTAGACAGACGGACGGACATACAGACGGACGGACAGAATTAACGATTACTATATACCCTCCCGCTTTTCAAGCGGGGGGTATAATAACCGAAGTACACACTTTTACCTATGATAATAACATAAGAAATTAACATTGAATTATTAAGAAATGGTTTTGTATTTTAAATATCTATGATAAAAACGGAGTATGATATTAAACCGGTGTGATAATAAACAGCCTGTACTGTATCTCTGTTTGAAGGAGCTATCAGTATTCTCAGTACTTTGATTTATATCTCTGTTTAAAGGAGCTAAAGTAATCCTGGCTTGTCGAGACTTAGAGAAGTGTGAGGCGGCCCAGGATCTCATCAGACAGGAAACACACAACCAGAAGGTGTTCTGTAAAAAACTCGATCTCGCCAGCTTCAAGTCCATCAAAGAGTTCACTGATGACATTAAAAAAGGTATGATTCTGTAAAAAACTCGATCTAGCCAGCTTCAAGTCCATCAAAGAGTTCACTGATGACATCAAAAAAGGTGTTTGTTCACTGTATACAGGGAAATTTTGCCCCCATTTTATTTTTACCCCTTTCGCCCTATCCTACCTTGGGCGAATTTAAAATGGGGCAAATTCAAAGAATACAATATAAATTCTTAAACAAAACTGATTGGGCGAATTTAAAATGGGACAAAATTGTTTTCAAGTGTGAAAAGGCAAAAATAACATGGAGCAAAAATAACCCTGTATACAATATGGGTCCTTTGTACAGAGCATAAATCTTGTCACAAAGAATAAAGTCTGTATTTGATATATTCATGACCACATTTACAATAATCAATTTATTATAGGTATTACCAAATCTTACTTCTTTAATACCATTACTGTCAACAAAATTGATTGGATTGACATTTTTTTTTTCTTTAAAAAATACCTGAGTCCCAGCTGAAATTCAATTTTCAAAATGAACACAATTCCATGTATTACTTTCAAATTCCTTAAAATTTTTAGTCCTGCTTAAATAATCAATGGGATTCAAGGGGACAAGAAATTTATTTACCCACCTCTAATGATCCCTTACCTAGTCATTACAAAACTGTACAACTATACAGCAAAACTCGGTACTAACAAAGTCGCTGGGACCTATAAAATAACTTTGATATATCCGTAATTGATTATAACCGATTAACCGTATAAGAAATTCATTAAATTTATATAGCTGGGGATCGAAGATGAATTTGCAATATCTGTGTTCATACTGAACAAGTTTTACTGTACAACTAATAAATATATAACTACTGTATATCACTTAATTTATGCAACACCATATTTTTGCGAAAAAGACATTTACTCTTTATTTAATAGTGAGACAAAATTTTCATGAATCGTGGTTCAGCTCTTTATATTCTAAAATCTTTAAGAAAACTAATGTAAGCAAGACTGATATTTTTGCGAGCACTCTGTCTGGTGCAATTAAAGTAAAATAAAGTTTTTGTGAATAAAAATTGATTTTAAATTACATTAATAAGACATGCATGATTCAAGTTGTCTCTGTCGTACATAATTTTGACGTGTATTGATACCGGTAAACCTCAAAAGAGAGAAAACACAGATACATGCAACTCATAATAAAACTTCTTTTTTTCAGAGGAAAAATTTTTGGACATCCTGGTCAACAATGCAGGAGTGATGCACTGCCCTTACCAGAAAACTGAAGATGGGTTTGAGTACCAGCTGGGAGTGAATTATCTTGGTAACAAATTCATTTTTAGTTCTGCAGATTGGATAAGAACAGATTTCAGATTTAAATAAAATTTAGTTTTTTCAGCATTGTCAATAGCAACTCTCTCTCTCTCTCATGCCAATTCTCACAAAACAAAACAACCATATTAATGGAAAATTAAATAATTTTAATTTATACACATGGACTGATATGGGAAAATTCAAATCAAATGACAATTTTTTTTCCTGTATGTTTACTGTCTAATTTAGGTCCAGTCCAACTCTCTATGTTGTTTCTATTTTAGGTCCAGTCCTTCTCACTATGTCATTACTGGATCTTCTCATTAAGTCTGCACCCAGTCGTATCGTTAATGTATCAAGCAGTGTTAGCCAGGCGGGACATATAAACTTCAGTGATCTCAACTCAGAGAATGGCTACCATCTGACTCTCGCCTACAACCAAAGTAAACTGGCTCTCTTGATGTTTACAAAGGAGCTGTCTAAACATTTAAAAGGTAAAACATAGAACTTTGGACCTCAAACATTTTTTTATGTGAACAATGAAGTGGGTTGGAACTTGGAAGTCCCAAACACTTTCCCTCCAATATTGTTAAGTTTTTATCAAGCCCATTTAATATACTTACTAAGTAGTATAACAAGGTTAAACCAAAAACGGAACATATCTTTGCCTTTGAAAAGAGGTGTCTTAAAAATGTTATCTTCATGTGTATGCATCTTTGAACTTTATTTTTAGGAACTCAGGTGACAGTCAATGCCCTACATCCTGGTATTTGTGACACGGATATCGGTAGAAATGTCAAGGTCAACAAGGTCTTTTCTTTCCTGTCCTACCCGTTTAGATCCATCTTCGTTCGTCAGCCTTACCGAGGGGCGCAGACGTCCATCTTCTTAGCTGTCAGTCCCGAGGTGGAGAAAGTCTCCGGCAAATACTTCAGGTCAGAACAGAATCACTACTGAAATGTTTCACAAGTATAACAAGTGTCTATGTTTATAGGGTTTTTAATTGTAAACACAGACTATGGTAACAAATAAATTTATTGCTCACATGATCACATAGATTCATGCTCTGAAATACACACAAACCAATTGCATCATCTCGGTCTTTCTGTCAGAGGTCAGAAAAATAACCTCAAATGTATTAACATTATTCAAATATAGAATAGACAGATTTTTAAAAGTCCCCTGTTTAGTATATTTTAGGTAATATTTTTATATTCAATTAAGTTAAAAACTCCATACTCCACAGATAAGAGGTCTTCCAACATTTATATCAAAGTTTCTGAAAAGGGGATTGTCATGGTTTTTATGTAATACATTCGAGGTTGTTTTTCCGCTAGTCAGAAAGGCCCGAAAAGTTGCCATTAACACACAAACATAACACATGCTCATCAAAGGGAAATAACTCAATTTCAAAATTTTGTGAACATAAAAATAATAAAAATCTATACAGTATACTGTCACATTAAGAATAATGGGGGTCTTTACATCATATATTTGTTTGCGTCCATATGTTCCTTTAAGTTTGCTTTTCTTATCGTTTCCTTTAGTATAAACACATTATGATATATTAACTTCAGGTGTTTTCTTTCTTTAACAGTGATTGTAAAGAAAAGGCAGTGAATTCTGAACAGTATTTAGATGATGAGGCTTGTAAAAAGTTATGGCTACAGACCTTAAAGATGGTTAAACTGATATGAAGGACTTATTTCATAACATTTCAATGGGTTTAGAATGTATGTGTTTGAATGTAAGGAAAGAGTGATTTACAAATAAAGTAATCAAATCTGATTGGCATCTTTTAATCTTTTTGCATTGAAGTGAAAAAAAGAGGGAAGAATTTTCAATCACAAAAGATTCTTTCTTTTAGTTTTGCATATATATGTAATGCAGTATACTCTGATAAAATCTTACATAAGATAAGCATGGCAGGTTATGTTATGGTACAGCTTTGTGTTTACCAGAGTGGTCACATTCTCAAATAGGGTAAAAAAAAAACTTTTTATGAGGAAAAAACTTTAATTTTCAAGGTCAATACTGAGGATGGTTAAAGAACAATTCTAAATTTTATTTCTCACCATCATCTTGAGAATTCTCCTTGTATTGTAACTTAGTTCAACCACTACTTGAATGAGGAAATAAATGTAGATACACCTATAAACAAAAGACGGCTACCTATCCGTGTATATTGTGTTTCAAAGATTTGTATTTGTTAATTTTAATCTGTGTTTGTTAATTTAAAAATAACTCAAAACAAGTTAGTCCCCACATGCTAAACATTGCATGAAAAAATCGAAATGGTCTTATCGAAAAGTTTCATGGAGCATCTTTGATGGGGATCGAGTGGAGGGGGAGGGGGGGCATGGGGAATGGATAATTTTAAAAGTACATGGCAGTCATATTGTGCTTAATTTGCAACATTGAGGAAAAAAGGATCCCACAAATATTCTTTATTCATCTAATCAGTCCCCATGAACATTTTTTCCGTCGTCAATACTTCCGGCTGTCACAGAAAAGGGAATAAAAAGTCGATTATTAAAATTTCTTTGTCTATCTTTCTTAGATCTTTTTTGATTTCACACGTAAATCGAGAGCAACTGAGACCCCCCCCCCTCCAAAAAAGGCGGGTTAAAAAGCTGTAGTATATATCTCAATCTGTCGCAGAGCTCAGTATTTAAGTTTGTTAGGCGTCGCCCATTCTGACGATTTCTGAGGGTTGGTTGAACCAATGCCCTAAATTGTTAAACTCAATATAAATCATGTTATACAACTTTGCAAACAAATGATTAATTAATGGGGATACATGTAATTCAAAGATGTGTTTTTAAAAACTTTGAATTAAATGAAAAAATAATTTTTTGCAAGGCACGTCGTTTACGGGGCTTACATTTGATTCATAAAGTCCTTATTGTTTCCATCATCCCACTTAAGAAAATACGTACTTTTAATTACTATAGTTTTACGGAGAAAACCATTGGCGGGTCAGAATTAAGCAAACTGAAAGGGGGGTTAATTGAAAGAGTGGGGGAGGGGGCTAAGCAATCCCCTCTGGTTCCGAGTCCTTCCGACACCTGTGAACACATAGTGAAAACAGAGCTTATTTTTTGTCGTACTAAAAATGCCTGCAGGAGCTGCTTGCCCCCCCCCCCCCCCCGCCCACTTTAATTCATGGATCCGTCCCTGTGTTAAAATGTTTAAACGGTTCTTTAAAATTAGCCTAAACAATTCAAAATTACTATGATTAAGGCCAGTAAGGGACCACATGAGTCTAAAGGAACATGCATTCTCTAAACCGAAACAGAAAGGGTCTTAAACAGCATGAACAGTTAAAAAAAAAACCCACTACTCTGAGCATACAAAGTCCTATTTATTATTATTTATAGATTCTATATTTGTTTCACAACTTCGTATTTTGTTTTTAATGACGCTTTTTTTATACGCTGTTCATTATAATGTACTGAACAATACGAGATATTGTGCACGTTTGTTTTATTCAGGGGAAAAACTGTCGTCATAACTCCGTCACTGCTTGAATCAGCCAAAACTTCCGTGATGACTTGACCTATTTTAACCTCTGGTCTAATTTTTGACTAGTATGGCTGAGCATTCGTGTGAGGTGTATTTTTAGAGCAAATGTTTATTATATTATTATCTTTTATTTTTATGTACTGATAGCAAATTTTTTTGCGATACCTTTTATATGATTTTTATTTTTCTCATCATACAAAATATTTGATTTAAAAATATATAAAATGAGTTAAATATTTTTTTCTGTTGAAAATATACTTTTCATTTTCAGTCCTCATAGGGCACCGTAGACTGATTTAGGTAACTGTACATTGGTTCCCAACGAACCAATGAAAAGTTGATACGCCGTATAACAGCGCCATCTACAGTTTAATGTCGTCGAGGGGAAGGAGAACATCGGAACCAACTTTCCGCGGGACAGGGGAGAAAGAAACCATGTTTATCAAGACCAGACGGAAACTAGAAGGACTGTGTCATTTACTTCAGCTACGATAAATAGATTTTAGTGCTTCTTCTATACTTAGGTAAGATTTCTTTGTTTTGATGTTGTTTTTAAGTGCGAGGTCACTGCTCGCGTTTCGGTGTCTATGCCGACGGCATCATGTAACTGATGAAATTCTTTCCTACTAATGTAAGGACGTTTAAAATCACTTTATATTGTAGAAAATTAATGTTTTATGATAATTAATGTTTATTTATCACGGTACAGATAATTCTTCATGCGATTTTCTGTTTGAAAAGAAGTGTTTTATGGGGGAAATTTTGGGATATAAATAGAACACATGAATTTCAGATCGAGGCTGTTTACTTGAAACGAAGATGTTTGTGAATAAATACGCTCTCAGTTAATTTGTTTGTTGAAACGGAGATGACCATCGTAAACAACACTGATTAAAATGTTTCTTTGAAAGGCTTATTAGTTTTTCCTGATGTACAGCATAAATTTTAAATTTAAATTTCTTGGTAAATTGCTATAAATAGATCTTGTGGAAAATTAGGGTAGCACTATTTTGGGACTGTGAAGTGAGATCCCAAAATACAAAAAGAATGATTGATTATGTTTTTTTTTTTTTCTTTCAGGTTTAATTTTACTTCATACTGCCAGGGAAAACATGGGGGTCAAACGTAAATCTGATGAAATGGAACTGGAAGTAGAGGGGAGCCAGAGGCAGTCAGTCCTCAATATATCAATGTGTAAACTTCAGAATCCTTCAGGCAAAAAAGTTGAACCATCGCTTCTGAAATCAGTACTTATCTTAAACACTCTAAAACACATAGAAACAGAACTTAGAAAAGAAGGCATAAGTAGCGAACTGCCTCCCTCCGCCAGTCTATCTTTCCACAGTGATGCTGAAAACTTCACTATGGATGTCCTGCCGCTGGACTCTCTGGACGGTTCCAGTGAGTATATAGAACAAGACATGTCCGACCTTCATATCAATGGAAACCTTCCACAAGGGATGGACAGCCAAGATGACCAAAGCATTTCTAAAGCACCTCTTCCTCCTTTTGAGACCTTTGTTGAACTTTCAAACTCAAGCACTCATAGTGCCAACAACTCACCAAAGAGCAAGGTCATTGGCCAAAAAATTGATATATGGAGCTCGAGTCTCCAGAGCAACTTACCGTTCCGAGTAGAAGATGTTCTCGGGGACACCGATCTATCCCAGTGTGATTTTGACATTTTCACGTCACTCTCATCGACAATTAAGTTGACGCCTCTGAGTGCCGAGGAGGTTCTTCATTCATTTCCCTCCAATTCTTTGTCCGATACTTACCAGTCCTTTTTGTCAACTTCGTGTAAAAGCGACATCCTTCCCGAGGAAATCGATAACATTATGCAGATTTTAGTTGGAACGTAGATCGACTTAGGCTGCCAGAGACATTATTGTTAGACTGAGAAACGTTCAGACGAGTAGAGACTTTTTACTTTAAACCCATGGCAGCACGATTGTTTTACTGTTGAAGTTTTAAGGGTGTTGAGAGAATGATTATTTATTGACTGTATGTTACAATATATCTCTAATCAAAATAATCGTACTGTAAGAGTACACCTTGTGATTCGGGGTGACTTGCCCCAGGATTGTGCAATTTCATTGTCAATATTATTGCAATGCTTGCCAACAAAGGATGTAAATATCCCATTATTAATTTATTGACATTGTTTCATATGCATTTGACAATATGTGAATCTATTTATTGATATCTCTAAGGAGAAGATTCAAGATACTGAATATATGAATATATGGAGATTTTTACTTAAATGTTTAGTAGTATGAATTGTATTTTATATGTTTTTACAATGCATAGATTTTATTTATCAGTAGCTAGACACATGAATTTTGATGGCAAAGTCGTTAAGTAATATTCACATCCTGTGATATTATCTGACTGCTGGCCAATTAATTTTTTTTTTTTTGATGCAAAATTTATTGTTGAAATGATCAAGGAGGAGTGAACAAAATCGCTAGACTTTTGTGATTCTGATTTCTGAATATGATAAATGATAGAAGCTTGTAGATTATAAGGTTTACCTAAAACAGATTGAACACTTGATGTTCCAAGTGCACATGCACTTGTAATAGATTTTATAAGGAAGTAGTGTATCCCGAGAACAGAGTAAAATATATCACATGAGATTGTATAACGGAGAATTTTTTGAACAATGTTACTTGATGATATTTGTATTGCTGGTATACTGAAACATTGGGTAAAATTCGTATCTTTATAGGTAAAATCCCAGTGAAATAAGAAGCAAACTATTTATTCCATTATGTAAATATTTCATCATCTGTATTTTTATTCGTCATTGAACATTTCACATAAATCACTCATTGAAAATACATTTTTGACATGATTTCTTTTATCTATAGTATTTACATCATACATACGTGTAATATTTATACATTCAAGTCTCGCGTTGTTGACTATTGTTGTGAAGTAAGGGGAGATAATCTCTATTTTTTGTGATCTGTTGATGATGAAATTTTAATCATGTAACTATTTTAACCAAGATTGATTATATTTATTCTACTTTCTTATTTAGCAATATGAAAATTATTTATATTTTACTGACAAATGAAAAAAATGTTTTTTTAAGAAGAAGTAATGTATTTGTTACAAAAATTGAATCAAAATTTTTTAAATATTTTGTTTAAAACTTAATATACATATCTTTCTATTTTTCAACTCAATGCATCAATTGTTGCCTTATATCTGGTTGCCTGAAGTGTATGTGAACTTTTGAATAATTATACGAATGCACACAATGGAATTTTTCCATTGCAGAGCTTTTAAGAAAACCTACTATCATAGCTAATATCTTGTTTTGGTTTTATTTTTTAAAGGAAGGGTGGGCAACTGAAATCAAAAGTAAAAATAGTTTCTTTTTTCATCCTGTTGTTTAATTCCATTTTGCATTTCATGTTCACTATTTACTTGCAATGTCTGTATACGCAATCATTCCTCATTTTCTAGACACACTTTGTAAATATTATCATTAGTAACTTCTACAGCATTCAAACAGGGTCATAATTGCATAACTGTGTTGAATCCTCTTTAAATGATGTTTGTTTACCATTGTTGGCAATATCTGTTTCAGATTTTTTTTCTCTATGCACAGACCTACTGTTCTCATGTGATGTAGAAATTCATCCAATCATATGTCCATAAGTTGTATTTCATTAAATTTTATAGAGAAATACAGTCATGTTTTCTTGTGTTTTGTAGCGTATGTTGGAAACTTTTTGAAGGAGAACTTAGGGTTTTTCTGCATCTCTCAGAGTCTGACTCTCTCAGTGTTGATTGTTGATTGAGATTGTATATTGAACATCCCTCTCGAGAATTTTTTTTACTTATATGGAGACTCCACCACTTGCCGGTGGATAGCTGCAAAACTCAGCACTAAGGGCCATTGATCAGGGAGAGATCTTTTTTGTTCCAGCACCTACTATGACATAAAACCTGGATTTATACGGTCTGATCTGAAGGACCGGTCTCCACGTCCCACACTGGGACTCAAACCCACGATGTAATGATCAACTTACCCTGCGACTCTAGAGCAGATGCTCTAACCGCTGCACCATGCAGGCAACTCACAGTGAAGATTGTTGAATTGAAGGTCAAATTCAGGGTGACCTGACTGTTTTCATATTAAAGACATACGGTACCTGAGTTGAATCTACAAGTGACAAAAGTTTCTAAATTGGATTTTCAGTTATTTTAGCTCACCTGAGCTGAAAGCTCATTTAAGTGAGCTCATCTGATCACCCGTTGTCCGTCTGTCAACTTTTCACATTTCAAGAATTTTGACTAAACTTGATACAAAGCAAAATAGTAAAACTAAAGAGCCAAGTCCCCTTCCAAGGAAAGATAATCAAGAAAATACAAAAATAGGTTGGGGTCAGTAAAAAATCTTCTCAAGAACCACTGAGCTAGAAAAGCTGAAACTTAACATTTTGTGTAAGCATCCTGGGATAGTGTAGATTCAATTCATGTCTCCCTGGGGTTGGACGGGGCCACAATAATCCAAGTTATACATTGAAGTACTTGTATATGGGGAAAAACCCTTAAAAATCTTCTCAAGAACTACTTTGCCAGAAAAGCTGATACATGTACTTAAATGGAAACATCATGGCATAGCATAGATTATGAATTGTTCAAATCATGACACCTCATCGTCTCAAGCCACGGTCCGGAGTCCGCGTAAAGCTCGAAGAGGATTGTAAATTATGGCCGTGGTTTGCGACGATGGACACCCCCGGGTGGGGCAAAAAAGGGAATCTAAGTTTTACATGGTAGTAAATGGGGAAAAAATTTTGAAAATCTTCTCAAAAACCACTGGTCCAGAAAAGCTGAAACTTATGTGGAAGCATCCTGGGATAGTGTAGATTCTAAATTGTTAAAGCCATGACTCCAGGGGAAAGGGCGGGACAACATCAGGAAATCCAAGTTTTACATTGAAATTTTTAAAAAATTCAGGAACAACTGGGCGAGAGAAGCTGAAACTCATGTGGAAGCAGCTTTTATGACTTGTGAAGAAGATTTTAACAGATTTTCCCAATATATTTCAACCATGTAGATTCTCTATTATGGACCTGTCCTACCCCCTGGGGTAATGAATTCAACTATTTAGAATCTACACTACCCCAGGATGCTTCAACACAAGTTTCAGCTTTTCTGGGAAAAATACTTTTAAAATCTTTACAAGGGGGGTGTAATAAAGAAAAGACAAAATTATTGGAAAATCTTTAAGAACCACTGGGCCAAAAAAGCTTAAACTTGTGTTGAAGCATCCTAGTTGGATGGGATCACAATGGGGCATCCAGGTTTTGCATTGAAACACAAAGCTAGGAACAAGATGTGTTTGTGAAACACTATGCGCCCGGTGGCAACAAAGTTCGAGAAAGCTATTTTTAGCATAGGAGTCCCATGAATTCAAAAACACCATGAAAATTTAACATCTATAACGTACTAAACTACTAAACAATTTATAAGTCACAGTCAAGGTCACAAGGTCATAGACCTTCGAGTCATTTGAAAGAACTGAAGTAGTGGACTATGCATAGCAACTATGAAGTCTATCTCATATATGATTCAAAAGCTATTTTTAGCATGTAGGTCAGTCGAGGTCAGAAATTGACCTGGTGGTTTTGAAAGAGCTTAATTTGTGGAGTATGCATACTAAATATGAAGTCTCTATCACATACATGTATGATTCAAAAGTTCTGGTGAAAGTTTGAAAAGGGTATTTTTAGCTTATAGGTCAGAGTCAAGGTCACAGGGTCATTGACCTTGGTGTCATTTGGAAGAGACTTATAGTGGAGTATGCATACCAAATATGAAGTCTCTTTCTTTCATGGTTCAAAAGTTATAGCAAAAGTTAAAGTTTGCACACAAAAAGCTATCTTTAGCATAAAGGTCACAGTCAAGATCACATGGTTATTGACCTTGCAATTGGTTCATTTGAAAGAGCTTAATTAGTGGAGTATGCATACCAAATATGAAGTTTCTATCTCTCAAGGTTCAAATTTTATTGCAAAGGTTAAAAGTGACAGACAAACAGACAGACAGGAGAAAAAACAATATACGCCCCGGATCTATCGATCTCGGCGCATAAAAATCTTTTAAAATCTTCTTTTCAAGAACCAGTGTAGATTCTAAATTATAAAAATCATGACCCCAGAGGTAGGGCAGGTCACAATAGGGAATCCAAGTTTTACATTGAAAACAAGATGTGTTTATGAAACACTGATGCCCCCGTATGGTAACATAGCAAATGTTAAGCTTTCTCAAATGCAGATCAAATATGTTGGTACCTAAAGTAAGGCCTTTTCATATAACCAAAGCACTGTTAAAAATTATGACCAAGGTTACCCTTTTAAAGGTAGGACAAACTCCGGTGTCAAGGTCAAAGGGTCAAGGTTGTTGGTTTCTAAGCTTGTCTTAAAGATTGCATGGGGAAGTATAAAAGTGCTGGCCCTTATCTTCAAAAGTTATAGCCAAGGTTAAATTTTGTAAAAAGTAGGTCAAAATCCAAGCTCAAAGGGTTAAAAGTGTTGATATCCAATGAAAGGTCTTCTCACAAGGATTACATATGTGAAGTTTGAAAGCCCTAGCCCTTACAATTCAAAAGTTATGACCAAAGTTAAAGTTTTCTCGTAAATACAGAAATGTCCAAGGTCAAGATCAAAATTATTTGTTTCAATAGAAAGGTCTTGCCACAAAGAATTGATATTTGAAATGTGAAATTCTTAGTATCTACCGTTTAAAAATTAGGACCAAAGTAAAAGTTTGGATTTTTTGTGTCAAACTTCAAGGTTCAATCCTGATATCAAATGAAAGGTGACTTAGGTCTTGTCACAAGGATTAATATGATTAAGATGAAAGCCTTAGTTATAACCCTTCAAAAATTATGGCCAACGTAGCTGCAGATCTGTAGCTCCCCGAAAAATTATAATTTGACAGACCGGAGAGCTACAATGCCACCCATTGAAAAAAAACCTGTATATTTATTGCGCGCAAAAAAGTGCAATGTTTATCGATTTCTCCATATTTTTAAAACTATAATCTCAAAATATTACTAACCGTGTATTCCTAACACAACTCACTTTTTCCACAACAAAGCATACCTTATTGTTGTTGTTTATAGCCCTCCTGGTCCTGAAATCGAGATCATCGAAAATTTCGTCTGTTTATACTGTCATTTTGGTTTGCAAGATAATTCGGCCCAACACGCTTCGTGTAGATGTCAGCTATCAAAGTGCTTGATAGAGGAGTACGTACGAATTTTTTTAAAATCTAATGTTTTTTTAGGTAAGAATTTGGAAGAATCAGTCCATACACATGCACAACCTTTTGTTCGCAATAAATAAAGAGTTTTTTTCAATGGATGGCACTGTAGCTCTCCGGTCTATCAATATATTTTTCGGAGAGCTACAGTTCTGCAGCTATGGCCAATGTTGTATGTAAAAAGTAGGTCAAACTCCAAGGTCAAGGTTCTTGATATTCAATGAAAGTTCTTCTCACAAGGATAACATATGTGAAGTATGAAAGCCCTAGCTGTTACCGTTCAAAAGTTATGACCAAGGTTAAAGTTTTTTCACAAGTACTGAAATCTCCAAGGTCAAAAGGTCAAAGTTATTGGTCCTCAATGAAAGGTCTTGCCACAAAAAATACATATATGAAGTATAAAAGCCCTGGTATCTACTGTTCAAATGATATGGCCAAAGTAAAAGTTTGGAATTTTTGTGTTAAAGAAGGGAATTGTCACAAGGAATACACATATGAAATATGAAAGTCATAGCTCCATTAAGGTGGCTCATTACATCCACAGTTTATTTTAGATTTCAGTACAGCACCACTTATAATGTAGATGTCAAATATCCAGATGGGGGTATTGATATCATAAATATTTTTTATAGAATTTTTTAGTTTTTGTTTTATTTTAGTGAAATGTTTTATTTCAGGTTTATTATTCACAGAATTTCAGAACTTTCAGTGTCAAATGATGGGCATCTTCTTAAGAAAAGTACACAAAGTGAAAATACCTCATAATACCTAATCATAATTTTATTAGAAAAAATAATTTTCTCCTAGAAAACAATTAATGTCATTATCTTTTTTATCTATGCATAAAACATTTAAAAAATGTGTTCTGAAGAGACAAGGAATGTATTTCAATGAATTACATGTGTCAAATTGAATGAAGAAAGTTTAAACGAAATGAAAAATCCAATTTAAAAAATATTGGTATAAAAAGTCCACTTTCAAGAGTTATCTTTCCTAATTAGCCAAGACTCAAAACACTATGGAACGTTTGACATTACATCTAAAATTCAGAATAAAGCTTTAAATTGCCAGAGTATACATTTAAATCAATAAAACAAATATATAAATTAACATCAACACAATATATAGCGCAATTAAATAAAATTTTAATTTCAACAAGGTTGTAGATTTTAACTCGAATTTCCTCCATACATACATGTCAGTGATTGATAGAGTTCACTGCATGCATGGCTATGAAATTGACATTACTTGTTTGGCGAAGATTTGACTGTTGCTTTCTTTTGTTTCTGCCTAAAAGCAATTCTTCTTGGTTTATGCATAATGAATCCGTTATTTTGTTTTCACTGTTTACAACACCGCATGTTTCATCTATTTTTAAAGCGTTTTAAAGGTCAGGGTCATATTATAGAGGTACC